CTGGTCTCAGGACAACAACTCTACTGGTCTCAGGACAACAACTCTACTGGTCTCAGGACAACAACTCTACTGGTCTCAGGACAACAACTCTACTGGTCTCAGTACAACTGTACTGGTCTCAGGACAACTCTACTGGTCTCAGGACAACTCTACTGGTCCCAGGACAACAACTCTTCAGGTGTCAGGACAACTCTACTGGTCTCAGGACAACAACTCTACTGATCTCAGGACAACAACTCTACTGGTCTCAGGACAACTCTACTGGTCTCAGGACAACAACTCTACTGGTCTCAGGACAACTCTACTGGTCTCAGGACAACAACTCTACTGGTCTCAGGACAACTCTACTGGTCTCAAGACAACTCTACTGGTCTCAGGACAACAACTCTACTGATCTCAGGACTACAACTCTACTGGTCTCAGGACAACAACTCTACTGATCTCAGGACAACTCTACTGGTCTCAGGACAACTCTACTGGTCTCAGGACAACAACTCTACTGATCTCAGGACAACAACTCTACTGGTCTCAGGACAACAACTCTACTGATCTCAGGACAACAACTCTACTGGTCTCAGGAGAACTCTACTGGTCTCAGGACAACAACTCTACTGATCTCAGGACAACAACTCTACTGGTCTCAGGACAACTTTACTGGTCTCAGGACAACTCTACTGGTCTCAGGACAACAACTCTACTGGTCTCAGGACAACAACTCTACTGGTCTCAGGACAACAACTCTACTGGTCTCAGGACAACAACTCTACTGGTCTCAGGACAACAACTTCACTGATCTCAGGACAACAACTCTACTGGTCTCAGGACAACTCTACTGGTCTCAGGACAACAACTCTACTGGTCTCAGGACAACAACTCTACTGGTCTCAGGACAACAACTCTACTGATCTAAGGACAATAACTACTGGTCTCAGGAGAACTCTACTGGTCTCAGGACAACAACTCTACTGGTCTCAGGACAACTCTACTGGTCTCAGGACAACTCTACTGGTCCCAGGACAACAACTCTACTGGTCTCAGGACAACTCTACTGGTCTCAGGACAACTCTACTGGTCTCAGGACAACAACTCTACTGGTCTCAAGACAACTCTACTGGTCTCAGGACAACAACTCTACTGGTCTCAGGACAACTCTACTGGTCTCAGGACAACTCTACTGGTCTCAAGACAACTCTACTGATCTCAGGACAACAACTCTACTGGTCTCAGGACAACTCTACTGGTCTCAGGACAACTCTACTGGTCTCAGGACAACTCTACTGATCTCAGGACAACAACTCTACTGGTCTCAGGACAACTCTACTGGTCTCAGGACAACTCTACTGGTATCAGGACAACAACTCTACTTGTCTCAGGACAACTCTACTGGTCTCAAGACAACAACTCTACTGGTCTCAGGACAACTCTACTGGTCCCAGGACAACAACTCTACTGATCTCAGGAGAACTCTACTGGTCTCAGGACAACAACTCTACTGATCTTAGGACAACAACTCTACTGGTCTCAGGACAACTCTACTGGTCTCAGGACAACTCTACTGGTCTCAGGACAACAGCTCTACTGGTCTCAGGACAACTCTACTGGTCCCAGGACAACAACTCTACTGATCTCAGGACAACTCTACTGGTCTCAGGACAACAACTCTACTGATCTCAGGACAACAACTCTACTGGTCTCAGGACAACAACTCTACTGGTCTCAGGACAACAACTCTACTGGTCTCAGGACAACAACTCTACTGGTCTCAGGACAACAACTCTACTGGTCTCAGGACAACAACTCTACTGGTCTCAGTACAACTCTACTGGTCTCAGGACAACTCTACTGGTCTCAGGACAACTCTACTGATCTCAGGACGACAACTCTACTGGTCTCAGGACAACTCTACTGGTCTCAGGACAACAACTCTACTTGTCTTAGGACAACTCTACTGGTCTCAGGACAACAACTCTACTGGTCTCAGGACAACTCTACTGGTCTCAAGACAACTCTACTGGTCTCAGGACAACAACTCTACTGATCTCAGGACAACAACTCTACTGGTCTCAGGACAACAACTCTACTGATCTCAGGACAACTCTACTGGTCTCAGGACAACTCTACTAGTCTCAGGACAACAACTCTACTGATCTCAGGACAACAACTCTACTGGTCTCAGGAAAACAACTCTACTGATCTCAGGAGAACTCTACTGGTCTCAGGACAACAACTCTACTGATCTCAGGACAACAACTCTACTGGTCTCAGGAGAACTCTACTGGTCTCAGGACAACAACTCTACTGATCTCAGGACAACAACTCTACTGGTCTCAGGACAACTCTACTGGTCTCAGGACAACTCTACTGGTCTCAGGACAACAACTCTACTGGTCTCAGGACAACAACTCTACTGGTCTCAGGACAACAACTCTACTGGTCTCAGGACAACAACTCTACTGGTCTCAGGACAACAACTTCACTGATCTCAGGACAACAACTCTACTAGTCTCAGGAGAACTCTACTGGTCTCAGGACAACAACTCTACTGGTCTCAGGACAACAACTCTACTGATCTAAGGACAATAACTACTGGTCTCAGGAAAACTCTACTGGTCTCAGTACAACAACTCTACTGGTCTCAGGACAACAACTCTACTGGTCTCAGGACAACAACTCTACTGGTCTCAGGACAACTCTACTGGTCTCAGGACAACTCTACTGGTCTCAGGACAACAACTCTACTGGTCTCAGGGCAACAACTCTACTGGTCTCAGGACAACAACTCTACTGATCTCAGGACAACAACTCTACTGGTCTCAGGACAACAACTCTACTGGTCTCAGGACAACAACTCTACTGATCTCAGGACAACAACTCTACTGGTCTCAGGACAACAACTCTACTGGTCTTAGGACAACAACTCTACTGATCTCAGGACAACAACTCTACTAGTCTCAGGAGAACTCTACTGGTCTCAGGACAACAACTCTACTGATCTCAGGACAACAGCTCTACTGGTCTCAAGACAACTCTACTGATCTCAGGACAACAACTCTACTGGTCTCAGGACAACTCTACTGGTCTCAGGACAACTCTACTGGTCTCAGGACAACTCTACTGGTCTCAAGACAACAACTCTACTGATCTCAGGAGAACTCTACTGGTCTCAGGACAACAACTCTACTGATCTCAGGACAACAACTCTACTGGTCTCAGGACAACTCTACTGGTCTCAGGACAACTCTACTGGTCTCAGGACAACAACTCTACTGGTCTCAGGACAACAGCTCTACTGGTCTCAGGACAACTCTACTGGTCCCAGGACAACAACTCTACTGATCTCAGGACAACTCTACTGGTCTCAGGACAACTCTACTGGTCTCAGGACAACAACTCTACTGATCTCAGGACAACAACTCTACTGGTCTCTAGAACAACAACTCTACTGGTCTCAGGACAACAACTCTACTGGTCTCAGGACAACTCTACTGGTCTCAGGACTACAACTCTACTGGTCTCAGGACAACAACTCTACTGGTCTCAGGACAACTCTACTGGTCTCAGGACAACTCTACTGGTCTCAGGACAACAACTCTACTGGTCTCAGGACAACTCTACTGGTCTCAGGACAACTCTACTGGTCTCAGGACAACAACTCTACTGGTCTTAGGACAACAACTCTACTGATCTCAGGACAACAACTCTACTAGTCTCAGGAGAACTCTACTGGTCTCAGGACAACAACTCTACTGGTCTCAGGACAACAACTTTACTGATCTCAGGACAACAACTCTTCTAGTCTCAGGAGAACTCTACTGGTCTCAGGACAACAACTCTACTGGTCTCAGGACAACAACTCTACTGGTCTCAGGACAACTCTACTGGTCTTAGGACAACAACTCTACTGGTCTCAGGACAACAACTCTACTGGTCTCAGGACAACAACTCTACTGGTCTCAGGAGAACAGCTCTACTGGTCTCAGGACAACAACTCTACTGGTCTCAGGACAACAACTCTACTGGTCTCAGGACAACAACTCTACTGGTCTCAGGACAACAACTCTACTGGTCTCAGGACAACAACTCTACTGGTCTCAGGACAACAACTCTACTGGTCTCAGGACAACAACTCTACTGGTGTCAGGACAACAACTCTACTGGTCTCAGGACAACAACTCTACTGGTCTCAGGACAACTCTACTCGTCTCAGGACAACAACTACTGGTCTCAGGACAACTCTACTGGTCTCAGGACAACAACTCTACTGGTGTCAGGACAACAACTCTACTGGTCTCAGGACAACAACTCTACTGGTGTCAGGACAACTCTACTGGTCTCAGGACAACTCTACTGGTGTCAGGACAACAACTCTACTGGTCTCAGGACAACAACTCTACTGGTCTCAGGACAACAACTCTACAGATGTCAGGACAACAACTCTAATGGTCTCAGGACAACAACTCTACTGGTCTCAGGACAACAACTCTACTGGTCTCAGGACAACAACTCTACTGGTCTCAGGACAACAACTCTACTGGTCTCAGGACAACTCTACGGGTGTCAGGACAACAACTCTACTGGTCTCAGGACAACAACTCTACTGGTCTCAGGACAACAACTCTACTGGTCTCAGGACAACAACTCTACTGGTCTCAGGACAACAACTCTACTGATCTAAGGACAATAACTACTGGTCTCAGGAAAACTCTACTGGTCTCAGTACAACAACTCTACTGGTCTCAGGACAACAACTCTACTGGTCTCAGGACAACAACTCTACTGGTCTCAGGACAACTCTACTGGTCTCAGGACAACTCTACTGGTCTCAGGACAACAACTCTACTGGTCTCAGGACAACAACTCTACTGGTCTCAGGACAACAACTACCCACATCTTTCTCTATATAATCTTCCAGGGAAATGGGCATTTCTTAGTCAGAAGTGTAGGGTTCAAAGGTTAAAGACATGCACATAGCTTAGTACATCAACATAATAAGTATGTACCTGAACATGTATTCCCACACCTCGTTCAACATTTGGCAAACGCATCTCCCAAATTTGATTTTTCTTGGGGAATATTTCTACCATCTTGTACAGTAAATCTTTGGCTGGGTTGCTGGTCAAGTTGACTGAGCTACTGGCTGGGTTGTTGGTCAAGTTGACTGAGCTACTGGCTGGGTTGCTGGTCAAGTTGACTGAGCTACTGGCTGGGTTGTTGGTCAAGTTGACTGAGCTACTGGCTGGGTTGTTGGTCAAGTTGACTGAGCTACTGGCTGGGTTGTTGGTCAAGTTGACTGAGCTACTGGCTGGGTTGTTGGTCAAGTTGACTGAGCTACTGGCTGGGTTGTTGGTCAAGTTGACTGAGCCATTGCTAGACAATGTTTGGATCTGGATGCTGGCCTGCTGACTCAGGTCGTGGATCTTGATTTGAGTGCCATTGGTTTCATAAAATGAGACCGTTTGGACAGGCATGGTAGCTGCAGCAGAGTGGCCGTATGTGTAGGGGTTCTGTCGGTGGCTGACCAGGACCTCCAGGACCTCCTCCCTCTCTTGTTTGACAGCTGACAAAATCTGTGAGCTCATCAGGACCTTGGTCCTCTCTGACCAACTCTCCAGCTCAATATCTTTTGCTAGCGTGCGCACAGCCTTCACCTAAATAAAATAAACAAGTTCAAATGTTGAAATAGAGATGCCACATTCAAATGTTGAAATAGACACAACACATTCAAATGTTGAAATAGACATGCCACATTCAAATGTTGAAATAGACATGCCACATTCAAATGTTGAAATAGACATGCCACATTCAAATGTTGAAATAGACACACCCCATTCAAATGTTGAAATAGGCATTAGGAAGACAAATTGTACCAACATTAGGAAGAGAAATGGTACCAACATTAGGAAAAAAAGCTGTTCAATTTAAGGAGAAATTTGTCATTCCAAATTCCTTTTTGTGCTAAAAATTGTAGAATTGAAATTTGAATAAGTTAAGAATCAAACTATTGAACTGTTTTATAAAGCCAAGTTGTGGGTGACAACACTCTGTCCATTCTCACTGGAACAAAACATTTTTTTACACTATTTTTACACTATTTTTACACTATTTTTACACTATTTTTACACTATTTTCCAATTTGAAAACCATTTTATAATAGCTTTCCATCAAAGTCTCTGTTTTGATTGACTGCAGGAGTGTTGCTGTACAATGAGTGTTGTCAGGTGTTACCATGGTTACCTGGATCCCATCCAAGTGGAAGTCCAGATGTCCAGGCTGTGTCAGCAGAGTTTGGAGTGTGGCCACCAGCACCTCCTCCAGCATGGGCACAGCAAACGAGCTGATGGCTCTCCTGTGGGCCTCCCCTAGCTGGATGCTGACAAACTCCATCTGGCTGACAATGGAAGAAACTTCTGGTCTCAGCTCTCTAAACTTGCTGCTGAAGTCCTCAATGCTGATTGTCTTTCCTGACTCCCAGAGCTGAGTGCTGGAATAGATGCGGGTGTTGGCGGCGTGAATCAGATTGGCCAGCACACTGAGCAGGTCCTCTGTTGGCACATCTGATGGCTCCAGGCCAGACAGCACTGACTGCTGCAAGATGGCCCTCATGCTCCTGAGGGCAGCGACCATCATCAGCTGACTGTCCTCTGTCAGGTACTCCACAGGGTAGTTCTAAAAAATCAAAATACAAGTGAGCTTTTGGTTGTTGGCAGCTAGTACAGCCAACAAAATACAAGTGAGCTTTTGGTTGTTGGCAGCTAGTACAGCCAACAAAATACAAGTGAGCTTTTGGTTGTTGGCAGCTAGTACAGCCAACAACAAAATACAAGTGAGCTTTTGGCAGCTAGTACAGCCAACAAAATACAAGTGAGCTTTTGGCAGCTAGTACAGCCAACAACAAAATACAAGTGAGCTCTTGGCAGCTAGTACAGCCAACAAAATACAAGTGAGCTTTTGTTTGTTGGCAGCTAGTACAGCCAACAACAAAATACAAGTGAGCTTTTGGCAGCTAGTACAGCCAACAAAATACAAGTGAGCTTTTGGCAGCTAGTACAGCCAACAACAAAATACAAGTGAGCTCTTGGCAGCTAGTACAGCCAACAAAATACAAGTGAGCTTTTGGCAGCTAGTACAGCCAACAAAATACAAGTGAGCTTTTGGCAGCTAGTACAGCCAACAAAATACAAGTGAGCTTTTGGCAGCTAGTACAGCCAACAAAATACAAGTGAGCTTTTGGCAGCTAGTACAGCCAACAAAATACAAGTGAGCTAATGGTTGTTGGCAGCTAGTACAGCCAACAAAATACAAGTGAGCTTTTGGCAGCTAGTACAGCCAACAAAATACAAGTGAGCTTTTGGTTGTTGGCAGCTAGTACAGCCAACAACAAAATACAAGTGAGCTTTTGGCTGTGGACAGCTAGTACAGCCAACAAAATACAAGTGAGCTTTTGGCAGCTAGTACAGCCAACAAAATACAAGTGAGCTTTTGGCTGTTGGCAGCTAGTACAGCCTAAACAATAAGTGATGAGAACAGAATGTTCCTAGCTTTTAAGTGCTAAGTTAGTTGGATTATGGACCTTTAAAGTTCATTTAAAAAGATGATTAAAGAGCAAATCAGATGATGCAAGCAGGTATTCTATATATAGATACTAACTGTTAAAAGCCTCAAGGCAAATGCCATCTGCTGAACATCCTTCATTGTTGTGATGGGAACTGATGTGGCCAAACATATTGTGAGGGCATCACGTATAGCAGCGCGGCTCTGCTCCGCCTGCCTCCCCCTGCCAGCGTCCTGCTCAAGTTGGGACTGGCTGTTGAGCTGCTGGCCCAGGGCCATTGCGTACTGCAGCAGTGAGATGGGCAGGCCTTGCTTGACCAGTGCAGAGAGCTCCTGGTCAGTCTGCTCAAACAAGTACTCACTCACAGACTTGTTGCTTGGTAAAGCTGCTGGCTTGAAGGTAATCAGACTGGGAAATAAAGGTCACCAAACTACAAACCTGGTACCCTAAAGGTCACCAAACTACAAACCTGGCTCCCCTAAAGGTCACCAAATTACAAACCTGGCTCCCCTAAAGGTCACCAAACTACAAACCTGGTTCCCCTAAAGGTCACCAAACTACAAACCTGGTTCCCCTAAAGCTCACCAAACTACAAACCTGGTTCCCCTAAAGGTCACCAAACTACAAACCTGGTTCCCATAAAGGTCACCAAACTACAAACCTGGTTCCCCTAAAGGTCACCAAACTACAAACCTGGTACCCTAAAGGTCACCAAACTACAAACCTGGCTCCCCTAAAGGTCACCAAACTACAAACCTGGCTCCCCTAAAGGTCACCAAACTACAAACCTGGTTCCCATAAAGGTCACCAAACTACAAACCTGGTTCCCCTAAAGGTCACCAAACTACAAACCTGGTTCCCCTAAAGGTCACCAAACTACAAACCTAGTTCCCCTAAAGGTCACCAAACTACAAACCTGGTTCCCCTAAAGGTCACCAAACTACAAACCTGGTACCCTAAAGGTCACCAAACTACAAACCTGGCTCCCCTAAAGGTCACCAAACTACAAACCTGGCTCCCCTAAAGGTCACCAAACTACAAACCTGGTTCCCATAAAGGTCACCAAACTACAAACCTGGTTCCCCTAAAGGTCACCAAACTACAAACCTGGTTCCCCTAAAGGTCACCAAACTACAAACCTAGTTCCCCTAAAGGTCACCAAACTACAAACCTGGTTCCCATAAAGGTCACCAAACTACAAACCTGGTTCCCCTAAAGGTCACCAAATACAAACATATCTCCCATAAAGGTCACCAAACTACAAACCTGGCTCCCATAAAGGTCACCAAACTACAAACCTGGTTCCCCTAAAGGTCACCAAATACAAACATATCTCCCATTAAGGTCACCAAACTACAAACCTGGCTCCCATAAAGGTCACCAAACTACAAACCTGGTTCCCCTAAAGGTCACCAAATACAAACATATCTCCCATAAAGGTCACCAAACTACAAACCTGGCTCCACCTGCAGCCATGGCACCAAAGAGGTCAGAGACCATGACCCTGAGAGTGGCAGAGGTTCCTGAAGTGGCACCAAGGTAGACAGCCTGCGAGGGGCTAGTGCCAGAGTACAGCAAGTAGCTGTCTGTCTGCTGGTGGCTGGCATCATGGTGGCCCACGTCCACATAGATGGTGTAGACCAATGAGCTGTTGGGATCATCTGCGTCCAGCCAATCAAAACACCTGACTAAAACCTGAAGCAAAAAATATTTAGCAATGTTAGTTTTGATCCTATATACAACTGTAACGTTAACCTATCTATCAGCCAAATAGAAGGAGAACGTCCCCGGATTCTTTTTTCGGGGTCATATGCAAATGCCTTACGGCCTAAGTGGATGAACACTTAACACAACGACCACTAGGGCTCGAATTTAATGTCTAGGGAAGCTAGTGATACTATTGTAATTAACACTCATCCAATCTACATACGACCTTTTAATCAGCGAACACAGATGTGGCCGAACACAAGGTTAAACTAGTTAAAATATTTAATGTATAAAATATCAAAAACCCAACTTACAAAATGTAGGAAAAATCACTATCACAGATTTCTACACTGTCTAAAGAACAGCTACAGGCCACACAACACTGCTGTAGTTTCTAGAATTACTTAGCGACAAGTAATATTAAACTAGAAGACCAAATCAACTTAAAAAAGCAAGGCACACACAGGTCTTAAGTACTCTCACGTTCAAATGGTCAGAGTCTATAGCCGGACAATATGGACGGCAACCTGACCAAGGTAAAACGGCCTCGTAGACTGCCAGGTCAAGAAAAACTGCCTCGTGTTGCGAGTGTGCAGTGCAATTAAAGACTTCTGTGACAGGGGAGGTTATCCTCAACTCATGTCGCCATTGGTTGGGATAATCATCTGATCAGAATCATTCAATCAGATTTTAATGGAAAATTTCTATGTCTCAAACACCTTAATAAGTCAGTGGAAAAACCCCAGGTGTTACACCATCATTCCATATAAGGAATTATACAATGTCAAAATAAAAATGACTCGACCTAAGTAGGTCACATCCCCTCCCTTTTTGGAAGTGACAGATAGGTTCCACAAGAACATACATAAGGAACCAATCTGGCAATGAAATAACAAAAAATGTTTTACAAATGTAAGCAATCAAAATCATAATACCAGATGAAAATATCCCTGAACATAAAAGGGAAGTAACTCCAACTTTTACAATTGGTGAAAGGGGAGTAACCCTTCAAAAAGTAATTATACATCAAAATCCCTCAGGAAAGGGTATTACAATATTTCCATGAGAATATTAAAAGTGGTAAACCCGCCAGGGTAAGACCTTTATTTCAATGACTAGCTACAATATCAATTGAGTCATATGAGACATTTTATTATAAAAGATTACATATAATCAAAAACCACCTTTAATTAAGGTTCACCTGAAAATAAACAAAATATTCAACAGGATTGGAATTTTGAAAAAAATTCAAAACTCACACCACTCATTTTCATATGAGTGACACTCAAACAAAACCTGTCTATGGTCCTAATGAACCACAAAGCATGTCACATGATCAATGTGTGTAACAAGATTTTACATCCTTGACAAACAATCAGCCACAACATTATCACTACCCTTAATGTGTGAAATTTCCAGATTAAAATTTTGGAAATATAAGCACCATCTCAATATTCTTTGATTTGTCTGTCCTAACTTAGAGGTAAATTTCAGGGGATCATGGTCAGAAAACACTCTGACTGGATTGGTTGAAGAAGAGACATAGACTTCAAAATGTTGTAATGACAAAACCAAAGCTAAAGCTTCTTTTTCAATAGTAGAATAATTCTTTTGGTTTTCATTTAACTTCCTGGAAAAAAAGGCAATGGGATGGTCAATTCCCATGTTGTCTTCTTGAAATAGGACTGAGCCAATGGCTAAGTTGCTAGCATCAATGGCAAGTTTAAAGGGTTTGCTAAAATTTGGTGCGGCCATAACAGGAGCATTTGATAAAAATGACTTAATGGTTAAAAGGGCTTCTTGACATTTATTTGACCATTCAAACTCAACACCCTTTTTCAATAATGCAGTAAGAGGTTCAGCAATAGCTGAAAAGTTTTGACAGAACCGCCTATAGTAACCAGCCATCCCAAGGAACTTTTTGATCTCTTTACAATTTTTGGGAGGTGGTAACCTTACAATAGCATCTACTTTAGCTTCAATGGGCCGAACTTGGTTCGTTCCCACTTGATAACCCAAATAGGTAATTGAAGCTTTACAGAAATCACTTTTATGTAAGTTTACAGTAAAATTAACTTCAGACAGTTTTCTAAAAAGGTTAGTCAATTGAACAATATGTTCTTCAAAAGTATTAGAAAATACAACTATATCATCTATGTAGGCCTCACATTGGTCTATGTCAGCAATGACAGAGTTAATGACTCTCTGGAAAGTTTGACCAGCATTTCGCATACCAAAGGGCATACGTTTGTATCTATAAAAACCATTAGGGGTTACAAAAGCAGATATGTCTTTTGCACGGTCAGATAAGGGGATTTGCCAGTATCCTGAAAGTAAATCAATTTTGGAAATTATCTTAGCTTGACCAACTTTATCAATAACGTCTTCTATCCGAGGTAAGGGATAGGAATCAGCTTTGGTGAGCGCATTCACCTTCCTAAAGTCGGTCACAAACCTGAAAGATCCACCGTCTTTCGGTACTAGGAGACATGGGGAACTCCAGTTGCTGAAACTGGGCTCAATGATATCATTCTTGAGCATATAATCAATTTCATCTTTTATCAAAGCAGCTTTTTCCGGGTTAACTCTATAGGGGTGTTGTTTAATGGGTTTTGCGTCACCTACGACTACATCATGAGGTGGAACTTTCGCTTCTTTGGGGACATCCCCAAAAATAGAGGGAAACGTCTCAAACAACTGAGACAACCTATGGCTTTCCTCTGTGGACAAATGCATAAGGTGGACATTCAAATTATCTAAAAAGGAAGAATTTACCAATTTTGGGGGTTTCAATTTATCGTGTATCACATCATCAGAAACATTAGAACATACAGGTAAATTAATTTTAGCTGTGGATTGAAAATTGTTACAATTATCATAATACTTTTTCAGTGAGTTGACATGATACACTGTCTGTTTCTTTCTTCTGTCGGGCGTATTGACAACATAGTTCAAATCACTTAATTTTGAATGCACAGTAAAGGGTCCACAATATCTCAAGGATAACGCATTGTTCAGATTAGGTACTAGCACAAGAACTTTGTCGCCTGGATTGAATGTTCGTTTACAAGAACTCTTATCATACAGTTCTTTCATTCTCACTTGGGCCTTTCTTAAGTTCTTGTGAGCCATTTCGCACACGGCTTTCAGTCGAACGTGAAAATCGTCGAAGTTTTCCACTGGATGATCACTGGTACCTGTCCAACGTTCGTGTATCAGCTTCAGGGGGCCACGGACAGAATGTCCAAACACAAGTTGAAAAGGCGAGTAGCCTAAAGAGTCCTGGACACAGTCCCTCGCGGCGAAAATAATCCAAGGAACAGACTCATCCCATTGGGTGTTACTGTTAGCGAATGTCCTTAGCATGGTTTTGAGGGTTTGGTGGAACCTCTCAAGTACGCCTTGAGACTGAGGGTGGTAGGCTGAGCTGGTGATGTGGGTAACGCCTAGCTTGGCTAGCGCTTCCTGAAAATGGTGACTGGTGAAGTTGCTGCCTTGATCTGTTTGCACGATTCTAGGTAATCCAAAGGTAGTGAAGAACCGGGTCATGGCTCTGACTACAGTCTTTGCCTTAATGTTCCGTAAGGGAATCGCCTCGGGAAAACGGGTACTTGAACACATAAAGGTAAGTAGGTACTCGTTGCCCGCCTTGGTTTTAGGCAAGGGACCTACACAGTCCATGACGATTTTAGAAAAAGGTTCTTCTAATACAGGAATCGGACTCAAAGGGGCCTTAGGAATTGTCTGGTTTGGCTTTCCGGCCAACTGACAGTTCGTGCAACTTCTACAGTAACGCGACACATCTTTTCTCATTTTGGGCCAAAAGAACAGTTCTTTGATCTTCGCCGTTGTTTTAGTGACTCCTGGGTGTGCTGACATTGGATGGTCATGTGCTAGTTTAAGTATTTCATGCCGATAAGGTGGAGGAACCCACAGCTGGTTTTTACCCAACCATGGTTCGGCTGGTGAGGCATTCACTGGTATAGCGCGACGAAAGAAGAGGCCGTTCTCGGAGAAATATTCTCCATCGTCAGATGATAGAGATTTTTCGACCGTTGCTTTGAGTTCCGCGTCGACTTGTTGAGCTTTAATGATGTCTTCCTGAGATATCCTCAGGGGTAAGCCCAGGCTTGTTTTTTCTGGAAGCATAGACTCCAGTTTGGGAATCGAATTTCTTGACGATGATGGTAGATGTGGTTCAGACGTTGTGTCAGCCAATTGTTTGGTCTGGCTTCTTGTCACCGCACATGCAGGATACAGTTCATAATCATTATCTGGAACTGTTGACAAAGGGTCTGAAACCGTACAGGGGTATACTTTGCTTCCCGCAAGGTCATTCCCTAGAAGTAGGTGTACTCCTGGGACTGGAATACTATCTATCACACCTAAAATGACCTCACCTTCGACGAGATGATGTTTCAAGGCAAACTTGTGTAGAGGGACGACAGTAGATTTTGTCCCCACTCCCTGGATAATGGAAATCCTTCCGGTGTTCGTCTCTGGTGAAATGTCCATTGAACTTTTCAAAAGGAGTGATTGTGACGCTCCTGTGTCTCTTAGAACGGTGATATTCTTCTGAGACAACGGATCACCTGGTTTGCTAATGATGGCTTCAGCAATAAAAGATGAAAAGTCAACTTTTCTCGATCTCTCGAGATCGGTAGACTCGGAAGAAACTGGATGGAGGCGAGAACAGTCAAAATGTGACTGCACATAATGTGTGGAGACTTGACTACCTTCTTGCGGACACTTAGGGTTAGAGTCCTTTAGAATTCTAGAGTTCATAGTTGAACTGGCTGCTTGAGGGGATAGAGCATAGTGCGCAGAAGTACGCACCACCTCTCTGTTATTTTGAAGACGTTTGTAACAGTCCTTGACATGGTGACCAGGCCTTTTGCAGAACTGGCATACTGCTCGACGATTGAGAGTTGATCTTGGTTTCTCTCTGGACTGTGATGTCTTCAAATGTTGGCCAACAGGAGGATTGCTGCCAAAAAGGGGAAGCACGGGGTTGAGGCGGTTTCCTGACACTGGTGGTTTCTTATGCACCAACATATATGTGTCAGCCGACTCAGCAGCCTTCTGGATGTCAGTTATCTTGTTATCCAGTATGTGTAGTCGTATCTCTTCAGGCAGGGACGATAGGAATTCCTCCCTTAGGATAAGTGACCTGAGTTTCTCAAACTCAGAAACTTCCTCAGAGTGTAGCCACCTTGAGAATATTTTCTCCTTTTCAAAGAGAAATTCCACATATGATTGTGTGGGTAACTTGCGGAGTGTTCGGAATTTTGTCCGATAGGCCTCGGGCGTCAGTGCGTAGGCCTTTAAAATGGCAGTCTTGACCAAACTATAATTATTTTGAACGTCGTGAGAGAGTGCCTGGTATGTTTTTGCAGCTTTCCCAGTAAGGACAGAGCTCAATAAAGCAGTAATGGAAGTTTCGGGCCATTCACATGTCTTCGCTAAACTCTCAAACGAGTTAAAGAAAACAACCAAATCTGTTTCATCAAATTTAGGAACTAATTTCCCAAATTTGGCAATCACTTGCCCTACCGACAACTTTTTTGGATCTACCAGAGAAGTGACATCACTAACTTGACCAAATTCTAATTCCAACCTCCTCTTATCTAAAGCAATTTTAGCCTCTAACTCCTGTTTCTCTAAAGCAACTTTTTCCTTCTCTAAAGCAACTTTCTCCTTCTTTAAAGCAATTCTAGCTTCTAATTCTACCTTCTCTAGAGTTTTCTCCTCGCGGAGCAACACACCAGCCAACAAACTTTCATCAAATACTCCTTCATTAATGAAATGAACAACAATTTTATCTCTCAACACCTCTGACTTCTGCGTAACAGAATAATCCAATTTCAATTCCTTAACTACACTAACCAAAACTTTTCTACTCAACTTTTCTACATCTTCAACAGTAGGATTAGCCAAAAAAGACTCCATAACACTAACTTGAAAATCACAACAAGCCTAGATTCTTTAAATTAATACACAGCGTTGGGCCGTGTACTTGACCTCTAAATGTAGGACGTGACACGTCTGCTTATTTGACCTAGATACTCTAGCCTGAGCGCGCGTTGTAAGAACACTACGCTACTGGATATAAAAACAACTAAATCCAACTAACCTTAGTATTCAACTGATATAACCAACAACTGGAACGACAGATTAAATCCCGGACGAGCCCCCACTTTGTAACGTTAACCTATCTATCAGCCAAATAGAAGGAGAACGTCCCCGGATTCTTTTTTCGGGGTCATATGCAAATGCCTTACGGCCTAAGTGGATGAACACTTAACACAACGACCACTAGGGCTCGAATTTAATGTCTAGGGAAGCTAGTGATACTATTGTAATTAACACTCATCCAATCTACATACGACCTTTTAATCAGCGAACACAGATGTGGCCGAACACAAGGTTAAACTAGTTAAAATATTTAATGTATAAAATATCAAAAACCCAACTTACAAAATGTAGGAAAAATCACTATCACAGATTTCTACACTGTCTAAAGAACAGCTACAGGCCACACAACACTGCTGTAGTTTCTAGAATTACTTAGCGACAAGTAATATTAAACTAGAAGACCAAATCAACTTAAAAAAGCAAGGCACACACAGGTCTTAAGTACTCTCACGTTCAAATGGTCAGAGTCTATAGCCGGACAATATGGACGGCAACCTGACCAAGGTAAAACGGCCTCGTAGACTGCCAGGTCAAGAAAAACTGCCTCGTGTTGCGAGTGTGCAGTGCAATTAAAGACTTCTGTGACAGGGGAGGTTATCCTCAACTCATGTCGCCATTGGTTGGGATAATCATCTGATCAGAATCATTCAATCAGATTTTAATGGAAAATTTCTATGTCTCAAACACCTTAATAAGTCAGTGGAAAAACCCCAGGTGTTACACCATCATTCCATATAAGGAATTATACAATGTCAAAATAAAAATGACTCGACCTAAGTAGGTCACACAACAATGCTTAAGTAGATGTTTCATTGCCTTCCCCATCACCTACCAATGAACCACCACATGAGGCGCCAACAATTTAGCCTCAATCCTCTTTCTGATTACTAGAGCTACAGGCTAGCTATTTACCTGTTCTTCAAGAGGGACTATAGTTGTTGGGGAGATGGAACAGTGACCGCCAGATGGTGGGAGATTGGCTGGAAGTGTCAGCGACGATGAGCCTGCCCTCTGGCCAGGGCACTGGCCACTGGCCACAAATGTGTAGTTTTGGCCATCCTTCAATGCTCCCCACTTGTTAAGAACAAGGCTGGCGCCAGTGACCAGAATGTGAGAGCTCTCTAAGGACAACTCTTGCAGCCCCTCAAACACCTGAGGAATACAGATCTCAGCCTTATATACTGTATCATACAAATATTTCCACAGCTCCCATACAAACCTTCCACAGCTCCCATACAAACCTTCCACAGCTCCCATACAAACCTTCCACAGCTCCCATACAAACCTTCCACAGCTCCCATACAAACCTTCCACAGCTCCCATACAAACCTTCCACAGCTCCAATACAAACCTTCCACAGCTCCCATACAAACCTTCCACAGCTCCCATACAAACCTTCCATCTGAACTCCATACAAACCTTCCACAGCTCCCATACAAACCTTCCACAGCTCCCATACAAACCTTCCACAGCTCCCATACAAACCTTCCACAGCTCCCATACAAACCTTCCACAGCTCCCATACAAACCTTCCACAGCTCCCATACAAACCTTCCACAGCTCCCATACAAACCTTCCACAGCTCCCATACAAACCTTCCACAGCTGCCATACAAACCTTCCACAGCTGCCATACAAACCTTCCACAGCTCCCATACAAACCTTCCACAGCTCCCATACAAACCTTCCACAGCTCCCATACAAACCTTCCACAGCTCCCATACAAACCTTCCATCTGAACTCCATACAAACCTTCCACAGCTCCCATACAAACCTTCTACAGCTCCAATACAAACCTTCTACAGCTCCAATACAAACCTTCCACAGCTCCCATACAAACCTTCCACAGCTCCCATACAAACCTTCTACAGCTCCAATACAAACCTTCTACAGCTCCCATACAAACCTTCTACAGCTCCAATACAAACCTTCCACAGCTCCCATACAAACCTTCCATCTAAACTCCATACAAACCTTCCACAGCTCCCATACAAACCTTCTACAGCTCCCATACAAACCTTCCACAGCTCCCATACAAACCTTCCACAGCTCCCATACAAACCTTCCATCTAAACTCCATACAAACCTTCCACAGCTCCCATACAAACCTTCCACAGCTCCCATACAAACCTTCCATCTGAACTCCATACAAACCTTCCACAGCTCCCATACAAACCTTCCACAGCTCCCATACAAACCTTCCACAGCTCCCATACAAACCTTCCACAGCTCCCATACAAACCTTCCACAGCTCCCATACAAACCTTCCACAGCTCCCATACAAACCTTCCACAGCTCCCATACAAACCTTCCACAGCTCCCATACAAACCTTCCACAGCTCCCATACAAACCTTCCACAGCTCCCATACAAACCTTCCACAGCTGCCATACAAACCTTCCACAGCTGCCATACAAACCTTCCACAGCTCCCATACAAACCTTCCACAGCTCCCATACAAACCTTCCATCTGAACTCCATACAAACCTTCCACAGCTCCCATACAAACCTTCTACAGCTCCAATACAAACCTTCTACAGCTCCAATACAAACCTTCCACAGCTCCCATACAAACCTTCCACAGCTCCCATACAAACCTTCTACAGCTCCAATACAAACCTTCTACAGCTCCCATACAAACCTTCTACAGCTCCAATACAAACCTTCCACAGCTCCCATACAAACCTTCCATCTAAACTCCATACAAACCTTCCACAGCTCCCATACAAACCTTCTACAGCTCCCATACAAACCTTCCACAGCTCCCATACAAACCTTCCACAGCTCCCATACAAACCTTCCATCTAAACTCCATACAAACCTTCCACAGCTCCCATACAAACCTTCCACAGCTCCCATACAAACCTTCCATCTGAACTCCATACAAACCTTCCATCTGAACTCCATACAAACCTTCCACAGCTCCCATACAAACCTTCCACAGCTGCCATACAAACCTTCCACAGCTCCCATACAAACCTTCCACAGCTCCCATACAAACCTTCCACAGCTCCCATACAAACCTTCCACAGCTGCCATACAAACCTTCCACAGCTCCCATACAAACCTTCCATCTAAACTCCATACAAACCTTCCACAGCTCCCATACAAACCTTCCACAGCTCCCATACAAACCTTCCACAGCTGCCATACAAACCTTCCACAGCTCCCATACAAACCTTCCATCTAAACTCCATACAAACCTTCCACAGCTCCCATACAAACCTTCCACAGCTGCCATACAAACCTTCCACAGCTCCCATACAAACCTTCCATCTGAACTCCATACTACAGCTGCATGTCTGGCACCCAGCTGTGAGGACGACAGTCTGGCTGAAACTGACGCGGTAATTTCTGAATCTGTCACAAGACATGCATGTGACACTGACGACTGGCACTTGGTCAGGACTTGATTCAACCAAAACCTGAGGACACAATCAAACCAATTGTATACAGCAGGACACAATCAAACCAATTGTATACAGTAGGACCAACCAAAACCTGAGGACAAAATCAAACCAATTGTATACAGTAGGACAAAATCAAACCTATTGTATACAGCAGGACAAAATCAAACCTATTGTATACAGTAGGACAAAATCAAACCAATTGTATACAGTAGGACAAAATACTCCCAATTGTATACAGTAGGACCAACCAAAACCTGAGGACAAAATCAAAATTCACTGTTGGTATCACATTGATGATAGTCAGGAAGTAAATGACTCATTAGTTGTAGCATATTGTGTATGTGGTTAAATGTCTCATTAGTTGTAGCACATTGTGTATGTGGTTAATGTCTCATTGGTTGTAGCACATTGTGTATGTGGTTAAATGTCTCATTAGTTGTAGCACATTGTGTATGTGGTTAATGTCTCATTAGTTGTAGCACATTGTGTATGTGGTTAAATGTCTCATTAGTTGTAGCATATTGTGTATGTGGTTAATGTCTCATTAGTTGTAGCATATTGTGTATGTGGTTAATGTCTCATTAGTTGTAGCATATTGTGTATGTGGTTAATGTCTCATTAGTTGTAGCATATTGTGTATGTGGTTAATGTCTCATTGGTTGTAGCACATTGTGTATGTGGTTAAATGTCACATTGGTTGTAGCATATTGTGTATGTGGTTAATGTCTCATTAGTTGTAGCATATTGTGTATGTGGTTAATGTCTCATTAGTTGTAGCATATTGTGTATGTGGTTAATGTCTCATTAGTTGTAGCATATTGTGTATGTGGTTAATGTCTCATTAGTTGTAGCATATTGTGTATGTGGTTAATGTCTCATTAGTTGTAGCACATTGTGTATCTGGTTAATGTCTCATTGGTTGTAGCACATTGTGTATGTGGTTAAATGTCTCATTGGTTGTAGCATATTGTGTATGTGGTTAATGTCTCATTAGTTGTAGCATATTGTGTATGTGGTTAAATGTCTCATTAGTTGTAGCATATTGTGTATGTGGTTAATGTCTCATTAGTTGTAGCACATTGTGAATGTGGTTAATGTCTCATTGGTTGTAGCACATTGTGTATGTGGTTAAATGTCTCATTGGTTGTAGCATATTGTGTATGTGGTTAATGTCTCATTAGTTGTAGCACATTGTGTATGTGGTTAAATGTCACATTGGTTGTAGCACATTGTGTATGTGGTTAAATGTCACATTGGTTGTAGCATATTGTGTATGTGGTTAATGTCTCATTAGTTGTAGCATATTGTGTATGTGGTTAATGTCTCATTAGTTGTAGCACATTGTGTATGTGGTTAATGTCTCATTAGTTGTAGCATATTGTGTATGTGGTTAAATGTCTCATTAGTTGTAGCATATTGTGTATGTGGTTAATGTCTCATTAGTTGTAGCATATTGTGTATGTGGTTAATGTCTCATTGGTTGTAGCACATTGTGTATGTGGTTAAATGTCACATTGGTTGTAGCATATTGTGTATGTGGTTAATGTCTCATTAGTTGTAGCATATTGTGTATGTGGTTAATGTCTCATTAGTTGTAGCATATTGTGTATGTGGTTAATGTCTCATTAGTTGTAGCACATTGTGTATGTGGTTAATGTCTCATTAGTTGTAGCATATTGTGTATGTGGTTAATGTCTCATTAGTTGTAGCATATTGTGTATGTGGTTAATGTCTCATTGGTTGTAGCACATTGTGTATGTGGTTAAATGTCACATTGGTTGTAGCATATTGTGTATGTGGTTAATGTCTCATTAGTTGTAGCATATTGTGTATGTGGTTAATGTCTCATTAGTTGTAGCATATTGTGTATGTGGTTAATGTCTCATTAGTTGTAGCATATTGTGTATGTGGTTAATGTCTCATTAGTTGTAGCATATTGTGTATGTGGTTAATGTCTCATTAGTTGTAGCATATTGTGTATGTGGTTAATGTCTCATTAGTTGTAGCATATTGTGTATGTGGTTAATGTCTCATTAGTTGTAGCATATTGTGTATGTGGTTAATGTCTCATTAGTTGTAGCACATTGTGTATGTGGTTAATGTCTCATTAGTTGTAGCATATTGTGTATGTGGTTAATGTCTCATTAGTTGTAGCATATTGTGTATGTGGTTAATGTCTCATTAGTTGTAGCATATTGTGTATGTGGTTAATGTCTCATTAGTTGTAGCATATTGTGTATGTGGTTAATGTCTCATTAGTTGTAGCACATTGTGTATGTGGTTAATGTCTCATTAGTTGTAGCACATTATGTATGCCATGTGGGTCTCTACTTACAAACTGTTGAGTGCTTGCATGCCTGTCTATGGCGGACACATACAGAGTGATGGTGTACGTGCCAGGACTTGACATTGTTGAACAGAACTTGGGCTCAAAGGTCTTTTCAAAACACTCAGAGCCATCAATTACCTGCGGAGAACAGAGCCATCAATTACCTGTGGGGACCATGGCCATCAATTACCTTTGGGGGATTACTTCCAACACTTGAGTATAAATTATGATCTATTGTAAGCAAGAACTTACATTAGAACATTCCCATGAATATGTCAGACAAGAACTTACATTAGATCATTCCCATAAATATGTCAGACAAGAACTTACATTAGAACATTCCCATAAATATGTCAGACAAGAACTTACATTAGAACATTCCCATGAATATGTCAGACTTGGTCCATCCAGGCCACTGCTATCTGGGTCAAACGACAGACTGCCATCCATGCAGAGCGTTGAATTGAGAGACACCGTTCTGCAAAGTGACCAACATTAGCTTCAACAATCTAGCGTTGAATTGAGAGACACCGTTCTGCAAAGTGACCAACATTAGCTTTAACAATCTAGCGTTGAATTGAGAGACACCGTGAGACATGTCTCACCTGTTTGTTCCACCACTAGAGCTAAAGACACAAGACATGTCTCACCTGTTGGTTCCACCACTAGAGCTAAAGACATGTCTCACCTGTTTGTTCCACCACTAGAGCTAAAGACACAAGACATGTCTCACCTGTTGGTTCCACCACTAGAGCTAAAGACATGTCTCACCTGTTTGTTCCACCACTAGAGCTAAAGACACAAGACATGTCTCACCTGTTTGTTCCACCACTAGAGCTAAAGACACAAGACATGTCTCACCTGTTTGTTCCACCACTAGAGCTAAAGACACAAGACATGTCTCACCTGTTGGTTCCACCACTAGAGCTAAAGACACAAGACATGTCTCACCTGTTGGTTCCACCACTAGAGCTAAAGACATGTCTCACCTGTTTGTTCCACCACTAGAGCTAAAGACACAAGACATGTCTCACCTGTTTGTTCCACCACTAGAGCTAAAGACATGTCTCACCTGTTTGTTCCACCACTAGAGCTAAAGACATGTCTCACCTGTTTGTTCCACCACTAGAGCTAAAGACACAAGACATGTCTCACCTGTTTGTTCCACCACTAGAGCTAAAGACACAAGACATGTCTCACCTGTTTGTTCCACCACTAGAGCTAAAGACACAAGACATGTCTCACCTGTTTGTTCCACCACTAGAGCTAAAGAAATGTCTCACCTGTTGGTTCCACCACTAGAGCTAAAGACATGTCTCACCTGTTTGTTCCACCACTAGAGCTAAAGACATGTCTCACCTGTTGGTTCCACCACTAGAGCTAAGGAAATGTCTCACCTGTTTGTTCCACCACTAGAGCTAAAGACATGTCTCACCTGTTGGTTCCACCACTAGAGCTAAAGACATGTCTCACCTGTTGGTTCCACCACTAGAGCTAAAGACATGTCTCACCTGTTGGTTCCACCACTAGAGCTAAAGACATGTCTCACCTGTTTGTTCCACCACTAGAGCTAAAGACATGTCTCACCTGTTTGTTCCACCACTAGAGCTAAAGAAATGTCTCACCTGTTTGTTCCACCACTAGAGCTAAAGAAATGTCTCACCTGTTTGTTCCACCACTAGAGCTAAAGACATGTCTCACCTGTTTGTTCCACCACTAGAGCTAAAGAAATGTCTCACCTGTTTGTTCCACCACTAGAGCTAAAGAAATGTCTCACCTGTTTGTTCCACCACTAATGACGGCCTTGAGAGCTGATGAGACCACCAGGATGGTGTATTCCACAGACACAGAGATGCTGCTGTAGTAGTAGCCTGTAGTGAAGCGGACACAGTATATCCCAGCACTCAGGGTGAGGGCTGGCACCATCAGTGTAGGGTTGGAGGTCAAGGTCACCCCTAAGTCAACCTGTTAATAGATGTACATACATCTTTTGGCATCTCAATCAAAAAGTGCCAACAATTGGTTTGAGATGAATATCACTTTAATATTACAAAGTGCTTTTGGAGCTGTCAATGTATTATAGATATGTTTGCAGCTGTCAATGTATTATAGACATGTTTGGAGCTGTCAATGTATTATAGATATGTTTGGAGCTGTCAATGTATTATAGACATGTTTGGAGCTGTCAATGTATGTTTGGAGCTGTCAATGTATTACAGATATGTTTGGAGCTGTCAATGTATTATAGATATGTTTGGAGCTGTCAATGTATTATAGATATGTTTGGAGCTGTCAATGTATTATAGACATGTTTGGAGCTGTCAATGTATGTTTGGAGCTGTCAATGTATTATAGATATGTTTGGAGCTGTCAATGTATGTTTGGAGCTGTCAATGTATTATAGACATGTTTGGAGCTGTCAATGTATGTTTGGAGCTGTCAATGTATTATAGATATGTTTGGAGCTGTCAATGTATTATAGATATGTTTGGAGCTGTTAATGTATTACAGATATGTTTGGAGCTGTCAATGTATTATAGATATGCTTGGAGCTGTCAATGTATTATAGATATGTTTGGAGCTGTCAATGTATGTTTGGAGCTGTCAATGTATGTTTGGAGCTGTCAATGTATTACAGATATGTTTGGAGCTGTCAATGTATGTTTGGAGCTGTCAATGTATTATAGATATGTTTGGAGCTGTCAATGTATTATAGATATGTTTGGAGCTGTCAATGTATTATAGATATGTTTGCAGCTGTCAATGTATTATAGATATGTTTGCAGCTGTCAATGTATGTTTGGAGCTGTCAGTGTATTATAGATATGTTTGGAAATGTCAATGTATTATAGATATGTTCGGAGCTCTCAATGTATTATAGATATGTTTGGAGCTGTCAATGTATTACAGATATGTTTAGAGCTGTCAATGTATGATTGGAGCTGTCAATGTATTATAGATATGTTTGGAGCTGTCAATGTATGTTTGGAGCTGTCAATGTATTATAGATGTGTTTGGAGCTGTCAATGTATGTTTGGAGCTGTCAATGTATTATAGACATGTTTGGAGCTGTCAATGTATGTTTGGAGCTGTCAATGTATTATAGATATGTTTGGAGCTGTCAATGTATTATAGACATGTTTGGAACTGTCCATGTATTATAGACATGATTGGAGCTGTCAAGGTATGTTTCGAGCTGTCAATGTATTATAGATGTTTGGAGCTGTCAATGTATTATAGACATGTTTGGAGCTGTCAATGTATGTTTGGAGCTGTCAATGTATTATAGACATGTTTGGAGCTGTCAATGTATGTTTGGAGCTGTCAATGTATTATAGATGTTTGGAACTGTCAATGTATTATAGACATTTTTGGAGCTGTCAATGTATGTTTGGAGCTGTCAATGTATTATAGATATGTTTGGAGCTGTCAATGTATTATAGACATGTTTGGAGCTGTCAATGTATTATAGAAATGTTTGGAGCTGTCAATGTATGTTTGGAGCTGTCAATGTATTATAGACATGTTTGGAGCTGTCAATGTATTATAGACATGTTTGGAGCTGTCAATGTATTATAGATATGTTTGGAGCTGTCAATGTATTACAGATATGTTTGGAGCTGTCAATGTATGTATGGAGCTGTCAATGTATGTTTGGCGCTGTCAATGTATTATAGATATGTTTGGAGCTGTCAATGTATTATAGATATGTTTGGAGCTGTCAATGTATTATAGATGTTTGGAGCTGTCAATGTGTTATAGATATGTTTGGAACTGTCAATGTATTATAGATGTTTGGAGCTGTCAATGTATTATAGATATGTTTGGAGCTGTCAATGTATTATAGATATGTTTGAAGCTGTCAATGTATTATAGACATGTTTGGAGCTGTCAATGTATTATAGATATGTTTGGAGCTGTCAATGTATTATAGATATGTTTGGAGCTGTCAATGTATTATAGATATGTTTGGAGCTGTCAAGTATTATAGATGTTTGGAGCTGTCAATGTGTTATAGATATGTTTGGAACTGTCAATGTATTATAGATGTTTGGAGCTGTCAATGTATTATAGACATGTTTGGAGCTGTCAATGTATGTTTGGAGCTGTCAATGTATTATAGATGTTTGGAACTGTCAATGTATTATAGACATTTTTGGAGCTGTCAATGTATGTTTGGAGCTGTCAATGTATTATAGATATGTTTGGAGCTGTCAATGTATTATAGACATGTTTGGAGCTGTCAATGTATTATAGAAATGTTTGGAGCTGTCAATGTATGTTTGGAGCTGTCAATGTATTATAGACATGTTTGGAGCTGTCAATGTATTATAGACATGTTTGGAGCTGTCAATGTATTATAGATATGTTTGGAGCTGTCAATGTATTACAGATATGTTTGGAGCTGTCAATGTATGTATGGAGCTGTCAATGTATGTTTGGAGCTGTCAATGTATTATAGATATGTTTGGAGCTGTCAATGTATTATAGATATGTTTGGAGCTGTCAATGTATTATAGATGTTTGGAGCTGTCAATGTGTTATAGATATGTTTGGAACTGTCAATGTATTATAGATGTTTGCAGCTGTCAATGTATAATAGACATGTTTGGAGCTGTCAATGTATTATAGATATGTTTGGAGCTGTCAATGTATTATAGACATGTTTGGAGCTGTCAATGTATGTTTGGAGCTGTCAATGTATTACAGATATGTTTGGAGCTGTCAATGTATTATAGATATGTTTGGAGCTGTCAATGTATTATAGATATGTTTGGAGCTGTCAATGTATTATAGACATGTTTGGAGCTGTCAATGTATGTTTGGAGCTGTCAATGTATTATAGATATGTTTGGAGCTGTCAATGTATGTTTGGAGCTGTCAATGTATTATAGACATGTTTGGAGCTGTCAATGTATGTTTGGAGCTGTCAATGTATTATAGATATGTTTGGAGCTGTCAATGTATTATAGATATGTTTGGAGCTGTTAATGTATTACAGATATGTTTGGAGCTGTCAATGTATTATAGATATGCTTGGAGCTGTCAATGTATTATAGATATGTTTGGAGCTGTCAATGTATGTTTGGAGCTGTCAATGTATGTTTGGAGCTGTCAATGTATTACAGATATGTTTGGAGCTGTCAATGTATGTTTGGAGCTGTCAATGTATTATAGATATGTTTGGAGCTGTCAATGTATTATAGATATGTTTGGAGCTGTCAATGTATTATAGATATGTTTGCAGCTGTCAATGTATTATAGATATGTTTGCAGCTGTCAATGTATGTTTGGAGCTGTCAGTGTATTATAGATATGTTTGGAAATGTCAATGTATTATAGATATGTTCGGAGCTCTCAATGTATTATAGATATGTTTGGAGCTGTCAATGTATTACAGATATGTTTAGAGCTGTCAATGTATGATTGGAGCTGTCAATGTATTATAGATATGTTTGGAGCTGTCAATGTATGTTTGGAGCTGTCAATGTATTATAGATGTGTTTGGAGCTGTCAATGTATGTTTGGAGCTGTCAATGTATTATAGACATGTTTGGAGCTGTCAATGTATGTTTGGAGCTGTCAATGTATTATAGATATGTTTGGAGCTGTCAATGTATTATAGACATGTTTGGAACTGTCCATGTATTATAGACATGATTGGAGCTGTCAATGTATGTTTCGAGCTGTCAATGTATTATAGATGTTTGGAGCTGTCAATGTATTATAGACATGTTTGGAGCTGTCAATGTATGTTTGGAGCTGTCAATGTATTATAGACATGTTTGGAGCTGTCAATGTATGTTTGGAGCTGTCAATGTATTATAGATGTTTGGAACTGTCAATGTATTATAGACATTTTTGGAGCTGTCAATGTATGTTTGGAGCTGTCAATGTATTATAGATATGTTTGGAGCTGTCAATGTATTATAGACATGTTTGGAGCTGTCAATGTATTATAGAAATGTTTGGAGCTGTCAATGTATGTTTGGAGCTGTCAATGTATTATAGACATGTTTGGAGCTGTCAATGTATTATAGACATGTTTGGAGCTGTCAATGTATTATAGATATGTTTGGAGCTGTCAATGTATTACAGATATGTTTGGAGCTGTCAATGTATGTATGGAGCTGTCAATGTATGTTTGGAGCTGTCAATGTATTATAGATATGTTTGGAGCTGTCAATGTATTATAGATATGTTTGGAGCTGTCAATGTATTATAGATGTTTGGAGCTGTCAATGTGTTATAGATATGTTTGGAACTGTCAATGTATTATAGATGTTTGGAGCTGTCAATGTATTATAGATATGTTTGGAGCTGTCAATGTATTATAGATATGTTTGAAGCTGTCAATGTATTATAGACATGTTTGGAGCTGTCAATGTATTATAGATATGTTTGGAGCTGTCAATGTATTATAGATATGTTTGGAGCTGTCAATGTATTATAGATATGTTTGGAGCTGTCAAGTATTATAGATGTTTGGAGCTGTCAATGTGTTATAGATATGTTTGGAACTGTCAATGTATTATAGATGTTTGGAGCTGTCAATGTATTATAGATATGTTTGGAGCTGTCAATGTATTATAGATATGTTTGAAGCTGTCAATGTATTATAGATATGTTTGGAGCTGTCAATGTATTATAGATATGTTTGGAGCTGTCAATGTATTATAGACATGTTTGGAGCTGTCAATGTATTATAGATATGTTTGGAGCTGTCAATGTATTATAGACATGTTTGGAGCTGTCAATGTATTACAGATATGTTTGGAGCTGTCAATGTATTATAGATGTTTGGAGCTGTCAATGTATTATAGATATGTTTATAGCTGTCAATGTATTATAGACATGTTTGGAACTGTCAATGTATTATAGACATGTTTGGAGCTGTCAATGTATGTTTGGAGCTGTCAATGTATTATAGATGTTTGGAGCTGTCAATGTATTATAGATATGTTTGGAGCTGTCAATGTATTATAGATATGTTTGCAGCTGTCAATGTATTATAGATATGTTTGCAGCTGTCAATGTATTATAGATATGTTTAGAGCTGTCAATGTATGTTTGGAGCTGTCAATGTATTATAGATATGTTTGGAGCTGTCAATGTATTATAGACATGTTTGGAGCTGTCAATGTATTATAGATATGTTTAGAGCTGTCAATGTATGTTTGAAGCTGTCAATGTATTATAGATATGTTTGGAGCTGTCAATATGTTTGGAGCTGTCAATGTATTACAGATATGAAATGAAGGTGAGAAAATGTTTTGAGTGCAAGTCAGATACCTTCTTGTCCAGGTGCAGACAGGTGGGTCCCTGAAACACCTGCCAGGTATGTGTGGCCAGGTAGTCGCGACAGCCCAGCAGGTCTACTGCTGCCTCCAGTTCTAGTCTCTCTGACCTTGACATTGTTCTGTTGGCTGATCCAACATGGGCAACTTTTGGCAGCTTGCAGAGAAAAGTTTGAACTCTGAACTCCAGGCTAGTCACTAGCTGACTGATGTCATTCCAGACAGACAAATTCAATGTGTAGTTGCCAACTTCAGCAAAACTAACTTGAATGGAATTAGTTCGAGTAGAGTAGCTGCCCTTAGAAGAGAAGGTCCAGTTAAACTGGGCAAAAAGAAAATGATTTCCTATTGCTAGGAATGTCACATTTTCATTCTGAAAGATGTAGTCTGGTTTAGGGTCTGCAATAGTAAGTCTGACACCAGCTACAGGGAGTTGTAGTTCTTTAAAGCACAGAGAAACCTGAGTGCTAATATTATTCTGTGCAACAAGTACAAGCTTATACCTTCCTTCATCAGGGAAAAAATGGCTGACATTTTGACCATGTAAAGTGATGTTGCTAGCGCTGTCTTCAATATACCATCTGAAGGTGACATTTGTTCCTTGTGACAGACTTGCTCTGAGAGCAGTCAAAGACCGAGCCTCCTGGCGCAGACTACAATCTAAAATAGCTAGACCGGCCACTGGCTGTTGGGCACAGACTAGCGCATGCGCAGACATGTTGGAGACGTTGTTAGAAGCCAGGAGATGGACGCTCCAACAGCCAGGCTCTACAAACTGGGTCACCACCTGAGGGCCCTGCAAGGTCACCTCATCCAGCACCCACGAGAAGGTTACGCCACTGGCACTAGGGTTGACCGAACTTTGTAAAGTGACATTGGTACCTGTAGCAAGCACGCCCTCACTGACTAACACGTGCAGGTCTGTGATTTCCCCCTCAACGTAGATGTCCAAAGAATCACTTGCATGACTCAGCTCATTTGTCACCGCCAGAACCAGTCTATACTGGCCAGGCGTATTCCACTGGACGGTCCAGTTGACAGCACGATGCTCTGTGCCAGGAGCCTGGCTCGTCAGGTCACACAAGGTCGTCAGGTCACACAAGGTCGTCAGGTCACACAAGGTCGTCAGGTCACACAAGGTCCAGGTGTAGGTCAGGTCTGACCCTGAGACGCTGGGAGCTGAGAACGTTAGAGTAGAGCCAAGCTTCACGTACCTTGTGTTCAGGTGTGTTGTGTTCAGGTGTGTTGTGTTCAGGTTTGTTGTGTTCATGTGTGCTGTGTCCCAATCTACTACTATAAACACGCCTGCTACTGGCTCAAGCACCAACACGTGTGTAGACGCCATTGCCGAATTGATGCTATTTTTAGCCAGAACCTTTAAAGTGACGTTGCCCACTGAGTCGAATGTGAGCAGGCCGGTGGGTCCAGTGAGGGTGAGTTGTGAGTCATCCAGCCACCACACCAACTGGACGTGCGAGCCAGTGGCCATGTCGGCCTTGACCCTGAGCACATGGCCCAGCAATACACGCAGGGAGCTGCTGACGTTCAGGCTCAAGCCGGTTATCCGTTCCTCCACTTGGATGCTGAGGGAGGCGTTCATTGTGCTCATCTTGTTGGCAGCAGTTACTGTCATCGTGTAGGCGTCCAGCGAGGCAAAGAGGAACTGTAGACCTGGGCCGCTTTTAGAGCTGGTTTCAATGCTACTTTTGACTGCCCAATCAAAAGATACAAGAAAGTGTGTGTTGGTGCTGACAGTAAAATTGTACTCCTTGCCCAGTTCAGCGTATAAGTTTGTGGCATCTATTATGAGAGAGTGCCGGATGGACAGCTCAGTGATGACATCAATGACAGTGATGTTGACAGTGTGGGTGACAGAAGACACGTTGTTACTGACGCGCACTGAACAGCTGTGAAGGCCAGTGCTTGAGAAGATGACAGTCAAGTTGTTGATGTCACTTGACCTGTCACATGACCCGCTGTCACATGACCAGCTGTCACATGACCAGCTGTAGCTGACATTGGTGCCTGAGGACAGCCGGACATGAAGGCTCAGATCTTTGTTCACCTGCACCACGGCTGGCCAGATGGTCACTTCAACCCCAGTGATCTCCTCTTGTGCCGTCAGGTCAAGCCTGGCTGTCTCGCTGCTGACAGCATTAGAGGCTGTCACGGTCAGGCTGTACACACCGGCAGACACAAAGCTGTACATGCACCATCTGCCTGTACACAAAGTGCTGTCGTTGTTGATGCTCCAGCTGTAGGTTTCATCAGTTCCAGATTTCAGGGCGGCAACCAATGCCAGGCTGGAATTTGTTCTGGCACAAAACCTCGGCTGGCACCCCAGACAGCTGACCTGCAGTCCAGCGATGACCCCAACAACAGACACCAGGGCGACCTGATCCTCTTTACTCACCTCATTCCTGACCTTCACGCTCAGCCTGTACAGCCGAGGTTCTGTCACCGTCAAGGTCAAGGTCTCTGTGCTCCCCACAACTTGTCCACTGTTGCCTAGAAACCACGAGAAGGTCAGGTTAGATCCCTGCATGACCTGAGCCGTCACGATGATCTGGGCCGCCGGAGCCCACAAGGCCACTGGGCTGACGTAGTGTAGAGAGAGGCCCCTGACTGGCTCCTGAACACAGATCTCCCGCTGTGCCGAGTCAGCCCTGCCGTCTGAGATGTTTGACACGGTGAGTCCCACAGTGAAGGCCCCGAGACTGCTGTAGCTGCTGGACACGGCGCTCAGCCCCTGGCCCTCGAGAGCCTGGCCGTTACCCAGGGACCAGTTGTAGTGCAGGCTGGCCGGGCTCTGGGAGGCGACCAGTGCGCTGAGGGTGACCGTTGAGCTGACCGGCACGCAGGCGCTGGCCCTTATTTTCATGATTTTCAAAAGATTTTCATCGTAGGCGTAGAGTGTGAGGCTGCGTGTTTTGACGCTGACGTCATTCCTGGCGACAGCCGTGGCCTCGTACACGTTGGCCTGGGCGTACGTGTAGGAAAAGTTGTTGCTCTGCTGGTAGCTGCTGTCGTGTGTGCCGTCACCAAAGTTGATGCTGTAGATGACGTCAGTTCCTTTGGTGTGGCTCAGGTAGAATGTCACTTGCTGGCTGACATGCTTGGGACCGTCATACTCCAATGTCAGCTCTGATATGCCCTCTTGGAATGTCAGCTTGCTCAGGCTAGTTATGACATTCTGCCTGTCAACATCTGAGCTGACCTGCACCTGCAGCAGGTGCTCACCAACCTGCGACAGGTTGCAGGTAATGACCTGCACCGGGCTCAGGTCCTGCCATTCCCTGATTGGTGCGCCATCCGCCCAGCTGAGAGTGAAGTTCAGCCATCCATAGCCGTGCTTGTTGTCCAGCGCGTCCACAGCGATCGTCAGGTTAAACTCGACGTCTGTAGCTAGAACCTTGGATGGTGTTGTCATGGTAACGGACTGGATGTGCTTGTAGACAACAAAGTCCTGGTGCACCGAAAGAGAACTGCCAAAAGCATCCTGCAGCCGGAGACCTACTGTCACATTGCCAGTTTTGGTCCACGTGTACAGCTGAAAGAAAGATGAAGAGCTTGCCGTCAGCTGCTGGCTAATGATGTCTGTGTCAAAGCTCCAGGTGAGAGAAATGTGGGCACCAACTTGGACAGGGGCCACAGCAGAGAAGTTGAGCACCTCTCCCATGAACAATGTTCTCTTGTTCAACGTTAGATTAGCAGAGCTGAAGTTGGCTTTGATTCTGGCCCGAACCAAAAGGCTGGCATTGAGCCAAGAGATGGGGTTGGACACATTGACACTCAGCTGGTAGTCCCGAGCCTCAGCAAATCTGTAGCTCAGGCTATGGCTGACTGAACCCACACTCACTCCGTCCACAGCGTATACCACTGTCTCAGCTAGCCCAGATTCAAGGCTGACATTAAACGATTGAGTGGCATTCACTTCCACAATCAGCTGACAGTTTGCCACATGGCAGTCTGTCAGCTGACAGTTTGCCACATGGCAGTCTGTCAGCTGGCAGTCTGTCATCTGGGTGCAGTTGGTGGGGTACAGCTGTAGCCCAGCGAGAGGCGTGAAGCTGCTGACCCAGACAGTCAGGGACTCAGTACTCACGCCGTTGGTCACGCTGACATCAAATCTCGATGGGCCAGAGAACTGACGAGTCATCGCCGAATAAAGAGGGGGGGTGAGGCTGGTGTCAGACTGACAAGCTGGCTGACAGTGGCTTGTCCAGTTGCTTGTCAGTTTGTCACCCTCAGTAAAAAGCCACGTGACACGCGGGTCAGTGCCAGATGACAGACTGACGAGCAGATCCTGTGTCCGGTTGACGGCAACATTGATGTGCACGGACGTGCCGGTGCTGTTGTAGGCGGGAGGGTGGAGCCACCGCAGGCCCCCGACCTTCTCTAACACACGGACATGACAAGAGAGCGAATGACCTGGAGCAGTGTCATCTCCAGCTCCTGGAGCAGTCAGGCTAAAGCTGTAGTCTCCAGCTGCCAGTGTATAGCTCCAGCTGAGAGTAGCTGCACTAGCAAAGACCACATTGACTCGGAACAAAACGCCCTGGCTCACACTGTAATCCCTTAAAGCCGTTGTGTCCCCTGGATTGCTCCAGAATTGCGACGTCTGGTAAAACAAGGCTTGGCTCCAGACAGAGCTTGGCACCACGTCAGACCTGATCAGGTCCGGAACTTGGGTCTGGAAGCCAATGACGTCACCAGGCTGGACGGACACAACGCTGGCCAGCTCTAGCTGCAGAAAATGTGTCCTAGCTGGGACAGACACACGGACAGTCTGCACCAGCTGCAGCTGTGCCAGCTGTGAGAGGTTCTCACAGTCAAGAGATGGGCTCCAGCTGCTAGCACAGGTGCAGGGGGAGGAAAGGGGCAGGCAGGTTGACGTCAGCCAGCAGAAATAGCTGCCAGCATCACACTCAGCAGACTTGCAGCTCTCTACAGCTGAACTGACGCAGGTGAAGTAAGGACTTGCGGACCCACAGCCTGGGGAGGGGTGTCAAATACACGTCTTTACAGCTTTAGGGTTCAATGGTTCTAATGTCAGGGGTCATAGCTCTAATGTCACGGGTCATAGTTCTGATGTCAGGGGTCATAGTTCTGATGTCACGGGTCATAGTTCTAATGTCAGGGTCATAGTTCTGATGTCACGGGTCATAGTTCTGATGTCAGGGGTCATAGTTCTAATGTCAGGGGTCATAGTTCTGATGTCACGGGTCATAGTTCTAATGTAAGGGGTCATGGCTCTAATGTCAGGGGTCATAGTTCTAATGTCAGGGTCATAGTTCTGATGTCACGGGTCATAGTTCTGATGTCAGGGGTCATAGTTCTAATGTCAGGGTCATAGTTCTGATGTCACGGGTCATAGTTCTGATGTGAGGGGTCATAGTTCTAATGTCAGGGGTCATAGTTCTGATGTCACGGGTCATAGTTCTAATGTAAGGGGTCATGGTTCTAATGTCAGGGGTCATAGTTCTAATGTCAGGGTCATAGTTCTGATGTCACGGGTCATAGTTCTGATGTCAGGGGTCATAGTTCTAATGTCAGGGGTCATAGTTCTGATGTCACGGGTCATAGTTCTAATGTAAGGGGTCATGGCTCTAATGTCAGGGGTCATAGTTCTAATGTCAGGGGTCATAGTTCTAATGTCAGGGGTCATAGTTCTAATGTCAGGGGTCATAGTTCTAATGTCAGGGGTCATAGTTCTAATGTAAGGGGTCATAGTTCTAATGTCAGGGGTCATAGTTCTAATGTCAGGGGTCATAGTTCTAATGTCAGGGGTCATAGTTCTAATGTCAGGGGTCATATTTCTGATGTCAGGGGTCAGAGCTCTAATGTCAGAGGTCATAGTTCTGACCTGTCACACCTGACCTGTCACACCTGACCTGTCACACCTGACCTGTCACACCTGGCCAAACATTGTCACACCTGACCTGTCACACCTGGCCTGTCACACCTGACCTGTCACACCTGACCTGTCACACCTGACCTGTCACACCTGGCCAAACATTGTCACACCTGACCTGTCACACCTGGCCTGTCACACCTGGCCTGTCACACCTGATCTGTCATACCTGGCCAAACATTGTCACACTTGGCCTGTCACACCTAGCCAAACATTGTCACACCTGACCTGTCACACCTGGCCTGTCACACCTGACCGGTCATACCTGGCCTATCACACCTGACCTGTCATACCTGGCCAAACATTGTCACACCTGACCTGTCACACCTGACCTGTCACACCTGACCTGTCACACCTGGCCTGTCACACCTGACCTGTCACACCTGACCTGTCACACCTGGCCAAACATTGTCACACCTGACCTGTCACACCTGGCCTGTCACACCTGACCTGTCACACCTGACCTGTCACACCTGACCTGTCACACCTGACCGGTCATACCTGGCCTATCACACCTGACCTGTCATACCTGGCCAAACATTGTCACACCTGGCGTTACACTGGCTATTTCTCACTCACCTGGACTTCTGAGATACATTCCCCTCTGACAAAAAGGACGCCAAATTTGCAGGGCAAGCAAGGCTGGAATGTCCAGAGATTTAGTCAGCAGATAAAGCCTAAAGATATTTCCAGCACTGTTAAACCAGGTACCTGACAGATACACGGCAGATATTGAGTCATTAGATACAGCCTACTGGCCAGATCAAAAAATTTCTTGTGGCCAAATTAAATGTTCCTGTTATTTCCTTAAAAATACCCTTGAGTTTAAGAAGACTATTATTTGGTTATAAATAAAAGAGTACCCGTTGTTTGAGAAGTTACCTGGCAGTATGTAAGTGTAAGATGAAGATGTTGAATCTGGCAGTATGTAAGTGTAAGATGAAGATGTCGCACCTGGCAGTATGTAAGTGTAAGATGAAGATGTTGCACCTGGCAGTATGTAAGTGTAAGATGAAGATGTTGCACATGGCAGTATGTAAGTGTAAGATGAAGATGTTGCATCTGGCAGTATGTAAGTGTAAGATGAAGATGTTGCACCTGGCAGTATGTAAGTGTAAGATGAAGATGTTGCATCTGGCAGTATGTAAGTGTAAGATGATGTTGCACCTGGCAGTATGTAAGTGTAAGATGAAGATGTTGCACCTGGCAGTATGTAAGTGTAAGATGAAGATTTTGCACCTGGCAGTATGTAAGTGTAAGATGAAGATGTTGCACCTGGCAGTATGTAAGTGTAAGATGAAGATGTTGCACCTGGCAGTATGTAAGTGTAAGATGAAGATGTTGCACCTGGCAGTATGTAAGTGTAAGATGAAGATGTTGCACCTGGCAGTATGTAAGTGTAAGATGAAGATGTTGCACATGGCAGTATGTAAGTGTAAGATGAAGATGTTGCATCTGGCAGTATGTAAGTGTAAGATGAAGATGTTGCACCTGGCAGTATGTAAGTGTAAGATGAAGATGTTGCATCTGGCAGTATGTAAGTGTAAGATGATGTTGCACCTGGCAGTATGTAAGTGTAAGATGAAGATGTTGCACCTGGCAGTATGTAAGTGTAAGATGAAGATGTTGCACCTGGCAGTATGTAAGTGTAAGATGAAGATGTTGCACCTGGCAGTATGTAAGTGTAAGATGAAGATGTTGCACCTGGCAGTATGTAAGTGTAAGATGAAGATGTTGCACCTGGCAGTATGTAAGTGTAAGATGAAGATGTTGCACCTGGCAGTATGTAAGTGTAAGATGAAGATGTTGCACCTGGCAGTATGTAAGTGTAAGATGAAGATGTTGCACCTGGCAGTATGTAAGTGTAAGATGAAGATGTTGCACCTGGAAGTATGTAAGTGTAAGATGAAGATGTTGCACCTGGCAGTATGTAAGTGTAAGATGAAGATGTTGCACCTGGCAGTATGTAAGTGTAAGACGAAGATGTTGCACCTGGCAGTATGTAAGTGTAAGATGAAGATGTTGCATCTGGCAGTATGTAAGTGTAAGATGAAGATGTTGCACCTGGCAGTATGTAAGTGTAAGATGAAGATGTTGCACCTGGCAGTATGTAAGTGTAAGATGAAGATGTTGCACCTGGCAGTATGTAAGTGTAAGATGAAGATGTTGCATCTGGCAGTATGTAAGTGTAAGATGAAGATGTTGCACCTGGCAGTATGTAAGTGTAAGATGAAGATGTTGCATCTGGCAGTATGTAAGTGTAAGATGATGTTGCATCTGGCAGTATGTAAGTGTAAGATGAAGATGTTGCACCTGGCAGTATGTAAGTGTAAGTGGAAGATTTTGCACCTGGCAGTATGTAAGTGTAAGATGAAGATGTTGCACCTGGCAGTATGTAAGTGTAAGATGAAGATGTTGCACCTGGCAGTATGTAAGTGTAAGATGAAGATGTTGCACCTGGCAGTATGTAAGTGTAAGATGAAGATGTTGCACCTGGCAGTATGTAAGTGTAAGATGAAGATGTTGCACCTGGCAGTATGTAAATGTAAGATGAAGATGTTGCACCTGGCAGTATGTAAGTGTAAGATGAAGATGTTGCACCTGGCAGTATGTAAGTGTAAGATGAAGATGTTGCACCTGGCAGTATGTAAGTGTAAGATGAAGATGTTGCACCTGGCAGTATGTAAGTGTAAGATGAAGATGTTGCACCTGGCAGTATGTAAGTGTAAGATAAAGATGTTGCACCTGGCAGTATGTAAGTGTAAGATGAAGATGTTGCACCTGGCAGTATGTAAGTGTAAGATGAAGATGTTGCACCTGGCAGTATGTAAGTGTAAGATGAAGATGTTGCACCTGGCAGTATGTAAGTGTAAGATGAAGATGTTGCACCTGGCAGTATGTAAGTGTAAGATGAAGATGTTGCACCTGGCAGTATGTAAGTGTAAGATGAAGATGTTGCACCTGGCAGTATGTAAGTGTAAGATGAAGGTGTTGCTGGGGCTGCTCCAAGTTCTATGACCAACGTTGGCAATAAAGGCTCATCTAGCAATGGGACCAGGCCCAGCATTTGCCAGCTTACTCGCAGTTCTACTGAAATCACAAGTACAAAGTTTAGATAATACAATCAGTAGATTGAAGATTGGATAATACAATCAGTAGATTGAAGATTGGATAATACAATCAGTAGATTGAAGATTGGATAATACCTGCCACAAAAAGGGTGACAAGAAGCCAGGTTGGGTAATTATATTAATAGTGTACATGATGTGATTGGTCTAGTCACATGATGTGTTTGGTCTAGTCACATGATGTGATTGGTCTAGTCACATGATGTGATTGGTCTAGTCACATGATGTGATTGGTCTAGTCACATGATGTGTTTGGTCTAGTCACATGATGTGATTGGTCTAGTCACATGATGTGTTTGGTCTAGTCACATGATGTGTTTGGTCTAGTCACATGATGTGTTTGGTCTAGTCACATGATGTGTTTGGTCTAGTCACATGATGTGTTTGGTCTAGTCACATGATGTGTTTGGTCTAGTCACATGATGTGTTTGGTCTAGTCACATGATGAGATTGGTCTAGTCACATGTGATTGGTCTAGTCACATGATGTGTTTGGTCTAGTCACATGATGTGTTTGGTCTAGTATGTGATTGGTCTAGTCACATGATGTGTTTGGTCTAGTCACATGATGTGATTGGTCTAGTCACATGATGTGATTGGTCTAGTCACATGATGTGTTTGGTCTAGTCACATGATGTGTTTGGTCTAGTCACATGATGTGTTTGGTCTAGTCACATGATGTGTTTGGTCTAGTCACATGATGTGTTTGGTCTAGTCACATGATGTGTTTGGTCTAGTCACATGATGTGTTTGGTCTAGTCACATGATGTGTTTGGTCTAGTCACATGATGTGTTTGGTCTAGTCACATGATGTGATTGGTCTAGTCACATGATGTGATTGGTCTAGTCACATGATGTGTTTGGTCTAGTCACATGATGTGTTTGGTCTAGTCACATGATGTGATTGGTCTAGTCACATGATGTGATTGGTCTAGTCACATGATGTGTTTGGTCTAGTCACATGATGTGATTGGTCTAGTCACATGATGTGTTTGGTCTAGTCACATGATGTGTTTGGTCTAGTCACATGATGAGATTGGTCTAGTCACATGATGTGATTGGTCTAGTCACATGATGTGTTTGGTCTAGTCACATGATGTGATTGGTCTAGTCACATGATGTGATTGGTCTAGTCACATGATGTGATTGGTCTAGTCACATGATGTGTTTGGTCTAGTCACATGATGTGTTTGGTCTAGTCACATGATGTGTTTGGTCTAGTCACATGATGTGTTTGGTCAAGTCACATGATGTGTTTGGTCTAGTCACATGATGTGTTTGGTCTAGTCACATGATGTGTTTGGTCTAGTATGTGATTGGTCTAGTCACATGATGTGTTTGGTCTAGTCACATGATGTGTTTGGTCTAGTCACATGATGTGATTGGTCTAGTCACATGATGTGATTGGTCTAGTCACATGATGTGTTTGGTCTAGTCACATGATGTGATTGGTCTAGTCACATGATGTGTTTGGTCTAGTCACATGATGTGTTTGGTCTAGTCACATGATGTGATTGGTCTAGTCACATGATGTGATTGGTCTAGTCACATGATGTGATTGGTCTAGTCACGGGATGTGATTGGTCACGTGACTTGCCAGATTGACAAACCTTCTTGACTGTACTGGCAGACAAAAAGTTTTTCCTGCTGACACGGCTCTGTGTGCCAAAGTCCTGACTGGTCAAGAGAGACGCAGGCTCCGTCCCCACCCCCAGCTGACCAGTTGTTGAAGGCACTAGTGCTGCGGCCATCCAGCCAGATGTACAACCCTGGTACACTTGTAGCCTTCAGTCCCATCCAGGCTCGGCTGCTAGTGGACAAAACTTACTAACTCTCTCTCTCTCTATATATATATATATATGTATATATGTATATATATATATATATATATATATATATATATATATATATATATATATATATATATATATATATATAAACCATTTGTTTACATAGTTACTAGTCTAGAGAAAACAAAAGTTTGGAGTTTACCTAGGTACCAATCTTGCAAGGAGCAAGTTGTCTGCAGCAGTGGCTGCCTGAGCTAGCTGTCCATTGGGGTAAGTTGTCTGACATAGAGTCTGAGCTGCTTCCCATGATGCCTGCTGGGAGCTGGGCACGTAGCACACAGGACCAGACAAGATGCCAGCACAAGACGTAGGTTCTAGAGGAAACAAAACATACTGTTTGAAGACTTTTGTCCGTCCGTCCCTTTATCTGTCTGTCTGTCTGTACCTGTACTTGCACACGAACACGAACAAGCATGCCCACGCACACGTGTGTGTATTTTAAATCAATAAATCTCGTTGCAGAGTATGTCCAAATAAAGGAAGACGCATTGAGCCGACAGATGCACACAAACGACAGCTTCAAGAACAGCGTGCGCAAACTAAACGAGCGCAACAGGAATGTTCACCGCTCTAACAGCAGTGCCAGAAGTCGAAGAAGCACCAAACACCGAGATGCTGCCCGGAAGAAAAGAACTTTTACGCCGCAGCACTTCCGGCCGAACCGTCGCTCGTGTTCACGGTACGAGATGTTCGTGGACTTTGAGGAGATCGGCTGGTCGGGCTGGATCATCTCGCCCAACAGCTACAACGCTTATCACTGTGCCGGCGAGTGCCCGTTTCCTCTGGGACAGAACCAGAAACCAACCAACCACGCAACCGTTCAGAGCATCGTTCACGCTCTGGGCGTGGTGAAAGATGTCTGTCCATCTGTAGGTTTCTGCCCAGCACTTCAGATGTTGGACAGGTCTTTACACCCCCCCCCCCGCACTTTATCTTAAGGACCTGTTGTAAACATAAGTTTGTGGAGGACCTGTTGTAAACATAAGTGGAGGACCTGTTGTAAACATAAGCGGAGGACCTGTTGTAAACATAAGTTTGTGGAGGACCTGTTGTAAACATAAGTTTGTGGAGGACCTGTTGTAAACATAAGTTTGTGGAGGACCTGTTGTAAACATAAGTTTGTGGAGGACCTGTTGTAAACATAAGTTTGTGGAGGACCTGTTGTAAACATAAGTGGAGGACCTGTTGTAAACATAAGTTTGTTGAGGACCTGTTGTAAACATAAGTTTGTGGAAGACCTGTTGTAAACACAAGTGGAGGACCTGTTGTAAACATAAGTTTGTGGAGGACCTGTTGTAAACATAAGTTTGTGGAGGACCTGTTGTAAACATAAGTGGAGGACCTGTTGTAAACATAAGTTTGTGGAGGACCTGTTGTAAACATAAGTGGAGGACCTGTTGTAAACATAAGTGGAGGACCTGTTGTAAACATAAGTGGAGGACCTGATGTAAACATAAGTTTGTGGAGGACCTATTGTAAACATAAGTTTGTGGAGGACCTGTTGTAAACATAAGTGGAGGACCTGTTGTAAACATAAGTTTGTGGAGGACCTGTTGTAAACATAAGTGGAGGACCTGTTGTAAACATAAGTGGAGGACCTGATGTAAACATAAGTTTGTGGAGGACCTATTGTAAACATAAGTTTGTGGAGGACCTGTTGTAAACATAAGTTTGTGGAGGACCTGTTGTAAACATAAGTTTGTGGAGGACCTGTTGTAAACATAAGTGGAGGACCTGTTGTAAACATAAGTTTGTGGAGGACCTGTTGTAAACATAAGTGGAGGACCTGTTGTAAACATAAGTTTGTGGAGGACCTGTTGTAAACATAAGTGGAGGACCTGTTGTAAACATAAGTTTGTGGAGGACCTGTTGTAAACATAAGTGGAGGACCTGTTGTAAACATAAGTTTGTGGAGGACCTGTTGTAAACATAAGTGGAGGACCTGTTGTAAACATAAGTGGAGGACCTGTTGTAAACATAAGTGGAGGTCCTGTTGTAAACATAAGTGGAGGACCTGTTGTAAACATAAGTTTGTGGAGGACCTGTTGTAAACATAAGTGGAGGACCTGTTGTAAACATAAGTTTGTGGAGGACCTGTTGTAAACATAAGTTTGTGGAGGACCTGTTGTAAACATAAGTGGAGGACCTGTTGTAAACATAAGTGGAGGACCTGTTGTAAACATAAGTGGAGGACCTGTTGTAAACATAAGTTTGTGGAGGACCTGTTGTAAACATAAGTGGAGGACCTGTTGTAAACATAAGTGGAGGACCTGTTGTAAACATAAGTGGAGGACCTGTTGTAAACATAAGTTTGTGGAGGACCTGTTGTAAACATAAGTTTGTGGAGGACCTGTTGTAAACATAAGTGGAGGACCTGTTGTAAACATAAGTGGAGGACCTGATGTAAACATAAGTTTGTGGAGGACCTGTTGTAAACATAAGTGGAGGACCTGTTGTAAACAAAAGTGGAGGACCTGTTGTAAACATAAGTTTGTGGAGGACCTGTTGTAAACATAAGTGGAGGACCTGTTGTAAACATAAGTGGAGGACCTGTTGGAAACATAAGTTTGTGGAGGACCTGTTGTAAACATAAGTTTGTAGAGGACCTGCTGTAAACATAAGTGGAGGACCTGTTGTAAACATAAGTGGAGGACCTGTTGTAAACATAAGTGGAGGACCTGTTGTAAACATAAGTGGAGGACCTGTTGTAAACATAAGTGGAGGACCTGTTGGAAACATAAGTTTGTGGAGGACCTGTTGTAAACATAAGTGGAGGACCTGTTGTAAACATAAGTGGAGGACCTGTTGTAAACATAAGTGGAGGACCTGTTGTAAACATAAGTTTGTAGAGGACCTGTTGTAAACATAAGTGGAGGACCTGTTGTAAACATAAGTGGAGGACCTGTTGTAAACATAAGTTTGTGGAGGACCTGTTGTAAACATAAGTGGAGGACCTGTTGTAAACATAAGTTTGTGGAGGACCTGTTGTAAACATAAGTGGAGGACCTGTTGTAAACATAAGTGGAGGACCTGTTGTAAACATAAGTGGAGGACCTGTTGTAAACATAAGTGGAGGACCTGTTGTAAACATAAGTTTGTGGAGGACCTGTTGTAAACATAAGTGGAGGACCTGTTGTAAACATAAGTGGAGGACCTGTTGTAAACATAAGTGGAGGACCTGTTGTAAACATAAGTGGAGGACCTGTTGTAAACATAAGTGGAGGACCTGTTGTAAACATAAGTGGAGGACCTGTTGTAAACATAAGTGGAGGACCTGTTGTAAACATAAGTGGAGGACCTGTTGTAAACATAAGTGGAGGACCTGATGTAAACATAAGTTTGTGGAGGACCTGTTGTAAACATAAGTGGAGGACCTGTTGTAAACATAAGTGGAGGACCTGTTGTAAACATAAGTTTGTGGAGGACCTGTTGTAAACATAAGTGGAGGACCTGTTGTAAACATAAGTTTGTGGAGGACCTGTTGTAAACATAAGTGGAGGACCTGTTGTAAACATAAGTGGAGGACCTGTTGGAAACATAAGTTTGTGGAGGACCTGTTGTAAACATAAGTTTGTAGAGGACCTGCTGTAAACATAAGTGGAGGACCTGTTGTAAACATAAGTGGAGGACCTGTTGTAAACATAAGTGGAGGACCTGTTGTAAACATAAGTGGAGGACCTGTTGTAAACATAAGTGGAGGACCTGTTGGAAACATAAGTTTGTGGAGGACCTGTTGTAAACATAAGTGGAGGACCTGTTGTAAACATAAGTGGAGGACCTGTTGTAAACATAAGTGGAGGACCTGTTGTAAACATAAGTTTGTAGAGGACCTGTTGTAAACATAAGTGGAGGACCTGTTGTAAACATAAGTGGAGGACCTGTTGTAAACATAAGTTTGTGGAGGACCTGTTGTAAACATAAGTGGAGGACCTGTTGTAAACATAAGTTTGTGGAGGACCTGTTGTAAACATAAGTGGAGGACCTGTTGTAAACATAAGTGGAGGACCTGTTGTAAACATAAGTGGAGGTCCTGTTGTAAACATAAGTGGAGGACCTGTTGTAAACATAAGTTTGTGGAGGACCTGTTGTAAACATAAGTGGAGGACCTGTTGTAAACATAAGTGGAGGACCTGTTGTAAACATAAGTGGAGGACCTGTTGTAAACATAAGTGGAGGACCTGTTGTAAACATAAGTGGAGGACCTGTTGTAAACATAAGTGGAGGACCTGTTGTAAACATAAGTTTGTGGAGGACCTGTTGTAAACATAAGTGGAGGACCTGTTGTAAACATAAGTGGAGGACCTGTTGTAAACATAAGTGGAGGACCTGTTGTAAACATAAGTTTGTGGAGGACCTGTTGTAAACATAAGTTTGTGGAGGACCTGTTGTAAACATAAGTGGAGGACCTGTTGTAAACATAAGTGGAGGACCTGTTGTAAACATAAGTGGAGGACCTGTTGTAAACATAAGTTTGTAGAGGACCTGCTGTAAACATAAGTGGAGGACCTGTTGTAAACATAAGTGGAGGACCTGTTGTAAACATAAGTTTGTAGAGGACCTGTTGTAAACATAAGTGGGGGACCTGTTGTAAACATAAGTGGAGGACCTGTTGTAAACATAAGTTTGTGGAGGACCTGTTGTAAACACAAGTGGAGGACCTGTTGTAAACATATGTGGAGGACCTGTTGTAAACAAGTTTGTGAGAAGCTGTAGCATGCCTTTGTTTGCCTTTGTAACTCTGCTGGTCTCTGTTAATCAAGACTGCCTTAACATTTATGGTCGAGATTCTTGCTCTGGAGTGACGAATCTGTTCAATTCCATAACGTCGTAGTGTGTTGAAGGCATATCACACACGTGAATGTGTTTAGTTTCTCGTATATTTTCCCCGTTTAGCCGTATGGGCAGGTCCTGTTTGTTTTTTATTCTGATGACCTCCGTTGTTTTTCTACTGATTTTGAATCCAACTTTGCTTCTTCAGCTAGTCAATTCAGTTTGGTTTGCACATGTTGTCAGCGCTAGGCACATGTTGTCAGCGCTAGGCACATGTTGTCAGCGCTAGGCACATGTTGTCAGCGCTAGGCACATGTTGTCAGCGCTAGGCACATGTTGTCAGCGCTAGGCACATGTCAGCGCTAGGCACATGTCAGCGCTAGGTACATGTTGTCAGCCCTAGGCACATGTTGTCAGCGCTAGGCACATGTTGTCAGCGCTAGGCACATGTTGTCAGCCCTAGGCACATGTTGTCAGCGCTAGGCACATGTTGTCAGCGCTAGGCACATGTTGTCAGCCCTAGGCACATGTTGTCAGCGGTAGGCACATGTTGTCAGCGCTAGGCACATGTTGTCAGCGCTAGGCACATGTTGTCAGCTCTAGGCACATGTTGTCAGCGCTAGGCACATGTCATCATCAAAGTTGAGATCCTCCAGCCTTCGAATTCCACTGGACTCCAGTGTCTTTGTTTGTAGTCTGCGGCAAGAACCAGATTACCATCCAAAATATCATTGGCAATAGCATAGATACCTGCAGGAACCAGATTACCATCCAAAATATCATTGGCAATAGCATAGATACCTGCAGGAACCAGATTACCATCCAAAATATCATTGGCAATAGCATAGATACCTGCAGGAACCAGATTACCATCCAAAATATCATTGGCAATAGCATAGATACCTGCAGGAACTAGATTACCATCCAAAATATCATTGGCAATAGCATAGATACCTGCAGGAACTAAATTACCATCCAAAATATCATTGGCAATAGCATAGATACCTGCAGGAACCAGTTTACCATCCAAAATATCATTGGCAATAGCATAGATACCTGCAGGAACTAGATTACCATCCAAAATATCATTGGCAATAGCATAGATACCTGCAGGAACTAAATTACCATCCAAAATATCATTGGCAATAGCATAGATACCTGCCTCACTCAATGTGAAGGAGTTTGTTAGTTTTTCTTGGTTGCCAGAAAAATGGCAATCACAAAATCACGCAACAGAATAATGCACACACAGACAAATTTGAAAATTCAGACTAATTATAGTTATTCACTTTAATTTTGTCTTGTTTCTTGGGATATGTTTTGTTTGGCTACAATGTACATGAACTCACCTTTGAGTTACCTATCACCCAAAGAACTCACCTTTGAGTTTCCTATCACCACAAGAACACACCTTTGAGTTACCTATCACCCAAAGAACTCACCTTTGAGTTACCTATCACCCAAAGAACTCACCTTTGAGTTACCTATCACCCAAAGAACTCACCTTTGAGTTACCTATCACTCAAAGAACTCACCTTTGAGTTACCTATCACCCAAAGAACTCACCTTTGAGTTACCTATCACCCAAAGAACTCACCTTTGAGTTACCTATCACCCAAAGAACTCACCTTTGAGTTACCTATCACCACAACAACTCACCTTTGAGTTACCTATCACCACAAGAACTCACCTTTGAGTTACCTATCACCCAAAGAACTCACCTTTGAGTTACCTATCACCACAACAACTCACCTTTGAGTTACCTATCACCACAAAAACTCACCTTTGAGTTACCTATCACCACAAGAACACACCTTTGAGTTACCTATCACCACAAGAACTCACCTTTGAGTTACCTATCACCCAAAGAACTCACCTTTGAGTTACCTATCACCACAAGAACACACCTTTGAGTTACCTTTCACCACAAGAACTCACCTTTGAGTTACCTATCACCCAAAGAACTCACCTTTGAGTTACCTATCACCCAAAGAACTCACCTTTGAGTTGTGTACCTGACTGCTCAGATTGCCACATGACCTTTTGACCCCAGGCTGAGGTGAATGTGGCTGTAATGTTGACCTGGTCAGCTGTACTGAGAGGGGAACTGGGGCAGGTCATCTGGCCAGGATCTGACGTGTAGGTCACAGAAATATTGACCTTGAAGATGGTCTCTGGTTGACAGGTGCCCATTAGGGTCAGGGTGAGCTCAAAGATCCCAGGATAGAGGTAAAGATGTGAAGCTGCTGGAGTGGTGCCTTGGCTGACCCTGCTGCCATCCCCAAAGTCCCAAGTAAACTTATTGTAACAAGGGTCAGAGTTACTGAAGGTCAGGGTCATCAGGGTCATGACCTGAGGCTGGGCAGGCCAGAGCACAAAGTCAAGGTCATAGAATATGCTAGAACCACCTACAAGATTGCTGAACTGACCAGAGCATAATGTCATGGAGCTGTTGAGTGGACTGGCACAGTCTGTACACTCGCTACTGACATTGCCACAGAGACATATATCATAGATGTCATGGATGTCATGGATGTCAAAGAGAAAATAATGGTAGCCTGACTGGTGACATTGATTCCTGCAGGTTAGCTTTGATGGTGTGTCCTTGACCTGAGCCATGTAGTGGACCAGAGAATAGTTCTGGCTTTCAAAGTCATAAACACAGGAGGCTGCTTCACGAGGATCTGGGGGGCAGATCATCAAATCAATGGCATTAGGGGCAGATCGTCAAATCAATGGCATTAGGGGCAGATCATCAAATCAATGGCATTAGGGGCAGATCATCAAATCAAAGGCATTAGGGGCAGATCATCAAATCAAAGGCATTAGGGGCAGATCATCAAATCAAAGGCATTAGGGGCAGATCATCAAATCAAAGGCATTAGGGGCAGATCATCAAATCAATGGCATCAGGGGCAGATCGTCAAATCAATGGCATTAGGGGCAGATCATGATATCAATGGCATTAGGGGCAGATCGTCAAATCAATGGCATTAGGGGCAGATCGTCAAATCAATGGCATTAGGGGCAGATCATGATATCAATGGCATTAGGGGCAGATCATCAAATCAAAGGCATTAGGGGCAGATCATCAAATCAATGGCATTAGGGGCAGATCGTCAAATCAATGGCATTAGGGGCAGATCATGATATCAATGGCATTAGGGGCAGATCATCAAATCAAAGGCATTAGGGGCAGATCGTCAAATCAATGACATTAGGGGCAGATCATCAAATCAATGGCATTAGGGGCAGATCATCAAATCAATGGCATTAGGGGCAGATCGTCAAATCAATGGCATTAGGGGCAGATCATGATATCAATGGCATTAGGGGCAGATCATCAAATCAAAGGCATTAGGGGCAGATCGTCAAATCAATGACATTAGGGGCAGATCATCAAATCAATGGCATTAGGGGCAGATCATCAAATCAATGGCATTAGGGGCAGATCATCAAATCAATGGCATTAGGGGCAGATCATCAAATCAAAGGCATTAGGGGCAGATCATCAAATCAAAGGCATTAGGGGCAGATCATGATATCAATGGCATTAGGGGCAGATCATCAAATCAATGGCATTAGGGGCAAATCATCAAATCAATGGCATTAGGGACAGAAGGGTTCAGATAAAGCTGAGGCTCTAACTTACCACAAAGTATATTGGTAGAGTTAGCCAATGAAAGCGTCTGACACACAATCAACCAATCAAAGGGTTCCTCAGATGATCTTTTTGCTAGCTGAGACAGATGGTGACCTTACAAGATAATGATCTTTTTGTTAGATGGGACAGATGGTGACCTTACAAGATAATGATCTTTTTGTTAGATGGGACAGATGGTGACCTTACAAGATAATGATCTTTTTGTTAGATGGGACAGATGGTGACCTTACAAGATAATGATCTTTTTGTTAGATGGGACAGATGGTGACCTTACAAGATAATGATCTTTTTGTTAGATGGGACAGATGGTGACCTTACAAGATAATGATCTTTTTGCTAGCTGAGACAGATGGTGACCTTACAAGATAATGATCTTTTTGTTAGATGGGACAGATGGTGACCTTACAAGATAATGATCTTTTTGTTAGATGGGACAGATGGTGACCTTACAAGATAATGATCTTTTTGTTAGATGGGACAGATGGTGACCTTACAAGATAATGATCTTTTTGTTAGATGGGACAGATGGTGACCTTACAAGATAATGATCTTTTTGTTAGATGGGACAGATGGTGACCTTACAAGATAATGATCTTTTTGTTAGATGGGACAGATGGTGACCTTACAAGATAATGATCTTTTTGTTAGATGGGACAGATGGTGACCTTACAAGATAATGATCTTTTTCTTAGATGTGGGTGTGGTTGTGGGCAAGCTAGCACAGTGTGGGTGTGGGCAAGCTAGCACAGTGTGGGTGTGGGCAAGCTAGCACAGTGTGGGTGTGGGCAAGCTAGCACAGTGTGGGTGTGGGCAAGCTAGCACAGTGTGGGTGTGGGCAAGCTAGCACAGTGTGGGTGTGGGTGTGGGCAAGCTAGCACAGTGTGGGTGTGGGCAAGCTAGCACAGTGTGGTTGTGGGCAAGCTAGCACAGTGTGGGTGTGGGCAAGCTAGCACAGTGTGGGTGTGGGTGTGGGCAAGCTAGCACAGTGTGGGTGTGGGCAAGCGAGCACAGTGTGGGTGTGGGCAAGCTAGCACAGTGTGGGTGTGGGCAAGCTAGCACAGTGTGGGTGTGGGCAAGCTAGCACAGTGTGGGTGTGGGTAAGCTAGCACAGTGTGGGTGTGGGCAAGCTAGCACAGTGTGGGTGTGGGCAAGCTAGCACAGTGTGGGTGTGGGAAAGCTAGCACAGTGTGGGTGTGGGTGTGGGCAAGCTAGCACAGTGTGGGTGTGGGCAAGCTAGCACAGTGTGGGTGTGGGCAAGCTAGCACAGTGTGGGTGTGGGCAAGCTAGCACAGTGTGGGTGTGGGTGTGGGAAAGCTAGCACAGTGTGGGTGTGGGCAAGCTAGCACAGTGTAGGAGTCAACTCTTATATAAGCACCACTATGCAATCTAGCACTTGGCACTTTACATATATGTTCTAGTAATGTAAGAAGCTATCAGATCACATACAAGAAATTGAGTTTCATTTCTAAAGTGTACAAATACAACAGCCACCAAAATTAACTCAAAAGGTTGCCGACCCCTGGCTTATACCCATACAAACTATAGTCCTGCAATTATAGAATAGAAATTGGTACATTTTTCTAACAAAGGTTTAGGGCAAAAGCTGACATTCAGGGCTAATGAGGGCTAATATTTGATATCAGAGAAAAAACTTACAGGAGCTGAAGGTGTCAGTGTGAGTCAATGTCAAGGCTGTGGGTGAGGCAGGGCTACACTGAGTGGTATCCTGGTTGAACAGGCTGCCACCAGAGTTGACCAGTGACCTGAGAAACGTCTGGAGCCACACAAGACTGCAGTCACATGACCAGGGGTTGCTGGACAAATCCCTGGTACAAATATAAACAAAACATGACAAAAATAAACAAAAACTTGACAAAAATAAACAAAACTTGACAAAAATAAACAAAAACTTAACAAAAATAAACGAAACTTGACAAAAATAAACAAAAACATGACAAAAATAAACAAAAACTTGACAAAAATAAACAAAAACATAAAATAAACAAAAACTTGACAAAAAAAAACAAAAACTTGACAAAAATAAACAAAACTTGACAAAAATAAAAAAAACTTGACAAAAATAAACAAAAACTTAACAAAAAATTAACAAAAAGACAAAAATAAACAAAAACTTGACAAAAAATAAACCGGGAGTTATCTCCCCTAAACTTTTTCGAATATTCTTATATAAAACAACAGGGGATGGGAACTCGGGATATAGACATGATTTTTAATCCATTTTAAATACTTAAACTTTTTAAAAAAGAATCAAATCTCGTTGAAAAAGAATTGCACACTAATTTTCAGACATAATTAGAATTTTTGTGTGTTTTTTTTTCTTTGGGTTTGTATTTGTGTTTGTGGTTGGTTTTGCGTTTGGATTTGGTTTGTTTTCGTTTGCTTCTTCGTTTGTGTTTTTTTCTTTGGGTTTGTGTTTGTGGTTGGTTTTGCGTTTGGATTTGGTTTGTTTTCGTTGCTCTTTCGTTTGTTTTTTTCTTTGTGTTCGTATTGGTGTTTGTGGTTGTGGTTGGGTTTGTTGTTAGGTTTTTGTTTTCGTTTGTATTTGTAATTGTGTTAGCGTTATGTTTGCGTTTTGTTGTTTTGGTTTTGGTTGGTTGTGGTTTGGGTGGGCAGTGCCGGTTTTAGAAGATTACTAAACACACAGGTAATGTTCTTTAACAGAAAGGTTTTTCACAAAAGCCAGAGCAGGGCCTGGCCGGGACGGCTAGTATTCTTATATAACTTGGAATATAGACATGATTTTTAATTACTTAAACTTTTAAATAAAATACTTAAAAAAAACTTTTTAAAAAACCACGTTTTTCTTGTGGACTAAAAAGTAGAAATTATAAATTTTTCTTTTGTGCTTCCTCGAGCTGTGTAGATTCTTGTGATGACTGACAAAAAACGTGGGTACGTTCACCATCAAATTTCCCGACCCATCTGCCCGACCCACGTTTTTTGTCAGTCATCACAAGAATCTGCACAGCTCGAGGAAGCACAAAAGAAAAATTTATTTTCTACTTTTTAGTCCACAAGAAAAACGTGGTTTTTTAAAAAGTTTTTTTTAAGTATTTTATTTTCTCCTTTTTAGTCCGTTGCTACACATGAAAAACGTGGTTTTTAAAAAAGTTTTTTTATATAGTTTATTTTCTACTTTATCTAATGACTTGATTAAGTATGACTTGACTAAGTGTTTATAAATACACGGACTAAAAATCTTGAGCGACCAGGATTCGAACCTGGGTTGTCGCGGCCACAACGCGAAGTACTAACCACTATACGATCACGGCCAGCGCGCTCACATCGATTGGGGCTGAAGTAACTGTGTCAATAGGCCTCCAGTCTTGTCGGTATCTTTAGAAATCATGTCCTCAATTTTATGGTCCTTGGGGCGTAATTAAGTTAAGCTAATTACGGTCTCTAATTGCTAGTTTTTATGATTGCATCTAAAATTGTTAGGCGAAAGTAGCCTGCATGCCAAATTTCAGATCTCTAGAGCAATCAGAAGTGGGCTAATTTTCGATGTCAATTTTAACAACAAACAAACAAATCCACAAACGCGAAGCTGAGTTAAGAAAAACGTGTTAAAATAGAATAGAATCTCACAGAAAAAAAGAATTGCGCACCAAGTGAACGCCAAAACAAAATGTGCATAATAGTGCGCAATATTATTAGTACTTTATAAATTTACTTGCGTTTTTTGAGAAATCGGAAATAGCGTAAATCTGTACTTCCGGTTAACGGAAAGTACTCAAAATTTGACAGAAGGTAGAGAATTAGATCTTGTACTTACATGTGAAATTTCATTTATCTATCTGAAATAGTACTCAAGTTATAGGCTTTTGAAAAATTCAAAGTAGAAAAAGTACCACTTCCGGTTATCAGAAATAGCTCAAAAGTTGATCAGTATCTACGATTTTGATAAAATACTTATATATGAAATTTCATCAACCTAGCTGTAACGGTACTCAAGTTATCGTGTTTACACACACACACAAACACAGCCACACATACATACGGACAAGATTGCAAAATTGTGTTTTTCTGTATCAGTGAGGTGTAAAACGATTTATTTTTTTTGCCCGATTACAAGACTTTCTCTATACTTCGTATATACGAGAAAGTAAAAAGACAAAAATAAACAAAAACTTGACAAAAAATAAACAACAAAGACAAAAACAAACAAAACGACAAAAATAAACAAAACTTGATGAAAATATTTTATGCCTAGATCACACCTTAGACAGCTAGATTGTGTTTTATACAGCTAAAGGACATTTTCTACAACTTTTGTACAACTATAGAACATTTTGTACAAATAAAGAACATTAAAAAATGTAAGAAACTGTAAAAAAAGAAAAAGGCACTTACAAAAAGGTTAAGTTGTCTAAGCCATCAAAGATGGAATCAGACACAGTGCTCAGCAGATTGTGGCTCAAATCTCTGAGGGGGTAAGAAAACATGATGTAACCATTTCAAGCTAAAACCTTCACATTTTAAAAACAAGTCTCAGGTTTAAACCTTCACTTTTTAAAAACAAGTCTCAGGTTTAAACCTTCACTTTTTAAAAACAAGTCTCAGGTTTAAACCTTCACAAGATAAATAGAAGCTTTAAATATGGAAATAAAGAAATACAACTAAATATAATATTAGTACTGATACAACCAACCACACTGTCAAATTGATCCAACCAACCATGTCAAACTGATCCAACCACACTGTCAAACTGATCCAACCACACTGTCAAACTGATCCAACCACACTGTCAAACTGATCCAACCACACTGTCAAACTGATCCAACCACACTGTCAAACTGATCCAACCACACTGTCAAACTGATCCAACCAACCCCACTGTCAAACTGATCCAACCAACCCCACTGTCAAACTGATCCAACCACACTGTCAAACTGATCCAACCACACTGTCAAACTGATCCAACCACACTGTCAAACTGATCCAACCAGCCATGTCAAACTGATCCAACCACACTGTCAAACTGATCCAACCACACTGTCAAACTGATCCAACCAGCCATGTCAAACTGATCCAACCAGCCATGTCAAACTGATCCAACCACACTGTCAAACTGATCCAACCAGCCATGTCAAACTAATCCAATCAGCGAAAATTTCAGATGGCTTGTGTTTGAATGGCTAATGCAGCAGTTGTTTTAGATTACAAAGCTGATGATTACAGAAATTATAATTTCCACTTTGGTTTTGTTTGTTACTGCTCAACTGTATTCCCCCAGAACATATACAGAGGTTGGCAAAGCATGGCATACAGTACAGGAGAGATATGTCTAGCATGACATACAGTACAGGAGAGAAATGTCAAGCATGACATACAGTACAGGAGAGAAATGTCAAGCATGACATACAGTACAGGAGAGAAATGTCAAGCATGACATACAGTACAGGAGAGAAATGTCAAGCTTGACATACAGTACAGGAGAGAAATGTCAAGCATGACATAAAGTACAGGCAGTGGCATAGCGAGGTCTGATGTCACCCGATGTATTCAAATATTTGTTTTCTGCTGGATGTATTTAATTTTCTTACCCCCCCTCCCCACCCCATAAATGGATTAACATCAGTGTTTCTTCCAGATTAGGTTCATGGTTAAGTTCAGGGCCATGATTAGGTTCAGGGTTAGGTTTAGGTTTAGGGCCATGATTAGGTTTAGGGTTAGGTTCAGGGCCATGATTAGGTTCTGGCTTAGGTTCAGGTATAAGGCCATGATTAGGTTCAGGGTTAGGTTCAGGGCCATGATTAGGTTCAGGGTTAGGTTCAGGGACATGATTAGGTTCAGGGTTAGGTTCAGGGTTAGGTTCAGGGCCATGATTAGGTTCAGGGTTAGGTTCAGGGACATGATTAGGTTCAGGGTTAGGTTCAGGGCCATGATTAGGTTTAGGGTTAGGTTTAGGTTTAGGGCCATGATTAGGTTCAGGGCCATGATTAGGTTCAGGTTCAGGGCCATGATTATGTTCAGGGTTAGGTTTAGGTTTAGGGCCAAGATTAGGTTTAGGGTTAGGTTCAGGGCCATGATTAGGTTCAGGGTTAGGTTCAGGGCCATGATTAGGTTCAGGGTTAGGTTCAGGTTTAGGGCCATGATTAGGTTCAGGGTTAGGTTCAGGGCCATGATTAGGTTCAGGGTTAGGTTCAGGGCCATGATTAGGTTCAGGGTTAGGTTCAGGTTTAGGGCCATGGTTAGGTTCAGGGTTAGGTTCAGGGCCATGATTAAGTTCAGGGTTAGGTTCAGGGCCATGATTAGGTTCAGGGTTAGGTTTAGGTTTAGGGCCATGGTTAGGTTCAGGGTTAGGTTCAGGGCCATGATTAAGTTCAGGGTTAGGTTCAGGGCCATGATTAGGTTCAGGGTTAGGTTTAGGTTTAGGGCCATGGTTAGGTTCAGGGTTAGGTTCAGGGCCAAGATTAGGTTCAGGGTTAGGTTCAGGGCCATGATTAGGTTTTGGATTAGGTTCAGGTTTAATGCCATGATTAGGTTCAGGGTTAGGTTCAGGGCCATGATTAGGTTCTGGGTTAGGTTCAGGGCCATGATTAGGTTCTGGGTTAGGTTCAGGTTTAAGGCCATGATTAGGTTCAGGGTTAGGTTCAGGGCCATGATTAGGTTCAGGGTTAGGTTCAGGGCCATGATTAGGTTCAGGGTTAGGTTCAGGGCCATGATTAGGTTCAGGGTTAGGTTCAGGGCCATGATTAGGTTTAGGGTTAGGTTTAGGTTTAGGGCCATGATTAGGTTCAGGGTTAGGTTCAGGGCCATGATTAGGTTCAGGGTTAGGTTCAGGGCCATGATTAGGTTCAGGGTTAGGTTCAGGGCCATGATTAGGTTCAGGGTTAGGTTCAGGGCCATGATTAGGTTTTGGATTAGGTTCAGGTTTAAGGCCATGATTAGGTTCAGGGTTAGGTTCAGGGCCATGATTAGGTTCTGGGTTAGGTTCAGGGCCATGATTAGGTTCTGGGTTAGGTTCAGGTTTAAGGCCATGATTAGGTTCAGGGTTAGGTGCAGGGCCATGATTAGGTTCAGGGTTAGGTTCAGGGCCATGATTAGGTTCAGGGTTAGGTTCAGGGCCATGATTAGGTTTAGGGTTAGGTTTAGGTTTAGGGCCATGATTAGGTTCAGGGTTAGGTTCAGGTTTAGGGCCATGATTAGGTTCAGGGTTAGGTTCAGGGCCATGATTAGGTTCAGGGTTAGGTTCAGGGCCATGATTAGGTTTAGGGTTAGGTTTAGGTTTAGGGCCATGATTAGGTTCAGGTTCAGGGCCATGATTATGTTCAGGGTTAGGTTTAGGTTTAGGGCCATGATTAGGTTCAGGGTTAGGTTCAGGTTTAGGGCCATGATTAGGTTCAGGGTTAGGTTCATGGCCATGATTAGGTTCAGGGTTAGGTTCAGGGCCATGATTAGGTTCATTAGGTTCAGGTTTAGGGCCATGGTTAGGTTCAGGGTTAGGTTCAGGGCCATGATTAGGTTCAGGGTTAGGTTCAGGGCCATGATTAGGTTCAGGGTTAGGTTTAGGGCCATGATTAGGTTCAGGGTTAGGTTCAGGTTCAGGGCCATGATTAGGTTCAGGTTCAGGGCCATGATTATGTTCAGGGTTAGGTTTAGGTTTAGGGCCATGATTAGGTTCAGGGTTAGGTTCAGGTTTAGGGCCATGATTAGGTTCAGGGTTAGGTTCAGGGCCATGATTAGGTTCAGGGTTAGGTTCAGGGCCATGATTAGGTTCATTAGGTTCAGGTTTAGGGCCATGGTTAGGTTCAGGGTTAGGTTCAGGGCCATGATTAGGTTCAGGGTTAGGTTCAGGGCCATGATTAGGTTCAGGGTTAGGTTTAGGTTTAGGGCCATGGTTAGGTTCAGGGTTAGGTTCAGGGCCATGATTAGGTTCAGGGTTAGGTTCAGGGCCATGATTAGTTTCAGGGTTAGGTTCAGGTTTAGGGCCATGGTTAGGTTCAGGGTTAGGTTCCGGTTCAGGGCCATGATTAGGTTCAGGGTTAGGTTCAGGTTCAGGGCCATGATTAGATTCAGGTTTAGGTTCAGGTTTAGGTTCAGGTTTAGGGCCATGATTAGGTTCAGGGTTAGGTTCAGGGCCATGATTAGGTTCAGGGTTAGGTTCAGGGACATGATTAGGTTCAGGGTTAGGTTCAGGGTTAGGTTCAGGGCCATGATTAGGTTCAGGGTTAGGTTCAGGGACATGATTAGGTTCAGGGTTAGGTTCAGGGCCATGATTAGGTTTAGGGTTAGGTTTAGGTTTAGGGCCATGATTAGGTTCAGGGCCATGATTAGGTTCAGGTTCAGGGCCATGATTATGTTCAGGGTTAGGTTTAGGTTTAGGGCCAAGATTAGGTTTAGGGTTAGGTTCAGGGCCATGATTAGGTTCAGGGTTAGGTTCAGGGCCATGATTAGGTTCAGGGTTAGGTTCAGGTTTAGGGCCATGATTAGGTTCAGGGTTAGGTTCAGGGCCATGATTAGGTTCAGGGTTAGGTTCAGGGCCATGATTAGGTTCAGGGTTAGGTTCAGGTTTAGGGCCATGGTTAGGTTCAGGGTTAGGTTCAGGGCCAAGATTAAGTTCAGGGTTAGGTTCAGGGCCATGATTAGGTTCAGGGTTAGGTTTAGGTTTAGGGCCATGGTTAGGTTCAGGGTTAGGTTCAGGGCCATGATTAAGTTCAGGGTTAGGTTCAGGGTCATGATTAGGTTCAGGGTTAGGTTTAGGTTTAGGGCCATGGTTAGGTTCAGGGTTAGGTTCAGGGCCAAGATTAGGTTCAGGGTTAGGTTCAGGGCCATGATTAGGTTTTGGATTAGGTTCAGGTTTAAGGCCATGATTAGGTTCAGGGTTAGGTTCAGGGCCATGATTAGGTTCTGGGTTAGGTTCAGGGCCATGATTAGGTTCTGGGTTAGGTTCAGGTTTAAGGCCATGATTAGGTTCAGGGTTAGGTTCAGGGCCATGATTAGGTTCAGGGTTAGGTTCAGGGCCATGATTAGGTTCAGGGTTAGGTTCAGGGCCATGATTAGGTTCAGGGTTAGGTTCAGGGCCATGATTAGGTTTAGGGTTAGGTTTAGGTTTAGGGCCATGATTAGGTTCAGGGTTAGGTTCAGGTTTAGGGCCATGATTAGGTTCAGGGTTAGGTTCAGGGCCATGATTAGGTTCAGGGTTAGGTTCAGGGCCATGATTAGGTTCAGGGTTAGGTTCAGGGCCATGATTAGGTTTTGGATTAGGTTCAGGTTTAAGGCCATGATTAGGTTCAGGGTTAGGTTCAGGGCCATGATTAGGTTCTGGGTTAGGTTCAGGGCCATGATTAGGTTCTGGGTTAGGTTCAGGTTTAAGGCCATGATTAGGTTCAGGGTTAGGTGCAGGGCCATGATTAGGTTCAGGGTTAGGTTCAGGGCCATGATTAGGTTTTGGATTAGGTTCAGGTTTAAGGCCATAATTAGGTTCAGGGTTAGGTTCAGGGCCATGATTAGGTTCTGGGTTAGGTTCAGGTTTAAGGCCATGATTAGGTTCAGGGTTAGGTGCAGGGCCATGATTAGGTTCAGGGTTAGGTTCAGGGCCATGATTAGGTTCAGGGTTAGGTTCAGGGCCATGATTAGGTTTAGGGTTAGGTTTAGGTTTAGGGCCATGATTAGGTTCAGGTTCAGGGCCATGATTATGTTCAGGGTTAGGTTTAGGTTTAGGGCCATGATTAGGTTCAGGGTTAGGTTCAGGTTTAGGGCCATGATTAGGTTCAGGGTTAGGTTCAGGGCCATGATTAGGTTCAGGGTTAGGTTCAGGGCCATGATTAGGTTTAGGGTTAGGTTTAGTTTTAGGGCCATGATTAGGTTCAGGTTCAGGGCCATGATTATGTTCAGGGTTAGGTTTAGGTTTAGGGCCATGATTAGGTTCAGGGTTAGGTTCAGGTTTAGGGCCATGATTAGGTTCAGGGTTAGGTTCAGGGCCATGATTAGGTTCAGGGTTAGGTTCAGGGCCATGATTAGGTTCATTAGGTTCAGGTTTAGGGCCATGGTTAGGTTCAGGGTTAGGTTCAGGGCCATGATTAGGTTCAGGGTTAGGTTCAGGGCCATGATTAGGTTCAGGGTTAGGTTTAGGGCCATGATTAGGTTCAGGGTTAGGTTCAGGTTCAGGGCCATGATTAGATTCAGGTTCAGGGCCATGATTATGTTCAGGGTTAGGTTTAGGTTTAGGGCCATGATTAGGTTCAGGGTTAGGTTCAGGTTTAGGGCCATGATTAGGTTCAGGGCCATGATTAGGTTCAGGGTTAGGTTCAGGGCCATGATTAGGTTCATTAGGTTCAGGTTTAGGGCCATGGTTAGGTTCAGGGTTAGGTTCAGGGCCATGATTAGGTTCAGGGTTAGGTTCAGGGCCGTGATTAGGTTCAGGGTTAGGTTTAGGTTTAGGGCCATGGTTAGGTTCAGGGTTAGGTTCAGGGCCATGATTAGGTTCAGGGTTAGGTTCAGGGCCATGATTAGTTTCAGGGTTAGGTTCAGGTTTAGGGCCATGGTTAGGTTCAGGGTTAGGTTCCGGTTCAGGGCCATGATTAGGTTCAGGGTTAGGTTCAGGTTCAGGGCCATGATTAGATTCAGGTTTAGGTTCAGGTTTAGGTTCAGGTTTAGGGCCATGATTAGGTTCAGGTTTAGGGCCATGATTAGGTTCAGGGTTAGGTTCAGGGCCATGATTAGGTTCAGGTTTAGGGCCATGATTAGGTTCAGGTTTAGGTTCAGGTTTAGGGCCATGATTAGGTTCAGGTTTAGGGCCATGATTAGGTTCAGGGTTAGGTTCAGGGCCATGATTAGGTTCAGGTTCAGGGCCATGATTAGGTTCAGGTTTAGGTTCAGGTTTAGGGCCATGATTAGGTTCAGGGTTAGGTTCAGGTTTAGGTTCAGGTTTAGGGCCATGATTAGGTTTTGGATTAGGTTCAGGTTTAAGGCCATGATTAGGTTCAGGGTTAGGTTCAGGGCCATGATTAGGTTCTGGGTTAGGTTTAGGGCCATGATTAGGTTCTGGGTTAGGTTCAGGTTTAAGGCCATGATTAGGTTCAGGGTTAGGTTCAGGGCCATGATTAGGTTCAGGGTTAGGTTCAGGGCCATGATTAGGTTCAGGGTTAGGTTCAGGGCCATGATTAGGTTTAGGGTTAGGTTTAGGTTTAGGGCCATGATTAGGTTCAGGGTTAGGTTCAGGTTCAGGGCCATGATTAGGTTCAGGTTCAGGGCCATGATTATGTTCAGGGTTAGGTTTAGGTTTAGGGCCATGATTAGGTTCAGGGTTAGGTTCAGGTTTAGGGCCATGATTAGGTTCAGGGTTAGGTTCAGGGCCATGATTAGGTTCAGGGTTAGGTTCAGGGCCATGATTAGGTTCATTAGGTTCAGGTTTAGGGCCATGGTTAGGTTCAGGGTTAGGTTCAGGGCCATGATTAGGTTCAGGGTTAGGTTCAGGGCCATGATTAGGTTCAGGGTTAGGTTTAGGGCCATGATTAGGTTCAGGGTTAGGTTTAGGTTCAGGGCCATGATTAGGTTCAGGGCCATGATTATGTTCAGGGTTAGGTTTAGGTTTAGGGCCATGATTAGGTTCAGGGTTAGGTTCAGGTTTAGGGCCATGATTAGGTTCAGGGTTAGGTTCAGGGCCATGATTAGGTTCAGGGTTAGGTTCAGGGCCATGATTAGGTTCATTGGGTTCAGGTTTAGGGCCATGGTTAGGTTCAGGGTTAGGTTCAGGGCCATGATTAGGTTCAGGGTTAGGTTCAGGGCCATGATTAGGTTCAGGGTTAGGTTTAGGTTTAGGGCCATGGTTAGGTTCAGGGTTAGGTTCAGGGCCATGATTAGGTTCAGGGTTAGGTTCAGGGCCATGATTAGTTTCAGGGTTAGGTTCAGGTTTAGGGCCATGGTTAGGTTCAGGGTTAGGTTCCGGTTCAGGGCCATGATTAGGTTCAGGGTTAGGTTCAGGTTCAGGGCCATGATTAGGTTCAGGTTTAGGTTCAGGTTTAGGTTCAGGTTTAGGGCCATGATTAGGTTCAGGTTTAGGGCCATGATTAGGTTCAGGGTTAGGTTCAGGGCCATGATTAGGTTCAGGTTTAGGGCCATGATTAGGTTCAGGGTTAGGTTCAGGTTTACGTTCAGGTTTAGGGCCATGATTAGGTTCAGGTTTAGGGCCATGATTAGGTTCAGGGTTAGGTTCAGGGCCATGATTAGGTTCAGGTTCAGGGCCATGATTAGGTTCAGGTTTAGGTTCAGGTTTAGGGCCATGATTAGGTTCAGGGTTAGGTTCAGGTTTAGGTTCAGGTTTAGGGCCATGATTAGGTTCAGGTTTAGGGCCATGATTAGGTTCAGGGTTAGGTTCAGGGCCATGATTAGGTTCAGGTTTAGGGCCATGATTAGGTTCAGGGTTAGGTTCAGGGCCATGATTAGGTTCAGGTTTAGGGCCATGATTAGGTTCAGGGTTAGGTTCAGGGCCATGATTAGGTTCAGGGTTAGGTTTAGGTTTAGGGCCATGGTTAGGTTCAGGGTTAGGTTCAGGGCCATGATTAGGTTCAGGGTTAGGTTCAGGGCCATGATTAGTTTCAGGGTTAGGTTCAGGTTTAGGGCCATGGTTAGGTTCAGGGTTAGGTTCCGGTTCAGGGCCATGATTAGGTTCAGGGTTAGGTTCAGGTTCAGGGCCATGATTAGGTTCAGGTTTAGGTTCAGGTTTAGGTTCATAATTAGGAACTTACATATGCTGCAAGTGTTTGTTGGCCGTGAGACCTAGAACTTACATGTGCTGCAAGTGTTTGTTGGCCGTGAGACCTAGAACTTACATGTGCTGCAAGTGTTTGTTGGCCGTGAGACCTAGAACTTACATGTGCTGCAAGTGTTTGTTGGCCGTGAGACCTAGAACTTACATGTGCTGCAAGTGTTTGTTGGCCGTGAGACCTAGAACTTACATGTGCTGCAAGTGTTTGTTGGCCGTGAGACCTAGAACTTACATGTGCTGCAAGTGTTTGTTGGCCATGAGACCTAGAACTTACATGTGCTGCAAGTGTTTGTTGGCCATGAGACCTAGAACTTACATGTGCTGCAAGTGTTTGTTGGCCGTGAGACCTAGAACTTACATGTGCTGCAAGTGTTTGTTGGCCGTGAGACCTAGAACTTACATGTGCTGCAAGTGTTTGTTGGCCGTGAGACCTAGAACTTACATGTGCTGCAAGTGTTTGTTGGCCGTGAGACCTAGAACTTACATGTGCTGCAAGTGTTTGTTGGTCGTGAGACCTAGAACTTACATGTGCTGCAAGTGTTTGTTGGCCGTGAGACCTAGAACTTACATGTGCTGCAAGTGTTTGTTGGCCGTGAGACCTAGAACTTACATGTGCTGCAAGTGTTTGTTGGCCGTGAGACCTAGAACTTACATGTGCTGCAAGTGTTTGTTGGCCGTGAGACCTAGAACTTACATGTGCTGCAAGTGTTTGTTGGCCGTGAGACCTAGAACTTACATGTGCTGCAAGTGTTTGTTGGCCGTGAGACCTAGAACTTACATGTGCTGCAAGTGTTTGTTGGCCGTGAGACCTAGAACTTACATGTGCTGCAAGTGTTTGTTGGCCGTGAGACCTAGAACTTACATGTGCTGCAAGTGTTTGTTGGCCGTGAGACCTAGAACTTACATGTGCTGCAAGTGTTTGTTGGCCGTGAGACCTAGAACTTACATGTGCTGCAAGTGTTTGTTGGCCGTGAAAATATCTTCAGGTAACTCCACCAGCTTCAGGTTGTTCAATTTTCTGCAAGGTGAAAGACATGGATTAGTCTAACGACATGGATTAGTCTAATGATGGATTAGTCTAATGACGGATTAGTCTAATGACAGATTAGTCTAATGACATGGATTAGTCTAATGATGGATTAGTCTAATGATGAATTAGTCTAATGACATTGATTAGTCTAACAACATGGATTAGTCTAATGACATTGATTAGTCTAATGACATGGATTAGTCTAATGATGGATTAGTCTAATGACGGATTAGTCTAATGACGGATTAGTCTAATGACATTGATTAGTCTAACGACATGAATTAGTCTAATGACATTGATTAGTCTAATGACATGGATTAGTCTAATGATGGATTAGTCTAATGACTGATTAGTCTAATGACATGGATTAGTCTAATGATGGATTATTCTAATGACGGATTAGTCTAATGACATGGATTAGTCTAATGACTTTAATTAGTCTAATGATGGATTAGTCTAATGACGGATTAGTCTAATGACATGGATTAGTCTAATGATGGATTAGTCTAATGACGGATTAGTCTAATGACATTGATTAGTCTAACGACATGGATTAGTCTAATGACATGGATTAGTCTAATGACATGGATTAGTCTAATGATGGATTAGTCTAATGACGGATTAGTCTAATGACATGGATTAGTCTAATGATGGATTAGTCTAATGACGGATTAGTCTAATGACATGGATTAGTCTAATGATGGATTAGTCTAATGACGGATTAGTCTAATGACATGGGTTAGTCTAATTACATTGATTAGTCGAACGACATGGATTAGTCTAATGATGGATTATTCTAATGACGGATTAGTCTAATGACATGGATTAGTCTAATGATGGATTAGTCTAATGATGGATTAGTCTAATGACATGGATTAGTCTAATGACATGGATTAGCCTAATGACATGGATTAGTCTGATGACATGGATTAGTCTGGTGACAAGGATTAGTTTGATGACATGGATTAGTCTAATGACATGGATTAGTCTAATGACATGGATTAGCCTAATGGTGGATTAGTCTAATGACATGGATTAGTCTAATGACATGGATTAGTCTAATGACATCGATTAGTCTGATGACAAGGATTAGTTTGATGACATGGATTAGTCTGTTGACATGTATATTTTTTTAAAAAGATTAATCTCATGGATTTCAGAAAAACTGACTGAATGTTCTTAGCGCAAAGATTTTCATTAGATTTTAAAGTGAAAAAACAGGGTTAAGCTCCCCTATCTGTACATCTATAAACAAAAATGTGTCTGTGTGTTTGTCTGTTGTTCTTTTATACAGCTTTCATGAAAATCACCATGAAACTTTTGAAAGGTTCCTGCAATTAATTTTTTTTAATTAATGTTGTATCTGTCTTGCTTCTGATTTCACAGCACAGTTGTATGTAACTTTATACAAAGCCACTTGTTTTTTAGAAAACACAGAGAGGAAATGGTTCATAGAATATACTGTTTTTGTGAATATGATATCAATTATCCAAATCTGATGGTTTTAGAGATATTGCTAAAAAATTAACTGAATTATGTGTATAAGATCTATTACTTTCAAATGAAATTTCATCCACCAACTGAAATAGTACTCAATTTATTTATGTTTACACAATCAGTCACAGACACACACACAGACATACCAACAAGAGTATAGAATTGGATTTGTCTAAATAGGAAGATTCGAAATTGTTTTTTTTTTTTCTAGATTCTGAAGCTTCCCGCTACGCTCTGTATGTAAGCAAGTAAAAATGTCTGTTAGTAGAGCAACTCACATTTGTGTCAAGTGTTCCATACATTTGTGTCAAGTGTTTCATACATTTGTGTCAAGTGTTCCATACATTTGTGTCAAGTGTTCCATACATTTGTGTCAAGTATTCTATACTCACATTTGCGTCAAGTATTCTATACTCACATTTGTGTCAAGTGTTCCATACATTTGTGTCAAGTGTTCCATACTTTTGTGTCAAGTGTTCCATACATTTGTGTCAAGTATTCTATACTCACATTTGTGTCAAGTATTCTATACTCACATTTGTGTCAAGTATAGAGTCCTTGCAAACACGTGACCTAAATCACGTGATACCTACGCCCGCCGCCACAGTGGTGTACATCAGACGTAAACACAATCAGCTGTTCGCCAGCGCTGGACGTGTTCACCAGCGCTGGACGTGTTCACTGTATGTAAAGAACCGCACTCGCGGAAAAGGAAAAATATGTTAAAAAACTTGAACTCTTAGGAATTGAAGATCCTTATACTGTTATTGACAGCTTCGTGGATAATATAAATATGTGGACAAAATTTCTAAATAAAAATACTGTTAGTAATACCGTTTGCGTTTAGAGTTTAAGTAGACGAAGCTGATCAAATGCAGTAATATATTATAGGTTATCTACTGTAGCAAACGTGAGACCACTTAACTCCTACAAAACCCACACTACAACGGCTAATATAATCCATGGGTAATAACCAATCTGGGTAGCATGTTATACAATTTAAGACCCTTATAATCCAGCAGGAAAGTAATCAGACACATTAATACTGACGTTCAACCCTCATGATGGCTGCCCCCACCTGTATCTAGCCCACAATAAAACCAAAGAGGAGTCTGCCCTGCCCTCCCCTGAAAATGTCTCACCTCCGTGATACCCAGCCCCACAGAGATAGTATTTCTTATATAATTTTGACCCCCAGGGCCCAGCAGGGAGAACAAAGGGTAAAGTCCCACTGCTCTCCCCTCAACACTTCTCACCTCGGTGTCATGTTATGTCATTTATAGCACACATGGCTTATCAGGGGAAAGCATTAAGGCATTAAGAATCTTAACTCTGGACAGCTACACACTAGTATACTAGCTACACACTAGGTGCCTATTGTAAACTACTAGACTGTAGGCCCTATGTAGACCTGCAATTGTATCAATTGTAGACTGGGTCCATTGTTATTATTCTAAACCATCTCACTTATAATGTTTCTAGCTTGATTTGTTTCTTTTATAAACAGTGGATTTAAAAAAAAAATTAGCCTAATCATTAACCAAATAATAATAATGTGGTTATTTGTTGTTGGCTGGTATGATCTAGATTCTACTACTAGGCTACATAGTAGACTAATTACTAGATATGCATTTTAATTTAATTAAACTCAGTCCAGTATCAGATACATATTGCTGTAAAAAGACAACAAAGTAGGTAGGCCTTAGTAATTTATTAAAGCCTTCTACTACAATAATATCAACTACATGCTTGTATAAAGTTTTTACAATTTAATTTAAGTAGCAGATTCTAGATCTAAGTCTAGTCATACAATCTATTTCAATTTCAGAAAATTTCGTTTGCTAAAAAAATGATTAGATAATAGAGCGAGATTTTAGATCTTAGAGACAATTAAATGCTTTATTAGGCCTATTAGGACTACTTTTGATTTATTATGGGTGTATTTTGAATCGAATGTAGATCTAAAGTAATTAAATTTAAGTAAAGAAGTAGATTCTAGATTCTATGTCTACCCAGCGGAGCCAGGTATTAGGCCTACTATTAGATCTTATTATTTTTATTATTATTTTTGACTTTGTCTTTTACTATTAGTATTTGTGAAGGTCGAGCATATTTGTTTTATTAATAGTTATCTTTTATAATTAAAATGAAGTTTATTATTTTACTGTCCTTACCTGAAACAAAGTATCGAGAACTGCATTTGATCAGATTCGTCTACTTTAACTCTAAACGCAAACAGTATTACTAACAGTATTTACATATAGTGAACGCGTCCAGCGCTGGTGAACACGTCCAGCGCTGGCGAACAGCTGATTGTGTTTACGTCTGATGTACACCACTGTGGCGGCGGGCGTAGGTATCACGAACGGACGTGACGTCATATGAAAGGACTCTATTCTATACTCACATTTGTGTCAAGTATTTTATACTCACATTTGTGTCAAGTGTTCCATACAGGTGAAAGCCTGTGGGTCTAGGGAAAAAGTATTGTGACCAGCATGTCTTGAATTGAAAGAAAATCAACAAAAATCAATTTATTAAAAAAATCAACTGACCAACAAAAATCAACATATTAACAAAAATCAATACACCAAACCTAACTAAAACTACTGATGGTGGTAACAATAAAATTTTAAAGAATATTCTGATGAAAACATTTTACAATGCATGTTGACAGTTTCTTTATTTGCTATAATTTTACAAAAATAAATTAGGCATTTTCATGCAAAATGTCATTTAGGTACTTCAAAAACAGTTAATTATAAAATGTACTTACAAAACTCTTAAATTATAAAATGTACTTACAAAATTCTTAAACTGCAAAACAAAGTTGCAACATGGAAACTCTTCAAACCAGAGTGCTCTATGTATCTGTTGGAAAGGACAAATGATGGAACAACTCTTTTTACAATTGTTTAACACAGCCATCTAAACCTATACTTACAATTGTTTAACAGAGCCATCTAAACCTATACTTACAATTGTTTAACACAGCCATCTAAACCTATACTTACAATTGTTTAACACAGCCATCTAAACCTATACTTACAATTGTTTAACACAGCCATCTAAACCTATACTTACAATTGTTTAACACAGCCATCTAAACCTATACTTACAATTGTTTAACACAGCCATCTAAACCTATACTTACAATTGTTTAACACAGCCATCCAAACCTATACTTACAATTGTTTAACACAGCCATCTAAACCTATACTTACAATTGTTTAACACAGCCATCTAAACCTATACTTACAATTGTTTAACACAGCCATCCAAACCTATACTTACAATTGTTTAACACAGCCATCTAAACCTATACTTACAATTGTTTAACACAGCCATCTAAACCTATACTTACAATTGTTTAACACAGCCATCCAAACCTATACTTACAATTGTTTAACACAGCCATCCAAACCTATACTTACAATTGTTTAACACAGCCATCCAAACCTATACTTACAATTGTTTAACACAGCCATCTAAACCTATACTTACAATTGTTTAACACAGCCATCTAAACCTATACTTACAATTGTTTAACACAGCCATCTAAACCTATACTTACAATTGTTTAACACAGCCATCTAAACCTATACTTACAATTGTTTAACACAGCCATCTAAACCTATACTTACAATTGTTTAACACAGCCATCTAAACCTATACTTACAATTGTTTAACACAGCCATCCAAACCTATACTTACAATTGTTTAACACAGCCATCTAAACCTATACTTACAATTATTTAACACAGCCATCCAAACCTATACTTACAATTGTTTAACACAGCCATCTAAACCTATACTTACAATTGTTTAACAGAGAGAAAGGTTCCTAATATCTCAACTACAGGGTTTCCTGTTAAATTTCTGAAACAAAAATTATTTAGCATAAAAAAAATGAGTCTGTTACTAAAGCTACAAGAATGGCTGTTGGACCTAACCTAGAGAACTAGAATCTAGTTTTAAAACAATTGTTTCCTGTTGGACCTAACCTAGAGTACTAGAATCTAGTTTTAAAACAATTGTTTCCTGTTGGACCTAACCTAGAGTACTAGAATCTAGTTTTAAAACAATTGTTTCCTGTTGGACCTAACCTAGAGTACTAGAATCTAGTTTTAAAACAATTGTTTGAACTGACATGCTCTCCAGGTTTGTAGGCAATAAATTCCCATTGACACTTGTTATCAGGTTCTCTGAGACATTTCTGGAATAGAAGATTCGCACATGGTAGATGATGGTAGGGGGAGATGGGATGGGGGAGGATGGGATGGGGGACATGATGGTAGGGGGAGGATGGATGGGGGAGATGATGGTAGGGGGAGATGGGATGGGGGACATGATGGGATGGGGGAGGATGGGATGGGGGACATGATGGTAGGGGGAGATGGGATGGGGGAGATGAAAGGGATGGGGGAGATGGGATGGGGGACATGATGGTAGGGGGAGATGGATGGGGGAGATGATGGTAGGGGGAGATGGGATGGGGGAGATGAAAGGGATGGGGGAGATGGGATGGGGGACATGATGGTAGGGGGAGATGGGATGGGGGAGATGATGGTAGGGGGAGATGGGATGGGGGACATGATGGTAGGGGAGATGGGATGGGGACATGATGGTAGGGGGAGATGGGATGGGGGAGATGATGGTAGGGGGAGATGGATGGGGGAGATGGGATGGGGGACATGATGGTAGGGGGACATGATGGTAGGGGGAGATGGGATGGGGGAGATGATGGTAGGGGGAGGATGGGATGGGGGAGATGATGGTAGGGGGAGATGGATGGGGGACATGATGGTAGGGGGAGATGGGATGGGGGAGATGAAAGGGATGGGGGAGATGGGATGGGAGACATGATGGTAGGGGGAGATGGGATGGGGGACATGATGGTAGGGGAGATGGGATGGGGACATGATGGTAGGGGGAGATGGGATGGGGGACATGATGGTAGGGGGAGACGGGATGGGGGACATGATGGTAGGGGAGATGGGATGGGGACATGATGGTAGGGGGGGGGATGGATGGGGGAGATGATGGTAGGGGGAGATGGGATGGGGGAGATGAAAGGGATGGGGGAGATGGGATGGGGGAGATGAAAGGGATGGGGGAGATGGGATGGGGGACATGATGGTAGGGGGAGATGGGATGGGGGACATGATGGTAGGGGGAGATGGATGGGGGACATGATGGTAGGGGGAGATGGATGGGGGAGATGAAATGGGTGGGGGAGATGAAAGGGATGGGGGAGATGATGGTAGGGGGAGATGGATGGGGGAGATGATGGTAGGGGGAGATGATGGTAGGGGGAGATGGGATGGGGGAGATGGGATGGGGGAGATGGGATGGGGGAGATAAAGGGATGGGGGAGATGGGATGGGGGAGATAAAGGGGTGGGGGAGATGAAATGGGTGGGGGAGATGAAATGGGTGGGGGAGATGAAAGGGGTGGGGGAGATAAAGGGGTGGGGGAGATGGGATGGGGGAGATGAAAGGGGTGGTGGAGATGGGATGGGGAGATGGGATGGGGGAGATAAAGGGATGGGGGAGATAACGGGATGGGGGAGATAAAGGGGTGGGGGAGATAAAGGGGTGGGGGAGATAAAGGGGTGGGGGAGATAAAGGGGTGGGGGAGATGAAATGGGTGGGGAGATGAAAGGGGTGGGGGAGATAAAGGGGTGGGGGAGATGAAATGGGTGGGGAGATGGGATGGGGGAGATAAAGGGGTGGGGGAGATGAAATGGGTGGGGGAGATGAAAGGTGTGGGGGAGATGAAAGAGATGGGAGAGATGATGGTAGGGGGAGATGGATGGGAGAGATGATGGTATCTATCAGTCAACTTATTTTAGCTTATCTCATAATGTCTTATTTGTCTGTCTGTCTGTGTGTCAACCTGCTTGCCTGTCTTTCTGCTTACTTGTCTGTTTGTCTGTATGTCTGCCTGCTTGCCTGCCTGTATGTCTGTATGTCTGTTGGTCTGTCTTACATTGATTGGATACTGGAACTCAGGTGTGTTGGCAGCTCCTGCAAGTCTGCACCTGTACAGTCCAGCAGAGCATCTGAGCAGGTGCATGGAGTGCCAGTTGGTCCACGCAAGCAATCAGCTGATTCATCACACCATCCCAAAGTGGCCAGCCAACACAGCAACATGAGACATCTTGGGTAGATGGGAGCTCGGGGTCTACAAGCCAACTTCATCTTCACAAATATGTTTGGTGGCTTCAGCTGATTACAACTGAGATTTTTGCATCATTTGTTTGCATTATTTCTATCCTAATTTTAAAGCCAACAATGGAAAGAGGATTTATTGATATATAAATAAATAAATAAATAAATATAGGCATATATATATATATATATATATATATATATATATATATATATATATATATATATATATATATATATATATATATATATAATGATACATTTATGGTATTTTTCTTTTATGTTGCCACATTATTATCACTTATCAACAGACAATTATTCCAAATATAGAATTAAAGAAATTGTTTATTTATTAGATCTAGTGGACAACGAAGTGGACAACGAAGTGGTCACATCAGACATGATAAACAAGCTGACAAGAATAATATTAGTTGTGGTGCGGAAGGAGTGGGTAAAGTTCAAGGTTGTTTAACCAAAAAGTCCACAATTCGACCCCCTTGCAGATTAGCTCACTAGCTGAAGACACCAAGCCACCTAGGAGAGACAACTCCAAACTTAGCTCAATAGCTGAAGACACCAAGTCACCTAGGAGAAACAACTGCTGCCTGGATCATGTTTGTTCTTGGTTAAAGAAAAAATTATGGAAGCAAATCCAGAAAGAAAATCAGGCTGAAATAGAAATCAATGGCCTATATGGTGCATGACAGTTTGACACATTATAGGCCTACTTAAATATGTTGTTTTGAAATCCTGTTCAACATAACAATAAAGAAAGAAGAGGTCTTGTGGTTTAATACAATAAATTGCAAGTCCTTTGTGTGTAGGTCCTGTTGGCATTACTAAACCAATCAACACAAAGCTTTGGGAAGTTGTTGGGACCAATCAACACAAAGCTTTGGGAAGTTGTTGGGACCAATCAACACAAAGCTTTGGGAAGTTGTTGGGACCAATCAACACAAAGCTTTGGGAAGTTGTTGGGACCAATCAACACAAAGCTTTGGGAAGTTGTTGGGACCAATCAACACAAAGCTTTGGGAAGTTGTTGAGAAGGTTTGCATGAAAAAGGCAGAGTTTGATGCAATTATTTTCTAGATTTGGTACATAAAAATAAAAGTCGGATGCTGAGCTGCCATCTTAGCACTTGGCATCCTAGTGGATTCAATAATAAAACTGCACCAGGCGGGCACATCTGCCAGCTGAGTTACCCAGTGCACATGGGCCCTTGTGTGAGCACTATAGCGCCTACATTTGTATTAAAAATAGCTAGATTCAATAGCCGTATTAGGGCTATGCAGAGATCGTGACTGTTTTTGATAGATTTAATGTTAAAAACACCAGATTAAGCATGAAGTGTGGGTGGCTGCTGTGTCGGAAAGTGCCGGTACGAACCCATCAGATGCCTTGTCTTTTGACACTTAATTTATGCCCTATAAATTTTATTTGTTCCCATTGTTCATGAAAGGGTTACGTTTGTTAATTTTTAAAATAATTTGCGACATGATTAATGGCATAGATTTATTAATTAGACCAGTATAGATTTAATTAGAGTGCATAATGATAAATAATCACTTCATCTACGACCAACGTAGAAGATATGAGCCTAAAAGCTCAACTTAAACCATAATATTTTTTTTTAATGAAAATATAACACAATAAAAAATAACACCGCTCTCTTGATCTATACCTCAATCCCCAGTCACAATAAATGCTTTTATTATCATAAGATATTATGGTAATCTATCGTTTTAGGTACGTAAAATCGCCCGCGACTAGTAATGTGAAAAACAGGTGACTCCTTAAATTTTAATAATTAGTTCACATATTTTGAGGAGGATTTATGTTTTGAAAAATACAAAAATGTTTCCTTGTTTCATTTATGTACCTGTTTTTAAACAACTGAATTAAAAATTTTCAGTAATAAATGAAGACTAGCGATGTTTCCAACAGATACAACCATGCTCATTTACTATAGTAGCCATCTTGTTTATTATTTTTTTTTATTGTAAACTTATAGCACAAGATTCAGGGGAAGCCACTCTAACTTACAGATGTCCGCTTTTTATATAGCAAATCCTGCTCGCAAACACTGCTGTTAAAAGTTAATTTCTTGCATATATATATTGATATATTTAGCCGTTGATTTAGGTTTATTATTCATTTATCTATATAATATTTGACACAAATATATCACAATATACTATATAGATCTACTTCTATTAAAGCCTTGACAATGAGGTAACTGTTTCGTTCATTACTAGCCGCAGGCGATTTTACGTACGTAAAATGATAGATTACCGATATTGTTCCCAGCCATATAGTCGGCTGGGAATAGCCCCAATACACCTATTCCCAACTGGCTGGGAATAGCCTTGGCCTTTACTAATCGTACTACTTGTACTGTACTGTTCTTAAGATTCTCTATATATTATAGTTTATAGTCTATATGGCCTAGACTAGAGTGTATTGTATTAATATTATAGTCCTAGAATCTACATACTAGTACATACTAAAATCAGTAAATGAAAGTTTTTAGTTTATGATTGACCATGTGTATTGTGTAGGCCTGTATCATACAGTGTATGTCAGTATGATTAAATTTAGATCTAGTAAAAAATTTAGTTTAAGTTTAGAAAAAAAAGTAGTTAGTAAAGTAAGTAAAGTAGATCTACAAAGTACTAGAGAAACTTTCAGTAGTAGTAGGTATACTTAGTATACTAATTACTAATTAGTAAGTAGGCTCTCTATTACTCTCTATAAATATTATAGCCACTAGAGACTAGATTACTAGTCTAGTACTAGAATCTAGATTCTAGATCTAGAGTCTAGTAGTAACAGTAGTAGTACCGAGGCCTAGGCCTACTGACACTGTAACTCAGAGTGTAACTTATTTTTAAATTATTAGTTAAACAATAAATCAATAAAGTAATAGTAATAAAGTTACTTCAATTGACAATTAGATCTAGATCTAGATCTAGATCTACTTCTGTCTTTTAAAAGATCTAAATAAAATCTATATTTTTGTATATCTTGTGTTTCATTGTTAGATCTAGATCTAGATCTAAATCTATATTTATATTTACGAAATAAAAATTAGAATACGCTGAGAGTCCATGAGTGGAATGTTTTGAAAGGAAATGACATTTAGCCCGGTTGCTTAGCAAAAAAATGCTTAATGTATAATAATCCTAAGCAAAATAAAGCGGGAGTTATCTCACCCAACTTTCTCGCGTCGCCCTTATTCTCATACACATGGTCTGAAGTCTGAAGGATTATGAAACCCCAGTGGGGTCATCCAAAAATGACGATTTTTACCTCACCCCCCCCCTCACAACCCCCGCCCCCTAAAATAACGTTACACCTCAGCCTACAATAAACCATTACATTACACACAGTGGCGTAGCGAGGTCGTGTGTCACCCGGTGCGGCACTTAATGGTGTCACCCCCCAGAGGCATAGAGACCCTACCTAGGGACAAACTTTCAAATTTTCGATTTGCATCCCCCCCCCATCAAACTTTTGATTTGCACCCCCCCCCTTAAGTTTTCGATTTGCACCCCCCCCCCTCGAGTTTTTCTCTATATATTTTGCAATTTATTGCCTTGGTGTCACCCCCCTAAATGGTGTCACCCGGTGCGGTCCGCATCCCCCCCCCTCGCTACGCCCCTGATTACACATACACAGCTTTAATGCTTCATATTCTTTTGGCCGTTTCGCAACAGGAGCAATATGGCAGACATTGAAACGGAAATGTTCAAAACAGACTAAACACCACTCACATAAATAGCGTGTTGTTGTAATGTAACTTGTTTTAATTTTTAAAAAAACAACTAAAAATTTGTTTTTTCCCAACTCGAACAAGCCCCAAATGAGTATTCAATGTTCGTATTTTGTTTATATATATATATATATATATATATATATATATATATATATATATATATATATATATATATATATATATATATATATAGCCTCCCCCCTCTCACAATTGAAGCTTTAAAAACGCTAAAGTATGGACCCCATGTTTTGTGGGGGGGGGGGGGGGGTCAAACAAAATAATACAGTATAAATAAACCATCCGAATGTACAAAAATACAAAATGTAGTCTACAAAATATTTGTTATTTAAAACTCTATATCAGTGGTTCCCAACCTTTTTCGAGTGGCGACCCCCTTTTATAAAAAGTATGTGACCCGCGACCCCCTTAGAATTAAAAAGCCGAAATTAGTATGGAAATTAATAAGCACTAAAATAGGATTTTCTAGTAGACTTTCAATAATAATATGAACTACTCTTGATAACTGTTTTAATAGCATGAGTAAAATTGCATACTATTCACTAAACCTTCGTGGTTAACTTTTTAATTACAATTTTTTTTTGTTAACGCCAACCTATGTCATTATAATTATCTTAATTTTGTTTTTAATCGAACAATTTGATTTCTGATTTCAATTCAAAAACACAATTTACAACATTTCGTTTGACAGCCAGCGTACTGTAGTGTAGACGAACAGAACCTCGTGATCTATATTAATGTTTTTGCTCAGTTCTATGAAGGCTCCAGATTTTATATAATTTACGACTTATACTAGCAATGGACTTTTGATGTCGATTGGTTAGGGCAGTGGTTAGGGAGCTAAATCTTTTCTGTTTTCTGAAAGCCCGATTTTGAGCTAAACATAGATGGCGCGCCATCCGTACAAACCCCCACAGCCGTTCTAACCCATTTTAATTATCCAGTTTAAAAAAAGGTATTTATTCTCTCCATGCTATCTTCACAAAAGAGCAACTCTTCTTTGCTATCATCCGCATGAATATAGACACAGACTAGCAACTGCGAACACGAACTCACGTCTGTTGATTTATCAACTTGAAAAGCAAACAATGGTGAAAGCTTAATTTCAATAAAAATGTGTTATTTAATGTAAGCCCTGCTAGGGGGGGGGTTACCTAATATCTACTCTACCCTTCCCTAGGCTTATCTAACTAATCTGTCCGGTCAGTGCAACCGTGGTAGAACCCACAGTGGTTAAACCCTAACCTTAGTCTAAATAATAAGCTACTAAAATAAAACAAAAACTTTTAACAATTTAATAAAATTTATTGCATGGAACCAAAAGTTATAAAAAAAGAATAGATAAAAACTGACACAAAACAGAACCAAACGAAACAAACTTTTTACATCAAACTCATCAAACAAAACATTACGTTTGACCATTTGATGGTGCTGCGCCGACTTATGATGTCTAGGATGGTCCAGGCCCTGACACACAGAAACCTCCCTTCATCCATTCTCGACATCCAAAAGTCCACACCAAACAAAACACTACGTAAAACCACTACGTACAATACCTTACGTACAACACATTACGTAGAAAACAATACGTACACAACAAACTTTTTACACCAAACAAAACGAATCATATATAACAAAACAATTCATATATAACAAAACAATTCATATATAACAAAACAATTCATATATAACAAAACACCCAGCCAAGTTGCCCAAGCAACCTCACTCCACGCGTGCGGTGCGCCACGCAGAAACCTGACCCGACCTACATCTCGCCGCGGGTCAAAAAAAAAAAGAAAATCACTCCGAGCGGCCAATTTATACTGACCGCTTCGGACGGAAGGGGACTCCGTGCCGTTCCCCATTGGACCACCATGCACTCCCAGATTCGCAACAAATAAAATAATACAAAAAAAATCCATTCACCCGCTCATATTAACATTTACGTACATGCAGCGTTTGATGAGATTTTCTCCTATTGTTTTTTTTTTTTACTTGGCATTTTCTATCGCGACTTCATTTGATGCTTGCCCTAATGCTGGTGACGTTTTAGTTTTGAAGATTTCATAGATTCGTGACTGAGAACAACTTTGTACAGTGCGCTTTGTTTCTTCTCTATTACATTTCCAGTGATGTTAATGAAGCCGAATTTCAAAAACTCTTCTAAATATTTATGTTTTGTTTCAAATTACTAAGGTTTAGTATACCAGTTGGCGACCCCCCCCCCCCCAAAAAAGACCTTCGCGACCCCCAGGTTGGGAACCCGTGCTCTATATTATAGGTAGCAGTTGATTTTTTCGTTTAACTCAGTTGTAGCCTAACGGCTGATGAAAGGGCCCACTGGTAATTTTTGCATTTTTTTTTTTGTTAATCCTCATCACTCCCTGTGGAGTATAGGGCAACAACAAATCTCCGCCATTCCACCCTGTCCTGGGCGAGCCACTTTAGTTCATGCCAGGTTTTGCCAGTAGCCTGTACTTCTTCTTCCATCTCCCTCCTCCATGTTTGCATAGGGGCCCAAAAATCCTAGCTACGCCACTGGGTGGGGTGGGTCGGGGGGGGGGGGAGTAAGAAGAGAGACCTGAAAGAAACAGTCAGAGCACCTTTCTAACTATTGAGTTGTCACATCTAGCGACGTGATTTGTAAGTTTGAGGATATATCATAATTATATCATAATTATATCATAATCCTATCATAATCCTATCATAATCCTATCTATCCTATCCTACCTTATCCTATCCTATCAAATCATAATCATATCAAAATAATATCATAATCATATCAAAATAATATCATAATCATAACAAAATCATAATCAAATCATAATCACATAATTACTTTGAATAAAAGAGAATTATGTTGCAAAATAAATTACAAATGATTATTTTACATGATATTTTCATTAAAATTATAAATTCTTTTTTAAAGTATAAAAAATATTAAAAGTACGAAACTGTATTAAATGGTTTCATGATTTTTGTTCGCAATATTTCAAAAGTAAAATACAGATTTTTTCTTTCAAGGAATAGAAAATCGTTGGAACTGTTTGTGTTTTACATATTGTTGTTACCTGCTTCTTAAGTGGATTGCGATAGTCCTATATTTTTTGTTTTTTAATTACTAATTTTATTATTCTGGCGAACCAAGTGTATGTTTTCATGTGAACAAATATTATTTCATATTTAAAGCTATTTATTTTAAATAACAAAATAAAAGTATTTACCTCATACTGATCAAGTAATAAAATATTTATAAAAAAATGTTAGTGGCTCTTTAAAACCTGGGAAATTTTGAAAATTGTAACGTATGGCTCTTCTGTCTCAAAAAGTTGCCGACCCCTGCTCTAAGCACTACACATAACAACCAATCACCAAATAATTAATCATTTAAATTCTCAACAGTTTTTTGAAAACATAAGCGAAGCTAGGCAGTATGCCTAGTATATATATATATATATATATATATATATATATATATATATATATATATATATATATATATACATATATATATATATATATATATATATATATATATATATATATATATATATATATATATATATATATATATATATATATATATATATATATATATATATATATATATAATTCTCTTCTTGGAGACGATAGAAAACACCAAGATGTAAGCGCGCTCCCTACCACCCCCACCCCTACATGGTCTGGTGAGCTGTGGTTCACGCTAAATGTTTACAATCGTAGAGCCGGGTTTAGTGACGGCTATAGGACTGGTAAGTAGGTCAATAAACAGTTGTATGGCTCATGCAGGTTTTATTGAGCCGTAGAGCTGGTTAGTGACCTACTTACCAGCCCTATTAGGGGCAGATAATTTAGTTAGAAACGATATTAAACGTAGGGGAGGTAACTAAATAGAGGCTGCTTTCATAGGGGGGGGGGGTGTAGGGGTTGGGGAAATAAGGCGGGGGGGGGGGGTGTTATCGTCCTTAACGAGCTACTGATAGTGTTTTAAAGCACATATATTCAGTGGCAGCATTGGTACAGTCGAATTCACACATTATGAATTACTGAAAAGTAGAAAATAAAACAACTAAATAGCGGCGTATGAAACACCGAGGGTCGGCTCGTATATATATATATATATATATATATATATATAGATATATAGATATAGATATATATATATATATATAATTCGAGCTCCCGACCGGTAGGCCACGTCGTCCCTTTATACACGCCTGTGTACACGCATGTTGTGTACACACATACATTTCAAAAGTTGTGTTATTTTGTAACATGTACTTTTAAATAGTAATTGAAAATCTAAATGTTTTCATTTAACTTATTACATATTGAAAAATATTTATGACAAAGACAAAAATCCATGAAAAAAGTAAACATTGACTTTAGCCACATATCAAACAACTTTTAATAGGAATAGAAAAATAACCCAGTAAACATCTGATACATCATAGATAACAAATCAACTAATTAAGCACAATCAAATGTACAACTATTGTTCTACTGGTGTCACCCCCCCCCCCCCCGCGTCTATTTGTGCAAACATTATATTAATCCACCTAGAAAAGCATTAAGGGGCTTAACTCTAACAGTTATTCATTCAAGCGGAAAAATCATTGTATTTGTAGTAAATTATTAAATTATTATTGTGTCACCCTCAGGCATATTTTAATTGGTGTCACCCCCCCCCCCCTCCACTTTAAACTGTGCCCAGATAATACTAACGATGTTCATCTATAGTCGGTTATATATACAGCTGGGTGTAGTTTTGTTTTCTATATTGTTTGCAGGCTTACGTCATGGTGTTTAACCCGGTGAAGTCTGCACCCCCCCCCCCTCCCCCCCTCACGACGCCTCTGTTGTTAGACCACGATTCATTTTGCGCACAGTAAAATAATTATAAACCTGTAATTTAATTTGAAAAAAATAAATCATTTTATTTCTCCTCTTAAGGGTTCGGTGAATGCGCTGGGTTTGATACCTGCAAAAAAGTTTAGAACCACTGTTGTAAGTGGTCGAGAAATCTAGGAGCCAACACACTAGGAAGTGTTACATGCAAAAAGTTTAGAACCACTGTTGTAAGTGATCGAGAAATCTAGGAGCCAACACACTAGGAAGTGTTACCTGCAAAAAGTTTAGAACCACTGTTGTAAGTGATCGAGAAATCTAGGAGCCAACACACTGTGTAGACGAGTTCACGGTCCCCTAGTGGACGTCACGTGATCTCCCACAGGTTGGTGTGTCTGCAAACCACGAATACAAGTCTTCAGCACTAAGACCAGCACAAAACAAGTTACAGTAAGTCTTTAACGGTTAAATACCACACAATCTTTGGTTTCACACAATATATGACATCACAAACTTTAACAGTTAATGCCACACAATATATGAAATCACAATCAATAGCAGTCAATGCCACAAAATCTTTAATTTCGCACAATATATAACATCACAATCTTTGATTACACACAATATATGACATCACAATCTTTGATTACACACAATATATGACATCACAACCTTTGATTACACACAATATATGACATCACAACCTTTGATTACACACAATATATGACATCACAATCTTTGATTACACACAATATATGACATCACAACCTTTGATTACACACAATATATGACATCACAACCTTTCACAATCAACAGCTTGATAGGTAGGCCTACTCTTAGTCATTTCTACTTAACTACCTTATTAAATAACAAGGCAATAATAATTGACTGGCCCAACCACTAGCCCACCACTAGCCCAACCTATGGTCCACTAGCCCAACCTATGGTCCACTAACCCACCACCAGCCCACCACTAGCCCACCACAAGCCCAACCAATGGTTCAATAGCCCACCACTAGCCCACCACTAGCCCAACCAATGGTTCAATAGCCCACCACTAGCCCACCACTAGCCCAACCAATGGTTCAATAGCCCACCACTAGCCCACCACTAGCCCAACCAACGGCCCACTAGCCCAACCAATGGTCCACTCGCCCACCACTAGCCCAACCAACGGCCCACTAGCCCACCACAAGCTCATTACTAGCACACCACTAGCACACTACTAGCCCAACCAATGGACCACTAGCCTACCACTAGCCCAACCAACTGCCCACCACTAGCCCAGAACTAGACAACCATTAGCCCACCACTAGCCCACCACTAGCCCACCACTAGCCCACAACTAGCCCACCACTAGCCCAACCAACTGCCCACCACTAGCCCAACCAACTGCCCACCACTAGCCCAGAACTAGACAACCATTAGCCCACCACTAGCCCACCACTAGCCCACCACTAGCCCACCACTAGCCCACCACTAGCCCACCACTAGCCCACCACTAGCCCACCACTAGCCCACCACTAGCCCACCACTAGCCCACCACAAGCCCAACCAACTGCCCACCACTAGCCCAACCAACTGCCCACCACTAGCCCAGAACTAGACAACCACTAGCCCAGCACTAGTGCAACCAATGGTCCACTAGCCCACCACTAGCCCACCACTAGCCCAACCAACTGCCCACCACTAGCCCAACCAACTGCCCACCACTAGCCCAGAACTAGACAACCACTAGCCCAGCACTAGTGCAACCAATGCTCCACTAGCCCACCACTAACCCACCACTAACCCACCACTAGCCCACCACTAGTCCACCACTAGCCCAACCACTAGCCCAACCACTATCTCGACCAATGGTCCACTCGCCCACCACTAGCCCAACCAACGGCCCACTAGCCCAACCAATGGTTCACTAGCCCACCACTAGCCCTCCAATAGCCAAACCGAAGCCCACTAACCAATAAAAGGGCCACATGGTGCCCTCTCACCCGGTGCCCTCTCACATGGTGCCCTCTCACATGGTGCCCTCTCACCTAATGCCCACCTAGCTGGTGCCCTCTCACATGGTGCCCTCTCACCTGGTGCCCTCTCACATGGTGCCATCTCAATAGATGCCCACTCACCTGGTGCCCTCTCACATGGTGCCCTCTCACCTGGTGCCCTGAACTGGTGCCCTGGCTTGGTGCCCTCTCACCTGGTGCCCTCTCCCCTGGTGCCCTCTCACATGGTGCCCTCTCACATGGTGCCCTGACCTGGTGCCCTGACCTGGTGCCCTGACCTGGTGCCCTGACTTGGTGCCCTCTCACCTGGTGCCCTGACCTGGTGCCCTGACCTGGTGCCCTGACCTGGTGCCCTGACTTGGTGCCCTGACCTGGTGCCCTCTCACCTGGTGCCCTCTCACATGGTGCCCTCTCACATGGTGCCCTTTCACATGGTGCCCACCTAGCTGGTGCCCTCTCACCTGGTGCTCTCTCACCTGATGCCCTGACTTGGTGCCCTGACTTGGTGCCCTGACCTGGTGCCCTGACTTGGTGCCCTGACCTGGTGCCCTCTCACCTGGTGCCCTCTCACATGGTGCCCTCTCACATGGTGCCCTCTCACATGGTGCCCTCTCACATGGTGCCCTCTCACATGGTGCCCACCTAGCTGGTGCCCTCTCACATGGTGCCCTCTCACATGGTGCCCTCTCACATGGTGCCCTCACACCTGGTGCCCTTTCACATGGTGCCCTTTCTAATGATGCCCTCTAACCTGGTGCCCTCTCACATGGTGCCCTCTTACCTGGTGCCCTCTCACCCGGTGCCCTCTCAATTGATGCCCTCTCACCTGATGCCCTCTCACCTGGTGCCCTCTCACATGGTGCCCTCTCACCTAATGCCCAACTAGCTGGTGCCCTTTCACATGGTGCCCTCTCACATGGTGCCCTCTCACATGGTGCCCTCTCACCTGGTGCCCTCTCACATGGTGCCATCTCAATAGATGCCCACTCACCTTGTGCCCTCTCACATGGTGCCCTCTCACCTGGTGCCCTGAACTGGTGCCCTGGCTTGGTGCCCTCTCACCTGGTGCCCTCTCCCCTGGTGCCCTCTCCCCTGGTGCCCTCTCACATGGTGCCCTCTCACATGGTGCCCTGACCTGGTGCCCTGACCTGGTGCCCTGACCTGGTGCCCTGACCTGGTGCCCTGACCTGGTGCCCTGACTTGGTGCCCTCTCACCTGGTGCCCTGACCTGGTGCCCTGACCTGGTGCCCTGACCTGGTGCCCTGACTTGGTGCCCTGACCTGGTGCCCTCTCACCTGGTGCCCTCTCACATGGTGCCCTCTCACATGGTGCCCTTTCACATGGTGCCCACCTAGCTGGTGCCCTCTCACCTGGTGCTCTCTCACCTGATGCCCTGACTTGGTGCCCTGACTTGGTGCCCTGACCTGGTGCCCTGACTTGGTGCCCTGACCTGGTGCCCTCTCACCTGGTGCCCTCTCACATGGTGCCCTCTCACATGGTGCCCTCTCACATGGTGCCCTCTCACATGGTGCCCTCACACCTGGTGCCCTTTCACATGGTGCCCTTTCTAATGATGCCCTCTAACCTGGTGCCCTCTCACATGGTGCCCTCTTACCTGGTGCCCTCTCACCCGGTGCCCTCTCACCCGGTGCCCTCTCAATTGATGCCCTCTCACCTGATGCCCTCTCACCTGGTGCCCTCTCACATGGTGCCCTCTCACCTAATGCCCACCTAGCTGGTGCCCTTTCACATGGTGCCCTTTCACATGGTGCCCTCTCACATGGTGCCCTCTCACATGGTGCCCTCTCACCTGGTGCCCTCTCACATGGTGCCATCTCAATAGATGCCCACTCACCTGGTGCCCTCTCACATGGTGCCCTCTCACCTGGTGCCCTGAACTGGTGCCCTGGCTTGGTGCCCTCTCACCTGGTGCCCTCTCCTCTGGTGCCCTGGCTTGGTGCCCTCTCACATGGTGCCCTCTCACATGGTGCCCTCTCACATGGTGCCCTGACCTGGTGCCCTGACCTGGTGCCCTGACTTGGTCCCCTCTCACCTGGTGCCCTGACCTGGTGCCCTGACCTGGTGCCCTGACTTGGTGCCCTGACCTGGTGCCCTCTAACCTGGTGACCTCTCACATGGTGCCCTCTTACCTGGTGCCCTCTCACCCGGTGCCCTCTCAATTCATGCCCTCTCACCTGATGCCCTCTCACCTGGTGCCCTTTCACATGGTGCCCTCTCACCTAATGCCCTCTCACATGGTGCCCTCTCACCTGGTGCCCTCTCACATGGTGCCCTCTCACATGGTGCCCTGACCTGGTGCCCTGACCTGGTGCCCTGACCTGGTGCCCTGACTTGGTGCCCTCTCACCTGGTGCCCTGACCTGGTGCCCTGACCTGGTGCCCTGACTTGGTGCCCTGACTTGGTGCCCTGACCTGGTGCCCTGACCTGGTGCCCTGACTTGGTGCCCTGACCTGGTGCCCTCTCACCTGGTGCCCTCTCACATGGTGCCCTCTCACATGGTGCCCTCTCACATGGTGCCCTCACACCTGGTGCCCTTTCACATGGTGCCCTTTCTAATGATGCCCTCTAACCTGGTGCACTCTCACCTGATGCCCTCTCACCTGAAGCCCTCTCACCTGATGCCCTTTCAAATGATGCCCTCTCACCATGTGCCCACCTAGCTCTCACCAGAATACATTTGACCTCAAATTGTGTCTCCTACAGCCATGTCAACCCCAGCTCACAAGCAGCAGAAGGACTCAGAAATTAAAGCTCTAATCTTCGAGGTAGATTAAGCAATTATGACCGTATGAATTGACCAACTTAACATATTAATGGATCAACTTAACATATAAATTGACCAACTTGAGATGTAAATTGACCAAATTGAGATATAAATTGACCAACTTGAGATGTAAATTGACCAACTTGAGATGTAAATTGACCAACTTGAGATGTAAATTGACCAACTTGATATGTAAATTGACCAACTTGATATGTAAATTGACCAACTTGAGATGTAAATTGACCAACGTGAGGTATAAATTGACCAACATGAGATGTAAATTGACCAAATTGAGATATAAATTGACCAACTTGAGATGTAAATTGAACAACTTGATATGTAAATTGACCGACTCGAGATGTAAATTGACCGACTCGAGATGTAAATTGACAAACTTGAGATGTAAATTGACCAACTTGAGATGTAAATTGACCAACTTGAGATGTAAATTGACCAACTTGAGATGTAAATTGACCAACTTGAGATGTAAATTGACCAACTTGAGATGTAAATTGACCAACTTGATATGTAAATTGACCAACTTGATATGTAAATTGACCAACTTGATATGTAAATTGACCAACGTGAGGTATAAATTGACCAACGTGAGGTATAAATTGACCAACTTGAGATGTAAATTGACCAACTTGAGATGTAAATTGACCAACTTGAGATGTAAATTGACCAACTTGAGATGTAAATTGACCAACTTGATATGTAAATTGACCAACTTGATATGTAAATTGACCAACTTGATATGTAAATTGACCAAATTGAGATGTAAATTGACCAAATTGAGATGTAAATTGACCAACTTGAGATGTAAATTGACCAACTTGAGATGTAAATTGACCAACTTGAGATGTAAATTGACAAACGTGAGATGTAAATTGACAAACGTGAGATGTAAATTGACAAACGTGAGATGTAAATTGACAAACGTGAGTTGTAAATTGACCAACGTGAGATGTAAATTGACCAACTTGAGATATAAATTGACCAACTTAAAGATATAAATTGACCAACTTAAAGATATAAATTGACCAACTTGAGTGACCAACAGGTGACGTTCTACGCCGTGTTCCTGGTGTGTTTTCTGTCCATGTCATTCAGCGCCCGAGACCCACGCGCATTTATTTATCATCGAACTACGTCACAGCTGGTTACAGATGACGCAGTTAGAGAGGTAAACAAGCTCTTTACACCCACCATCTCTTTACACCACCACCATCTCTTTAAACCACCCACCCACCCATCATCTCTTTACACCACCCACCCACCATCTCTTTACACCACCCACCCATCTCTTTACACCATCCACCCACCCACCATCTCTTTACACCACCCACCCACCCACCATCTCTTTACACCACCCACCCATCATCTCTTTACACCACCCACCCATCATCTCTTTACACCACTCACCCACCATCTCTTTACACCACCCACCCACCCACCATCTCTTTACACCACCCACCCATCTCTTTACACCATCCACCCACCCACCATCTCTTTACACCACCCACCCACCCACCATCTCTTTACACCACCCACCCACCCACCATCTCTTTACACCACCCACCCATCTCTTTACACCATCCACCCACCCACCATCTCTTTACACCACCCACCCACCCACCATCTCTTTACACCACCCACCCACCCACCATCTCTTTACACCACCCACCCACCATCTCTTTACACTACCAACCCATCATCTCTTTACACCACCCACCCATCATCTCTTTACATCACCACCATCTTTTTACACCACACACACACCATCTCTTTACACCACCCACCCATCATCTCTTTACACCACCCACCCACCCACCATCTCTTTACACCACCCACCCACCCACCATCTCTTTACACCACACACACACCATCTCTTTACACCACTCACCCACCATCTCTTTACACCACCCACCCACCCACCCATCTCTTTACACCATCCACCCACCCACCATCTCTTTACACCACCCACCCACCCACCATCTCTTTACACCACCCACCCACCCACCATCTCTTTACACCACCCACCCACCCACCATCTCTTTACACCACCCACCCACCATCTCTTTAAACCACCCACCCACCATCTCCTTACACCACCACCATCTCTTTACATCACCCACCCACCATCTCCTTACACCACCCACCCATCATCTCTTTACATCACCACCATCTTTTTACACCACACACACACCATCTCTTTACACCACCCACCCATCATCTCTTTACACCACCCACCCACCATCTCTTTACACCACCCACCCACCCACCATCTCTTTACACCACCCAACCATCATCTCTTTACACCACCACCATCTCTTTACACCACCCACCCACCATCTCCTTACACCACCCACCCATCATCTCTTTACATCACCACCATCTTTTTACACCACACACACACCATCTCTTTACACCACCCACCCACCATCTCTTTACACCACCCACCCATCATCTCTTTACACCACCCACCCATCATCTCTTTACACCACCCACCCACCCACCATCTCTTTAAACCACCCACCCACCCATCATCTCTTTACACCACCCATCCACCATCTCTTTACACCACCCACCCACCCACCATCTCTTTACACCACCCACCCATCATCTCTTTACACCACCCACCCATCATCTCTTTACACCACCACCATCTCTTTACACCACCCACCCACCATCTCCTTACACCACCCACCCATCATCTCTTTACACCACCACCATCTCTTTACACCACCCACCCACCATCTCTTTACACCACTCACCCACCATCTCTTTACACCACCCACCCACCCACCATCTCTTTACACCACCCACTCACTATCTCTTTACACCATCCACCCACCCACCATCTCTTTACACCACCCACCCACCCACCATCTCTTTACACCACCCACCCACCCACCATCTCTTTACACCACCCACCCACCATCTCTTTACACCACCCACCCACCCACCATCTCTTTACACCACCCACCCACCCACCATCTCTTTACATCACCCACCCATCATCTCTTTACATCACCCACCCACCCACCATCTCTTTACACCACCCACCCACCCACCCACCATCTCTTTACACCACCACCATCTCTTTACACCACCCACCCACCATCTCTTTACACCACCCACCCATCATCTCTTTACACCACCCACCCACCCACCATCTCTTTACACCACCCACCCACCCACCCACCATCTCTTTACACCACCACCATCTCTTTACACCACCCACCCATCATCTCTTTACACCACCCACCCACCATCTCTTTACACCACCCACCCACCATCTCTTTACACCACCACCATCTCTTTACACCACCACCATCTCTTTACACTACCACCATCTCTTTACATCACCCACCCACCATCTCTTTACATCACCCACCCACCCACCATCTCTTTACACCACCACCATCTCTTTACACCACCACCATCTCTTTACACTACCACCATCTCTTTACACCACGCACCCACCATCTCTTTACACCACCCACCATCTCTTTAAACCACCCACCATCTCTTTACATCACCCACCCATCATCTCTTTACATCACCCACCCACCCACCATCTCTTTACACCACCCACCCACCCACCCACCATCTCTTTACACCACCACCATCTCTTTACACCACCCACCCACCATCTCTTTACACCACCCACCCATCATCTCTTTACACCACCCACCCACCCACCATCTCTTTACACCACCCACCCACCCACCCACCATCTCTTTACACCACCACCATCTCTTTACACCACCCACCCATCATCTCTTTACACCACCCGCCCACCATCTCTTTACACCACCCACCCACCATCTCTTTACACCACCACCATCTCTTTACACCACCACCATCTCTTTACACTACCACCATCTCTTTACATCACCCACCCACCATCTCTTTACATCACCCACCCACCCACCATCTCTTTACACCACCACCATCTCTTTACACCACCACCATCTCTTTACACTACCACCATCTCTTTACACCACGCACCCACCATCTCTTTACACCACCCACCATCTCTTTAAACCACCCACCATCTCTTTACACCACGCACCCACCATCTCTTTACACCACCCACCATCTCTTTAAACCACCCACCATCTCTTTAAACCACCCACCATCTCATTACACCACCCACCCACCATCTCTTTACACCACCCACCCACCATCTCTTTACATCTTCCACCCACCATCTCTTTACACCACCCACCTACCCACCATCTCTTTAAACCACCCACCATCTCTTTACACCACCCACCAACCATCTCTTTACACCACCCACCCACCCACCATCTCTTTACACCACCCACCCACCCACCATCTCTTTACACCACCCACCCACCATCTCTTTACACCACCCACCCACCATCTCTTTACACCACCCACCATCTCTTTAAACCACCCACCCACCTCTTTATATTTCAGCAGGTTATGACATCGTATGACCTTTAGCAGGTTCTGACCTTATATGACCTTCAGCAGGTTCTAACCTTGTATGACCTACAGTAGATTCTGACCTTATATGACCTTCAGCTGGTTCTAACCTTGTATGACCTACCGTAGATTCTGACCTTGTATGACCTTCAGCAGGTTCTGACGTTATATGACCTTAAGCAGGTTCTGACCTTGTATGACCCACAGTAGATTCTGACCTTATATGACCTTCAACAGGTTCTGACCTTGTATGACCTACAGTAGATTCTGACCTTATATTACCTTCAACAGGTTCTGACCTTGTATGACCCACAGTAGATTCTGACCTTATATGACCTTCAACAGGTTCTGACCTTGTATGACCTACAGTAGATTCTGACCTTATATTACCTTCAACAGGTTCTGACCTTGTATGACCTTCAGCAGGTTCTGACCTTGTATGACCTTCAGCAGGTTCTGACCTTGTATGACCTTCAGCAGGTTCTGACCTCCTATGACATCTGGAAGTGGGCCCACAAGAAGCTGCTGAAGTTTTTGTATGTCGAGCTAGACTGGCGTGGTACTCGGCTGGAACCAGCATCAAAACTGGTCTCAACACATGCGTCCTACAGGCTTGGCCCCATTCGTCTTAGGCAGCACCGGGTGGCCCACGGTAAGTCTTAGCGCCGGGTGGCCCAGGGTAAGTCTTAGCACCGGGTGGCCCAGGGTAAGTCTTAGCACTGTGTGACCCAGGGTAAGTCTTAGCACCGGGTGACCCAGGGTAAGTCTTAACCCGCGGGTGGACCAGAATCAGTCTTACCACAGGGTAGATGGCCCAGGATGTCTTTCTTTAGGGTTTAGGCCTTTAGGGTGATATTTTCGAAAAGACAATTCAAGTTTCTATATTTGACCTAACAGTTTTGGTACTTTTTGTGAGTACTTTTTGTGAGTACTTTTTGTGAGTACTTTTTGTGAGTACTTTTTGTGAGTACTTTTTGTGAGTACTTTTTGTGAGTACTTTTTGTGAGTACTTTTTGTGAGTACTTTTTGTGAGTACTTTTTGTGAGTACTTTTTGTGAGTACTTTTTGTGAGTACTTTTTGCGAGTACTTTTTGTGAGTACTTATTGTGAGTACTTTTTGTGATTACTTTTTGTGAGTACTTATTGTGAGTACTTGTTGTGAGTACTTTTTGTGAGTACATTTTGTGAGTACTTGTTGTGAGTACTTGTTGTGAGTACTTGTTGTGAGTACTTGTGAGTACTTGTTGTGAGTACTTGTTTAGAGTACTAACTAAAAATATCTATGTTGTTAATAGAATGAGCATTGCTCCTTAATTTTGCTGTTCAGATTTTTGCACTTCTGCCTCCAATTTTCTGCACCTGAATGTCACATGCTGTCCCAGCTGGTCACAGGCTGACCGGGAGTGGACACACTACGGCCACGGCTGGGCTAAATACCAGGAACAAAGAGAGCTAACCCACACAGCTTCACCAGTGAACGACAGCTATAGCCCAGCTTCAACAGTGAACGAGAGCATAAGCTCACTCTATTCAAAATACTACAGGTTTTTGTTCTATTGATCCCAGCTTTTGTAATCTATTGACGACAGCTAATCTATTGACGACAGCTAATCTATTGACGACAGCTAATCTATTAACGACAGCTAATCTATTGACGACAGCTAGTCTATTGACGACAGCTAATCTATTGACGACAGCTAATCTATTGACGTCAGCTAATCTATTGACGTCATCTAATCTATTGACGTCATCTAATCTATTGACGACAGCTAATCTATTGACCACAGCTATAAATCTATTGACCACAGCTAATCTATTGACCACAGCTAATCTATTGACCACAGCTAATCTATTGACCACAGCTAATCTATTGACCACAGCTAATCTATTGACCACAGCTAATCTATTGACGACAGCTAATCTATTGACCACAGCTAATCTATTGACGACAGCTAATCTATTGACGACAGCTAATCTATTGACCACATCTAATCTATTGACCACATCTAATCTATTGACCACATCTAATCTATTGACGACAGCTAATCTATTGACCACAGCTAATATATTGACGACAGCTAATCTATTGACGACAGCTAATCTATTGACGTCAGCTAATCTATTGACGATAGCTAATCTATTGACCACAGCTAATCTATTGACCACAGCTAATCTATTGACCACAGCTAATCTATTGACCACAGCTAATCTATTGACTACAGCTAATCTATTGACCACAGCTAATCTATTGACGACAGCTAATCTATTGACGACAGCTAATCTATTGACGACAGCTAATCTATTGACGATAGCTAATCTATTGACGACAGCTAATCTATTGACGACAGCTAATCTATTGACGACAGCTAATCTATTGACGACAGCTAATCTATTGACGACAGCTAATCTATTGACGACATCTAATCTATTGACGACATCTAATCTATTGACCACAGCTATAAATCTATTGACGACAGCTATAAATCTATTGACCACAGCTAATCTATTGACCACAGCTAATCTATTGACCACAGCTAATCTATTGACGACAGCTAATCTATTGACGACAGCTAATCTATTGACGACATCTAATCTATTGACGACATCTTATCTATTGACGACATCTAATCTATTGACCACAGCTATAAATCTATTGACCACAGCTATAAATCTATTGACCACAGCTAATCTATTGACGACAGCTAATCTATTGACCACATCTAATCTATTGACGACAGCTAATCTATTGACGACAGCTAATCTATTGACGACAGCTAATCTATTGACGACATCTAATCTATTGACGACATCTAATCTATTGACCACAGCTATAAATCTATTGACGACATCTATAAATATATTGACCACAGCTAATCTATTGACGACAGCTAATCTATTGACCACAGCTAATCTAATGACCACAGCTATAAATCTATTGACGACAGCTATAAATCTATTGACCACAGCTAATCTATTGACGACAGCTAATCTAATGACCACAGCTATAAATCTAATGACGACAGCTATAAATCTATTGACGACAGCTATAAATCTATTGACGACAGCTATAAATCTATTGACCACAGCTAATCTATTGACGACAGCTAATCTATTGACCACAGCTAATCTATTGACCACAGCTAATCTATTGACGACAGCTAATCTATTGACGACAGCTAATCTATTGACGACAGCTAATCTATTGACGACAGCTAATCTATTGACGACAGCTAATCTATTGACGACAGCTAATCTATTGACGACATCTAATCTATTGACCACAGCTATACATCTATTGACGACAGCTATAAATCTATTGACCACAGCTAATCTATTGACGACAGCTAATCTATTGACCACAGCTAATCTAATGACCACAGCTATAAATCTATTGACGACAGCTATAAATCTATTGACCACAGCTAATCTATTGACGACAGCTAATCTATTGACGACAACTAATCTAATGACCACAGCTATAAATCTAATGACGACAGCTATAAATCTATTGACGACAGCTATAAATCTATTGACGACAGCTATAAATCTATTGACCACAGCTAATCTATTGACGACAGCTAATCTATTGACCACAGCTAATCTATTGACCACAGCTAATCTATTGTCAACAGTACCGCTTGGAAATACCAGACGTGGTCAGATATCGGCGGTCTGCCCATTACTGGTGCCCTGGGCGTGTACCCGCCAGGTGGTTATGCCCTGGATGTGGTGGGCACAAAAGCTGAAGCAGCCGCAGCCTTCGAGTACCTGGAGGAGAGCGCGTGGATAGACCATAAGACACGTGTGGTCATCTTTGAAGTCAGCATCTACACGGCCAACCTGGATATGTACGCCATGATCACCGCTCTCTTTGAGTTTCATCAAGCGCACCTGGCGGCGGGGAACATTCACATTCACCCATTCAGGTGAGAAACGTCTGCTGTTACCTATCTGCACCACGACCCCCCCCCCTTGTTGCCCCCACTGATCCCCTTTGTTGCCCCCACTGCCCCCCCCCCTTGTTACCCTCACTGACCCCCCATGTTGCCCCCAACGACCCCCCCCTTGTTACCCCCAACGACCCCCCCCCTTGTTACCCACACTGATCCCCCTTGTTGCCCCCCATGTTGCCCCCACTGACCCCCTACCCCCCTTGTTACCCCAACTGACCCCCCCCCCCCCACATATCACCCCAGGTTGTACCGCTATTCTGAAGACTACCCAGTGACGAGGATGGCTTGTGAAGCTTTTGTCTACGCCTCTCTCCTCTTCTTCTGGGCCCGGCATCTTTACTTCATCTGCAAGCAGGGCGTCGGCTACTTTAAGCACATGTGGAACCTACTGGAGGCTTTGAACCTTTTGACCTCCACGTCAGCCATCGCCCTCTCAGTCGGTCGAAACATTGTATCCGATGACGTCACCAAGGTGGTCATCAAGGACGAAGGTAAGGAGGGCCATGATAAGATCTCACTATATGCCATATATATATATATATATATATATATATATATATATATATATATATATATATATAAATTCTCTTCATGGGGACCATGCGCGACACCACGTAAACGCACGCCGCTACTCCCTCGCTCGTCATTTTCTAGCTACTGATAGTGTTTTAAAGCGAAATATTTTCAGTCGCAGCATTGGTGGTGTTAAATTTACAAATTATGATTACTGAAAAGTAGAAAATAAAACAACTAAATAGCGGAGTATGCATACGGCGGGTCAGACTTATTATTTCTTTAGATGCTATATCTATTTTCCTGTCAGGAAACCTACAACTTTCAACATATATTTGTCTACCCCATGATTCAGGACACTTCTACAACTTTCAACATATATTTGTCTACCCCATGATTCAGGACACTTCTACAACTTTCAACATATATTTGTCTACCCCATGATTCAGGACACTTCTACAACTTTCAACATATATTTGTCTACCCCATGATTCAGGACACTTCTACAACTTTCAACATATATTTGTCTACCCCATGATTCAGGACACTTCTACAACTTTCAACATATATTTGTCTACCCCATGATTCAGGACACTTCTACAACTTTCAACATATATATGTCTACCCCATAATTCAGGACACTTCTACAACTTTCAACATATATTTGTCTACCCCATGATTCAGGACACTTCTACAACTTTCAACATATATTTGTCTACCCCATGATTCAGGACACTTCTACAACTTTCAACATATATTTGTCTACCCCATGATTCAGGACACTTCTACAACTTTCAACATATATTTGTCTACCCCATGATTCAGGACACTTCTACAACTTTCAACATATATTTGTCTACCCCATGATTCAGGACACTTCTACAACTTTCAACATATATATGTCTACCCCATAATTCAGGACACTTCTACAACTTTCAACATATATTTGTCTACCCCATGATTCAGGACACTTCTACAACTTTCAACATATATTTGTCTACCCCATGATTCAGGACACTTCTACAACTTTCAACATATATTTGTCTACCCCATGATTCAGGACACTTCTACAACTTTCAACATATATTTGTCTACCCCATGATTCAGGACACTTCTACAACTTTTAACATATATTTGTCTACCCCATAATTCAGGACACTTCTACAACTTTCAACATATATTTGTCTACCCCATGATTCAGGACACTTCTACAACTTTCAACATATATTTGTCTACCCCATGATTCAGGACACTTCTACAACTTTTAACATATATTTGTCTACCCCATAATTCAGGACACTTCTACAACTTTCAACATATATTTGTCTACCCCATGATTCAGGACACTTCTACAACTTTCAACATATATTTGTCTACCCCATGATTCAGGACACTTCTACAACTTTCAACATATATTTGTCGACCCCATAATTCAGCACATTTCTACAACTTTCAACATATATTTATCTACCCCATGATTCAGGACACTTCTACAACTTTCAACATATATTTGTCTACCCCATGATTCAGGACACTTCTACAACTTTCAACATATATTTGTCTACCCCATAATTCAGGACACTTCTACAACTTTCAACATATATTTGTCTACCCCATAATTCAGGCCACGTCTACAACTTTCAACGTATATTTGTCTACCCCATAATTCAGGACACTTCTACAACTTTCAACATATATTTGTCTACCCCATAATTCAGGACACTTCTACAACTTTCAACATATATTTGTCTACCCGATGATTCAGGACACTTCTACAACTTTCAACATATATTTGTCTACCCCATGATTCAGGACACTTCTACAACTTTCAACGTATATTTGTCTACCCCATAATTCAGGACACTTCTACAACTTTCAACATATATTTGTCTACCCCATAATTCAGGACACTTCTACAACTTTCAACATATATTTGTCTACCCCATGATTCAGGACACTTCTACAACTTTCAACATATATTTGTCTACCCCATGATTCAGGACACTTCTACAACTTTCAACATATATTTGTCTACCCCATAATTCAGGACACTTCTACAACTTTCAACATATATTTGTCTACCCCATGATTCAGGACACTTCTACAACTTTCAACATATATTTGTCTACCCCATGATTCAGGACACTTCTACAACTTTCAACATATATTTGTCTACCCCATGATTCAGGACACTTCTACAACTTTCAACATATATTTGTCTACCCCATGATTCAGGACACTTCTACAACTTTCAACATATATTTGTCTACCCCATGATTCAGGACACTTCTACAACTTTCAACATATATTTGTCTACCCCATGATTCAGGACACTTCTACAACTTTCAACATATATATGTCTACCCCATAATTCAGGACACTTCTACAACTTTCAACATATATTTGTCTACCCCATGATTCAGGACACTTCTACAACTTTCAACATATATTTGTCTACCCCATGATTCAGGACACTTCTACAACTTTCAACATATATTTGTCTACCCCATGATTCAGGACACTTCTACAACTTTCAACATATATTTGTCTACCCCATGATTCAGGACACTTCTACAACTTTCAACATATATTTGTCTACCCCATGATTCAGGACACTTCTACAACTTTCAAACGCTGGCCATGTGGGAGCTGCTCACTGGATATCTGTCCGGGTTCGCATGTTTCCTGTCGAGCGTGCAGGTCTTGAACCTGCTACGGTTTAACCGACGAATGTCCGTGCTCGGTGTCACCATGGGGCTGGCGGCAGATGACCTCTGGCCGTTCTCGCTGGTCTTTACCATAGTCCTGATAGCCTTCGCGTCATCCTGGTTAGTGACAGATCAAATCTAAACTCATTTTTGTGTTTGTCCCCATTTGTTTACCCCAAGATATTTTGTTTGTCTCCTGTTATATGCTTAGCCTCAGATATTTTGTTTGTCCCCTGTGATCTGCTTAGCCCCAGATATTTTGTTTGTCCCCTGTTATATGCTTAGCCTCAGATATTTTGTTTGTCCCCTGTGATCTGGTTAGCCCCAGATATTTTGTTTGTCCCCTGTTATATGCTTAGCCTCAGATATTTTGTTTGTCCCCTGTGATCTGCTTAGCCCCAGATATTTTGTTTGTCCCCTGTTATATGCTTAGCCTCAGATATTTTGTTTGTCCCCTGTGATCTGGTTAGCCCCAGATATTTTGTTTGTCCCCTGTTATATGCTTAGCCTCAGATATTTTGTTTGTCCCCTGTGATCTGGTTAGCCCCAGATATTTTGTTTGTCCCCTGTGATCTGGTTAGCCCCAGATATTTTGTTTGTCTCCTGTTATATGCTTAGCCCCAGATATTTTGTTTGTCCCCTGTGATCTGGTTAGCCCCAGATATTTTGTTTGTCCCCTGTGATCTGGTTAGCCTCAGATATTTTGTTTGTCCCCATCTGGTTAGCCCCAGATATTTTGTTTGTCCCCTGTGATCTGGTTAGCCCCAGATATTTTGTTTGTCCCCTGTGATCTGGTTAGCCCCAGATATTTTGTTTGTCCCCTGTGATCTGGTTAGCCCCAGTTATTTTGTTTGTCCCCATCTGGTTACCCCCAGATATTTTGTTTGTCCCCTGTGATCTGGTTAGCCCCAGATAATTTTGTGTTTGTCCCCTGTTATATGCTTAGCCCCAGATATTTTGTTTGTCATCTGTGATCTGCTTAGCCCCAGATATTTTGTTTGTCCCATGTGATCTGGTTAGCTCCAGATAGTTTGTTTGTCCCCTGTTATATGCTTAGCCCCAGATATTTTGTTTGATTCCTGTGATCTGGTTAGCCCCAGATATTTTGTTTGTCCCTTGTGATCTGGTTAGCCCCAGATATTTTGTTTGTCCCCTGTGATTTGGTTAGCCCCAGATATTTTGTTTGTCCCCTGTTATATGCTTAGCCTCAGATATTTTGTTTTTCCCCTGTGATCTGGTTAGCCCCAGATATTTTGTTTGTCCCCTGTGATCTGCTAAGCCCCAGATATTTTGTTTGTCCCCATCTGGTTAGCCCCAGATATTTTGTTTGTCCCCTGTGATCTGGTTAGCCTCAGATATTTTGTTTTTCCCCTGTGATCTGGTTAGCCCCAGATAATTTTGTGTTTGTCCCCAGCCATCTGGTGTTTGGCCCGTGGCTACGGGGCTACAAGACATTGGTTGACACGTACGAGAGCTTGCTGCAAATGGCGCTGGGACAACTAGAGTATCAGGTCAATAGTCTGCTGTATGTCTTGTCTGATTTAATGTCTGTTGTATGTCTTGTCTTATTTAATGTCAGCTTTATGTCTTGTCTGATTTAATGTCTGTTGTATGTCTTGTCTTATTTAATGTCAGCTTTATGTCTTGTCTGCTTTATGTCTTGTGTGATTTAATGTCTGCTTTATGTCTTGTCTTGTGTGATTTAATGTCTGCTGTATGTCTTGTCTGATTGAATGTCTGCTTTATGTCTTGTCTGATTTATTGTCTGCTTTATGTCGTATCTGACTTAATGTCTGCTGTATGTCTTGTCTTGTCTGATTTAATGTCTGCTTTATGTCTTGTCTGATTTAATGTCTGCTGTATGTCTTGTCTGATTGAATGTCTGCTTTATGTCTTGTCTGATTTATTGTCTGCTTTATGTCGTATCTGACTTAATGTCTGCTGTATGTCTTGTCTGATTTAATGTCTGCTTTATGTCTTGTCTGATTTATTGTCTGCTTTATGTCGTATCTGACTTAATGTCTGCTGTATGTCTTGTCTTGTCTGATTTAATGTCTGCTTTGTGTCTTGTCTGATTTAATGTCTACTCAGAGTCAGCTGTAAGTCTTGTCAAGAACACATCTCGATGTTTGATGGGAGGACATGTTAACACATCGTGATGTTTGATGTTTCAGAGTCTGCATGGAGTAAACAACATCTTTGCGCCTGTCTATATCTTCCTCTACTCCATATTTATCATCCACCTGCTGCTGAACATTCTCATCACCATCCTCGTGGACTCCTATGCTGTGGTGCGAAAAGACAACCAGCCCAATGATTACGAATTAATTGATTACATAATAGGAAGGGTGACCGGCTTTCTTTGGAGCTACAGCCCCTTTCGCCGCGTGTGGGCTTGTGCACATTACATGGGAATATGTAAGTCTTTATTTCTTGCTGACTGGTCAGTTTCTTGTGTTCATCAAAAACTTTTGGTTTTTATCAACTTTGTCCCTGAATTGTCAACTTTCTGTCTCTGTCAACTTTCTGTCTGTGGACTGTCAACTTTCTGTCTGTGGACTGTCAACTTTCTGTCTCTGTCAACTTTCTGTCTCTGTCTCTGTCAACTTTCTGTCTCTGGATTGTCAACTTTCTGTCTCTGGACTGTCAACTTTCTGTCTCTGGATTGTCAACTTTCTGTCTCTGGACTGTCAACTTTCTGTCTCTGTCAACTTTCTGTCTCTGTCTCTGTCAACTTTCTGTCTCTGGATTGTCAACTTTCTGTCTCTGGACTGTCAACTTTCTGTCTCTGGATTGTCAACTTTCTGTCTCTGGACTGTCAACTTTCTGTCTCTGTCAACTTTCTGTCTCTGTCTCTGTCAACTTTCTGTCTCTGGACTGTCAACTTTCTGTCTCTGGACTGTCAACTTTCTGTCTCTGGACTGTCAACTTTCTGTCTTTGGACTGTCAACTTTCTGTCTTTGGACTGTCAACTTTCTGTCTCTGGACTGTCAACTTTCTGTCTTTGGACTGTCAACTTTCTGTCTTTGGACTGTCAACTTTCTGTCTCTGGACTGTCAACTTTCTGTCTCTGGACTGTCAACTTTCTGTCTCTGCACTGTCAACTTTCTGTCTCTGGACTGTCAACTTTCTGTCTCTGGACTGTCAACTTTCTGTCTCTGGACTGTCAACTTTCTGTCTCTGGACTGTCAACTTTCTGTGTACCCTCCAAAAAAGTCGATATCCTCTTTCAGTGAGGTCCAAAAAACCCAGCAGCAAGCGAAGAGTGAGTAAGAAACGCCAGGAAAAACGGCTGTCGTTTCCTCATTTGATGATGTTGTACAAGGAGGCAACAGACGGCATGGAGAGGGAGAGAGCCATCACCAGCAGACTATACGCCAGATGGAATCAGGTGGAAGAAATAGTAAACCGGATGTGGGGAGACATGGACACGTCACCAGCATGGAACACGGAGGTCAAGGCCAGGGGCGCACGCGCAAAAATTTCATGCGAGGTTGAGGTGGACATTGCAATAAGAAAATCTCAGGAAGGTAAAGGCAGCGATCAGATAGCTGACCACAAAGACGAGAAAGATAAACTCTATGATCTGAAAGCTAAACTCTTTGAGAAAATTGATCATCAGAAACCTCCAAGATGTATGTGCAAGAAGCCTGATGACCTAGTTATCTTAAGAAAGACCAGGCTCAACTCCTCAGGTGCCAGTCTGGATGAGTCCGGGCGCTGGCTGGACGCGAGTACTTCAGAGGTGCCGCTGTTGGACGTGAGTTCTCTCTCATGCTACAGTGGGTCTGGTACCGGCTGCTACAGCGGGTCTGGTACCGGCTGGACTGGTCCCAGCGGCCAGGACGGGAAGGGGCGGGCTTTCTCTCTCCACCCTGCTGGGGCTGAGGGCGACTCGCCAGCCTGGGTCCTGACGTCATCTCGTCTCCTGTCCCCAGAATCATCACGTGACCTGTCGTTGTCCACTGAATTGGACTTGACCACCAGCAGTGACGTCGCACTTCTCAGTCCCACTGGACAGTCCCAGCAAACATGTTTGTAGGCCACACCAAATGTTTGTTGGCCACACCAAACATGTTTGTTGGCCACACCAAATGTTTGTATGCGACAACTAACGTGTTTGTAGGCCACACCAAATGTTTGTTGGCCACACCAAACATGTTTGTTGGCCACACCAAACATGGAAGTCTTTGTCTTTTTTCCCCAGTTCTTCTTGTATGTGCTTTATGTATGTCTGGTTGTTTTTTGTATGTCTGGTGTGTGTTTAAAGCTTTAGTAAAACAGCAGCAGTAATGTAGCGTATATGGGGGTTCATTCAAGTTACAAGCAAAGAATTTTCTAACAACTAACATTGTCAACATTCAAACCCGAGGTCAAAGGAATTAAACATTAACAAATAATGCAACGAAATAAAAAACAAATCAATGTCTTCTTTAATGAAATTCTACATTGAAAATGTAATAAAATGTGAAGAACCTATGTCATTATTGAATGTTTTTCAACTTTCAGTTGTTGTCAAGGCTGTGTGTGTGTGTGTGTGTTTTCAACCAGGTAGATACATTTAGTGATTTCAAAACTGCTGGAGGTTTTTTTTCTAGTCACTTGTCACACAGATCGTTTGTTCCAAGTTTGCTCTAAGTAATTCGACAAATTCATCTCAAATTGACATCCATTTTGATACAGTACAGTGAATACAGCAGTCAGGATGCTGTCTAATAATAGATCAAGATCAGCCTAGTTTCCATTGGATGAATGAAAGAAATGATGAACACCAAATCATTGGACAACGACAAATAAAACCAATTAAAACAATACTGTGATCAACTTTGAAATGCCCCGAAAAATAAGTAAATAAAAACTTGTTTTCTTAAATAAAGCGAGAGTGATCTCCTCTAAACTTTCTCAAAGATTCTTATATAACGCTAAGGGGGTGGCAACTCGCTATATAGACATGATTTTTAATCTATTTATTTAATCTAATATAAAGCTCAGTTCTGTATGTAATGCATATGTTTGTCGTTGGTCTTGGATGAATTTAAGTGTTAGAAAATTATCGTGCGCATTTGTCTAAATTTATGAGCTAAAAAATTACTATTGAAAGTGTTGGGAAATAATTTTCATTTTTCAAATTATAGTAATAATTGTCGGCATGTTCATTAAACACAAGTTTTAAAAAAATATCATCTTTTACAAAAATTCTAATGTCTTTATTTAGTCCTATAGCACTTACTTCCCTTTGATAAATTAGGAAAACAAAATTACTTCCCTTTATAAAACCATTGCATTTTGTGGAAAATAATTTACTTTTTAATTACTTTGTTTTGGTGTTGGGAAAAACAAAATAATTACATAATTAGCGGGGATTGATCAAGTGCAAATGTTGTAGGTATTTTACGGATAAGCTTGGAGTATTAAAATTGTTCATTAAATTGAAACAGGCGCGTTCGTTTAAGTGAGTGCAAAAGACTATGAATAAGTTGGGGTACTATAGTCGTTCATTAAGCTAAAACAGGTGATTCCGCCCCGGGCGTTTATGTTCGCGTTAGTGTTTTCTTTGTGTTTAGGTGGGTTTGCGTTAGTGGTTGCGTTTTGATTTGGTTCGTTTTTGTTCTTTCTTTTTTCGTTTTTGTTTGTGTTTTTTTGTTTGGGTTTGTATTTGTGTTTTTGGTTGGTTTTGCGTTTGGATTTGGTTTGTTTTCGTTTGCTTTTTCGTTGTTTTTTTTGTGTGTTGGTATTGGTGTTTGTGGTTGGGTTTGTTGTTAGGTTTTTGTTTTCGTTTGTATTTGTAATTGTGTTAGCGTTATGTTTGCGTTGTGTTGTTTTGGTTGGTTGTGGTTTGGGTGGGCAATACCGGGTTTATGATGATTACTAAACACACAGGTAATGGTCTTTAACAGAAAGGTTTTTCACAGAAGCCAGAGCAGGGCCTGGCCGGGACGGCTAGTTTAATCTAATTACTTAAACTTTTTAAAATAGAACGGAATCTCGTAGAATAAAGAATTGCACACCAAATGAACGTCAAACGATATGTGTATATTAGTGCGGAATACTAGTCTATAACACTGGTGGTAGAGTGGCAGTCCGTCAGTCATTGATATAAATTTTGGAACCATAAAAGTAAACACATTACATGTCGTGCTTATTACTTGCATCGCAAGTAAAGAGCAGGGTTTGTTTATATAACGACTTAAATTTATTTTATAGTTGCTACAATTTTTACTCTTTCGCATAACATGAAGAAAATATTAAATACACGCAAATTGCCAAAACATTATAAACGGATCAATGAAAAATATCATTTTCGTTTAGATTCCTAGAAAAAGTGGATACATTTTAATAACAAATAACAGTAGGGTAGAAAATCTAATTAAACTGTTTAGTAATTTTGCCAAGGGAGGTAATTTAAAAATAAATTCAACTAACGCTAAAAAATGTGAATGCTAAATCTCCGAGACGGAATTATTGTTGTAATAGTATAATTAGCAAAATGTGAATAATTAAAATCTTTTAATAGCTATGCCAGTAGAGGTAATTTAAAAACAAATTCAACTCACGCTCAGTGGCGTGCAGACCTATGTAGATGCCCGGGGCAAAATCAAGCGGAAGATGCCCCCATAAATACTTATATATATATATATATATATATATATATATATATATATATATATATATATATATATATATATATATATATATATATATATATATATATATATATATCATTTATTTTAAAAAAATGTACTTATCTTAATTGAGATGAAAACCTTGACTACAGCCAGCTAAATCCAAATGGAATGAATGGTTGGAACTTGGGAGAAGGGGGGGGGGGGGGGGAAAGACAATTGCCGGACGGGTCGTGGTGGGGAGGGGGGGGGGCTGTGATGCACTACAAAAGAGTCTCATCCGGTATTGTATTACCACCCGGGACCGCAGGGACAAAAACGCTGTCCGTGTCTGCAATTAGGGCGTCAGATACGCCTATATTAATGGGATGTTTCTCTCTTGGCCTGTTTAGGAATTCCTATAGTGTAACTAATACAGGTGAGAGTGTGCATTGAACTAGAGATGTTTCAGATTTTTCTCTCTAAACCACTTGGTCAAAACGTCAACTCTTTAAAGAGATGGGTGATGCTAGCTAGATACTCTCAAACTATCTTAACCTTGAATATAACAGAAGTGTACCTTGGTTGGCTAAGGGGTCATCCATTTATGACGTCCACACATTTTTGGGATTTTGGACCCCCCCCCCCCCCCCTCTTCCCTGTCCACAAACGTCCACTTTTGACGGACCCCCCCCCCCCCCCCATCCCGTGGACGTCCACACTGACTATAAGTTTTTGCATAATCTTCTTCCACTATTACTCAAGCTACTGCATTAAGTGTGTATATACTCTGAGTGTATATAGTATTACAAATACTGGTACAAATGTGTTTTATTGTCCTTCGTGTCCCACGCCTGAACAGGGACAGCGTGCTAACCCCCCCCCCCCCCCCCCCTCCACCCCTCTCCCGTCTCACAACTGAACTGGGATGACCCCGCCTACCTAGAGAAGTGGTCGCCTGGTATTTGACATGGGATGCAAATGTGGGGACACTTGTAATTGGATATCTTATTGTATTCCAGGTTAAGCCAGGGCATAGACCCAAGCTGGGTGGTTAAAGGGCCAGAGAGATAGGATAGTTGAACTTTAGCTTCGCTAGGAAATATTTTTCTTTCACACTACCAAAAATAATGTTAGATTTAATGTGTGGACGTCCACATTGGGCCAACCCCCCCCCTCCCCCTGTCCACACGCGTCCACAAAAGTCAATTTTTTTCGGTGGACGTCATAAAGGGATGACCCCTAAAGCTGCCAGACATTTCTACATCGGACTGTGTTTAAAAATCCACTATGCTATGTCAGACCCTCCCTAGGCTTGGACGCGTTTTCACAAATTTAACACCCAAGTACGTCTGTCTAGTTCAGGTGGGGGGGGGGGGGGGGGTGGTGGTGGGGGGAATAATCCACTAGCGGCTTCCATAGCCTAAAAGCCCACACCGCATCCCCACATTTCATTACATCATTATGGGCTCAATAACTCTATAGATAGCTCTACTATTAACTGAAATAAAACTGGCTCTGCATGTGCTCCCAATTACTTTAAAGAAAGCTCTACTCAGAGTTAAAAACTTTAACTTTAACACTACTTAAAGCATGCTCCTCCTATTTGTAAAAATCAATATGGGCGCAATTATTCTGAATGATATCATTACAATGTATCGAAAACAATATGTTGGTTCGTATTCTTAAGATTGACGCTAATGTGTATCAAAAACATTATATGGGCATTCTTATTCTTAAGTATGCTTATATAATGCATGAAAAAAAATATATACTAATGGCTGCCAGTGGCTTAGCTACCGTAAAGCTAGAGTAAGCAAGGCATAGGGGCCCAGGGCAAATAGGGGCCATTTTCCTTCTTTTAAAAAGTTAAAACTTTTACATTGGAATTTTGATATTTATTTTATATAAATAATATTTTAAAAATTAATGAAATCAAGTTTTTTTTCTACTGTAGAAATAATTTAATTTAAAAAAGGCCCCAAGTCCTTTCTTAGTGTACAGGCAGTGGCATTCAGTGTGGGGGAGGACGGGCGACTAACATTAACATTGTTAATTTTTGCATAGGGGACCGAAAATCCTAGCTACGCCACTGAATGCTGCCCATACAATTTAACAAAAAAAAGTTATTACACTGCAAATGGCCATATATTTCACCAAAGATGCCCCAAAAATTTATAATAATAATATGGGCATAATTACCCTTTGGATGCCCTTAAAATGGATAATAATGAAGAAGTACATTAAAAAATAGCTTTAGAGATGCCCCCAATGTTAACAACGATGATTGGTGTAATTACTGTTGCATGTCCTTCGAGTGTAATACATGAATATAAGCTTAATTACTTTCAAGATGCCCCTACAATATATAAAATGAAGATGGGCATACTTACTGTATGGATGCCTTTAAAATGTATTATAAAGTGAAGTGGGCATATTAGTAAATGCTCATAAAATATATTATAATGAATATACGAATAATTACTTTAAAGATGCCCCTATAGTGTATAAAAATAAATATGATTTAATTACTCGACGGATGTCCTTGAAAATGAGTATAACGAATACGCGCATATTACTTTAAAGATGCCCTTACAGTGCATGGGAATAACTTGGTCACAAGTACTCTAAACGATGCCCCTACACTATACTAAATAAATATGACACACATTTATTAATGGAATATCATTGACTTCCGTAGGACTACCCTTCACTGATGCCCGCTGTTTCTATATAAGTTTTGCCATACGGACAGTGTAATGTTAAAACGGCTGACAGACGATTGAGTGTTACAATTTTTTTGAGTGAGATAGCAAAACATATGGAAAGTTACGATGACACCATGACACGACATATCACAACAGTTTTTAAATTACTAAAAAAAAAAAAAAAAAAAAAAAAAAAAAAATAATAATTAATTAATTAAATTTTTTTTTTACCTCCGCTGGATGCCCCCCAGTGGTGGATGCCCGGGGCCTGGGCCCCGTCCGCCCCCCCCTCTGCACGCCACTGCTCACGCTAATAATAAAAAATGTGAATAAAAAGTCTCCAATGGGAATTATTGTTGAAATAATATAATTAGCAAAATGTGAATGCAAATTCTGCAGACGTGTAAGAGGACATTATTGTTGCAATATTATAATTAGCATGGATTGATTATAGGCTATCTTTTATTTATTTTATTCACTGAAGTACTGTTTACTAATTATAATTTTAAATCAACTATACCGCACTTTTATACACGCGTCATCACGTTCATTAGGGGCACAATGGTTTTAGTCGTGAAAGTCTAAGTCTATTGTAATTTTTTTTTAAATTTAAAGTACTGAAAAAAATGCATGAGTTGATAAAGTGCAATATGGTAGGTAAAACGGATATTTTAAATACTGTTCGTGTTTTCTTTTGTGTTTTTTTTTCTTTTGTGTTTCTGTGTTGCGTTTGTGTTTGCATTGTGTTTGTGTTTTCTTTTGTGTTTGTGTTGTGTTTTCTTTTGAGTTTGTGTTGTGTTTGTGTTTTCTTTTGTGTTTGTGTTGTGTTTAGTTTTGTTCTGTTCTGTTCCCAAGTTGGTACATTTAAAAAAGATTTACCGTGGCGGAGCACGGGTGTGCAGCTAGTACTATAAAAATTCGTATGCGTTTTTTTTTTGTTGATAAATCGGAAATAGCGTAAATTACTACTTCCGGTAAACGAAAATTACTCAAAATTTGACAAAAGACAGAGAATTAGATATTTTACTTATATTTGAAATTTCGTTTATCTATCTGAAATAGTACTCAAGTTATAGGCTTTTGAAAAACCAAAAGTAGAATAAGTTCCACTTCCGGTTATTGTAAATCGCTGAAAAGTTTATACACAACTACGAATTTGATATAGATCTAGATCTAATACTATTAGGAGTGTTTTAAGAATTGATTTAAGATTTATAGAATAAGGGATTAGTTTGTTACTCAAGGCTTTAGCCACTTATCTTAAGCAGTAGTACGTAGAATTTTCAACATGTGTATATATTTATGTATATATTTTCCATGTATTTTATTCATGTTTTCTTTACCCCCCCCCCCCCTCCCTCCCTTTTCCAGTGAGGTTGCATTTGCAACTTAGCTGGGTGTTTTGTATGTTTAATGTTTGGTTCGATGTTTTATTTCTATGACATGTGTGTTTGGTGCGGATGTTTTATTTCTATGACATGTGTGTTTGGTGCGGATGTTTTATTTCTATGACATGTGTGTTTGGTGCGGATGTTTTATTTCTATGACATGTGTGTTTGGTGCGGATGTTTTATTTCTATGACATGTGTGTTTGGTGCGGATGTTTTATTTCTATGACATGTGTGTTTGGTGCGGATGTTTTATTTCTATGACGTGTGTGTTTGGTGCGGATGTTTTATTTCTATGACGTGTGTGTTTGGTGCGGATGTTTTATTTCTATGACGTGTGTGTTTGGTGCGGATGTTACAAATCTTTTCGATTGCAGTAGATAGAAAGGTAATCTGTCAGTGAGAAACCTAGACTATCCGAGGCATCGAAGGTTTGTTATAATATTCCATCGAAAGTTGGGTGTTTTGTTTGGTTATGTTAAGTCGGTGGTGTTTAGTATCTTTTGTTTAGTCTTCATTTGCCCTTTTAGTCTTTTGTTGAGCTTTTTAGCGCAATTTCCATTCTGGAGAATTGCGTTTATTAACTCGTCATTTCTGGATGTATGAATGAATGAATGAATGTGTGTCCGCAGCTTTAAGTCGTATCTCCTCCTCAACGAAGCAATATCGAGGACTAGTTCCAAAAGCAATTATGTTAAGCTTATTATGAAGATGAACATAGGCCATGGATTTCCCGGAAAAGCCAAAAAAACCTAGAAAAAATGCAGGTTTTGGCCCATATCTCGGCAACCAGACCACTTAGCGACTTGAAACATGTACCAATCACTTCCTGCCATAATGTAGAACAATATTGCAGAAGAAAGTTTTCAAAAATATCCTTTCGTTCGGTCACAATTTTTTTTTGAATTAATTAAAATTTGGACCGAATTAGTAGGCATTTTTATCCAACCACACCACACGCGTCATCACGTTCAATAGCTGCGACATCACGTTCGGTAGCTAGGCGCGCAATGGTTTTTAGTCATGTAACTCTATTGTAAATAAAACATGTAAAATACTGAATTTTTTAAAAATAAAAAACGTTTTAATAACCAATGGTTTTACTAACCCTGCTCTTGATTTACGCTACGACAGAGCTATTTTTAGATAACATAAGGAAATTGCGCTTAAATGTCACTAGAATTTTTAATTAACTTGTTTGACATTTGTTTTCATTATTTTTTGTTTAATAAATTTTGTAACTGTTAGCATTTTTGTTTTGTTATAAGATTAGGGACGTGCACTGACCGGACAGTTGATATAAGATTAGGGACGTGCACTGACCGGACAGTTGATATAAGATTAGGGACGTAGTTTAGTCTTCCCCTGTCAGGACTTACATTTAATAAAACTATTTTCCCGCCTCGCCATTTCGCATCTCGCAATTTCCCAACACCCTAATTTTTCAGCTTCGTCCGGTGAACTAAACCCCACTTCACTTTGTATAAAGTCTAAATTTTTTATGATTGCTTAATTCAAATATTTTTGTCTTTTCTGACAGTGTGTGCTTTGGAAATTAATTACAACATATTATTCTAATCTTTTTAGAATAGCTGAATATTTTAATCTGCAACAATATATGGGTTTAATCTAAAGTAGAAACCCCGCCAAGTTCATGGATGGTTTGGGTTTTAGCGATGATTTTAAACTAAATAGTACATGATGTGTGACTTTGTGTACGGATGTTGTGTCACAGGTAGGATGTTTGGGCGGCCGCCTAAATGTTGATGTCATGTGGAAACGTGACACAAACAACAAGAAATTATAAGTGATGCAAAAATCACAGGTAGTGGAAAAATACGACAGAAGTAAAAACAGTTGAAGCGATTTCTACTATGGCAAAAAGCCATTGGTCAGTAAAAGTGGACATTTGTCTAGCTAAACATGGCTTTTATCTTTTTCCACATGAACTCCACGATCTCGTAGTCGTTGCTCTGTAGGGCCACATTCTCCTTTACTTGGCTGAACGCCTCGCCAATGATGGTCAGAAACATGTTCATCAGGCCGATGTACACAATGCCAATGTAGCTGTGGGTACATGTAAAACAATGTAGCTGTGGGCACATGTAAAACAATGTAGATGTGGGCACATGTAAAACAATGTAGCTGTGGGCACATGTAAAACAATGTAGATGTGGGCACATGTAAAACAATGTAGCTGTGGGTACATGTAAAACAATGTAGCTGTGGGTACATGTAAAACAATGTAGCTGTGGGTACATGTAAAACAATGTAGCTGTGAGTACATGTAAAACAATGTAGCTGTGGGCACATGTAAAACAATGTAGATGTGGGCACATGTAAAAAAATGTAGATGTGGGCACATGTAAAACAATGTAGCTGTGGGCACATGTAAAACACTGTAGCTGTGGGTACATCTAAAACAATGTAGCTGTGGGTACATGTAAAACAATGTAGCTGTTGGTACATGTAAAAGAATGTAGCTGTGGGTACATGTAAAACAAGGAACACAATGTAGCTGTGGGCACATGTAAAACAATGTAGCTGTGGGCACATGTAAAACAATGTAGCTGTGGGTACATGTAAAACAATGTAGCTGTGGGCACATGTAAAACAATGTAGCTGTGGGCACATGTAAAACAATGTAGCTGTGGGTACATGTAAAACAATGTAGATGTGGGCACATGTAAAACAATGTAGCTGTGGGCACATGTAAAACAATGTAGCTGTGGGTACATGTAAAACAATGTAGATGTGGGCACATGTAAAACAATGTAGCTGTGGGTACATGTAAAACAATGTAGCTGTGGGTACATGTAAAACAATGTAGCTGTGAGTACATGTAAAACAATGTAGCTGTGGGCACATGTAAAACAATGTAGCTGTGGGCACATGTAAAACAATGTAGCTGTGGGTACATGTAAAACAATGTAGATGTGGGCACATGTAAAACAATATAGCTGTGGGTACATGTAAAACAATGTAGCTGTGAGTACATGTAAAACAATGTAGCTGTGGGTACATGTAAAACAATGGAGCAGTGGGTACATGTAAAACAAGGAACACAATGTAGATGTGGGCACATGTAAAACAATGTAGCTGTGGGCACATGTAAAACAATAAACACAATGTAGCTGTGGGCACATGTAAAACAATGTAGATGTGGGCACATGTAAAACAATGTAGCTGTGGGCACATGTAAAACAATAAACACAATGTAGCTGTGGGCACATGTAAAACAATGTAGATGTGGGCACATGTAAAACAATGTAGCTGTGGGCACATGTAAAACAATGTAGCTATGGGCACATGTAGAAAATGTAGCTGTTGGCACATGTAAAACAATGTAGATGTGGGCACATGTAAAACAATGTAGCTGTGGGCACATGTAAAACAATGTAGCTGTGGGTACATGTAAAACAAGGAACACTATGTAACTGTGGGCACATGTAAAACAATGTAGCTTTGGGCACATGTAAAACAATGTAGCTGTGGGTACATGTAAAACAATGTAGCTGTGGGCACATGTAACACACCATATACTGACCTGAAAACAAATATAGGTCCCCAGAATGGCTGTGCTGCTGTTATTTCGCCGTAGTCAAAACTGCCCAGTGCGAAAGCGAACATGGACTCAGCCGTGGTGGCCACGTTCTGGTAGGTGGCCAAATTGTTGCTGAACAGCAGAAAGCCAGTTGCCGTGAAGGCGAAGAAGTAGAGGAAGAATGTAATGGAGAAATATTTGAGGTCTTTTGTCGCTAGCTTGACCTGTGTGGTGAGGAGACAGGAGATGACGTCATGTCACAATAAACACAAATAACCATCTGAGCCTGTCTAACAGTTGAACTGAATCCTCCCACTGTTGAACCTAAACCTCTCACAGTTGACCTTTACAGTGGCGTAGCGAGGTCGGGTGTCACCCGGTGCGGCATTTAATGGTGTCACCCCCCAGAGGCGTAGCGACCCTTCCCGGGGGCAAACTTTCAAATTTTCGATTTGCACCCCCCCCCCCTCAAACTTTCAATTTGCACCCCCCCCCCTCAAACTTTCGATTTGCACCCCCCCTCACGTTTTTCTCTATATATTTTGCTATTTTTTGCCTTGGTGTCATCCCCCTAAATGGTGTCACCCGGTGCGGTCCGCACCCCCCGCCCCCCCTCGCTACGCCCCTGGACCCTCTCACAGTTGACCTTTACCCTCTCACAGTTGACCTTTACCCTCTCACCGTTGACCTTTACCCTCTCACAGTTGACATTTACCCTCTCACAGTTGACCTTTACCCTCTCACCGTTGACCTTTACCCTCTCACCGTTCACCTTTACCCTCTCACAGTTGACCTTTACCCTCTCACAGTTGACCTTCACCCTCTCACCGTTGAGCCCAACATGCCCATCTTCTTGTTAAACTGGAGCAACTTAAGGAACTGGATGGTTGCCATGAAGACGACGCCGGACATGACGTAGCCGTACAGGTCGTCATATAAAGCGATCGAGTTGAAGTTGACGAAACCATCTGAAACAGACAAGCGTATCTGCAGCTAGGGAGGTTAAGTTAGTCATACATCAATGTATTGCGTTATCTGCAGCTAGGGAGGTTAAGTTAGTCATACATCAGTGTATTGCGTTATCTGCAGCTAGGGAGGTTAAGTTCGTCATACATCAGTGTATTGCGTTATCTGCAGCTAGGGAGGTTAAGTTAGTCATACATCACTGCATTGCGTTAGCTGCAGCTAGAGAGGTTAAGTTAGTCATACATCACACCATTGCGTTATCTGCAGCTAGAGAGGTTAAGTTAGTAATACATCACTGCGTTGCGTTAGCTGCAGCTAGAGAGGTTAAGTTAGTCATACATCAATGTATTGCGTTAGCTGCAGCTAGAGAGGTTAAGTTAGTCATACATCAATGTATTGCGTTAGCTGCAGCTAGAGAGGTTAAGTTAGTCATACATCAATGTATTGCGTTAGCTGCAGCTAGAGAGGTTAAGTTAGTCATACATCAGTGCATTGCGTTAGCTGCAGCTAGAGAGGTTAAGTTAGTCATACATCAATGTATTGCGTTAGCTGCAGCTAGAGAGGTTAAGTTAGTCATACATCAATGCATTGCGTTAGCTGCAGCTAGAGAGGTTAAGTTAGTCATACATTACTGCGTTTCATTGGAGCTATTAAATCACACCTAAACATTGAATTTGATGGAGGAAATGTTTTGGGTCATTGGGGCGGATGGATCGAATTGCATTTAATTATACAGTCCTTTTTTTGGCGCAGGAGGTTTTACTTAACCACAGCCATAAAATGACGTGAACATTTCTACTGCATTTGCTAATACACCCAGACAGATGCGGATACAAAATATTAAATATTACTAGACTACCCTTTATTCTTGACTAAACGTGTTTTTCAAGGGGGGAGGGGAGGAGGGGTCATCCATAAATGAATTGACGTTTTTGACGATTGTTATCTTTCCCCTTCCCTTCCCACAGTCAAACATCATCAAACGCCAAAACCCACATTCAAAAACTCAGAACATTTTGCAATTTTTTCGCCATGGTGTCACCGCCTAGATGGTGTCACCCGGTGCGGTCCGCACCCCAAGCCACGCCCCAGCCACGCCCTCGCTACGCCTCTGGTAAAAATAATAAATAAATCATGTGACGTCACTGTAAATAAAGTAATTGTTCTGAACTTTTGTAATTAAAGTGGTATTTCTACAAATGAATATATCAATAAACTAATTAACGTCTTTAAATGAATTTGTGATTAACAGTTTGGTAAAAAGAACATTAATCTCAGAGGCGTAACGATGGGGGGGGGGGGGCAGGGGGGTACATTTTTCCCCGGGCGCCGACCTTAGGGGGCGCCAAAATGGGTTTTAAAAACAAATTAAAATGTCATTTTTGCATTATAAATAGTTTGAGAGGGGTACAAATCAAAAGTTTTAGGGGGGGGGGGGTGCAAATCGAAAGTTTGAGGGGGGGGGGGGGTGCAAATCCAAAGTTTGCTCCCGAGAGGGGGGGCACCAAATTGAAAGTTTGTCCCCGGGAAAGGTCGCTACGCCTCTGATAATCTCCACATAAATACGTATTATACAGCTGTACACATAGTGTAGATGCTCTCATGTAACCCGACAAAAAAAAATACAAACTTGTAAATAAACTTGTGTTTTAATAGTATAATAGAAGATAGATAGATAGATTCGATACACTAGCAGGCTAAGTTGATAAAAGACTTACATTTAGACAGGGGTGCAGACATTCTTACAGAAGACTTACAGACATGCACAGTTATAGATAGATCTACAGAGAGATATTTAGAATGGAGGCATGCAGATCGACATAAGACAGACAAGAGACAGACACTCAGAGAGACATGAGACAGACACTCAGACAGACATGAGACAGACACTCAGACAGACATGAGACAGACACTCAGACAGACATGAGACAGACACTCAGAGAGACATGAGACAGACACACAGACATACATGAGACAGACACTCAGAGAGACATAAGACAGACATAAGACAGACATGAGACAGACACAGAGAGACATGAGACAGACACTCAGACAGACATGAGACAGACACTCAGACAGACATGAGACAGACACTCAGACAGACATGAGACAGACACTCAGACAGACATGAGACAGACACTCAGAGAGAGATAAGACAGACATAAGACAGACACAGAGAGACATGAGACAGACACTCAGACAGACATGAGACAGACACTCAGAGAGACATAAGACAGACATAAGACAGACATGAGACAGACACAGAGAGACATGAGACAGACACTCAGACAGACATGAGACAGACACTCAGACAGACATGAGACAGACACTCAGACAGACATGAGACAGACACTCAGACAGACATGAGACAGACACTCAGAGAGACATAAGACAGACATAAGACAGACATGAGACAGACACAGAGAGACATGAGACAGACACTCAGAAAGACACGAGACAGACATTAGACAGACACGAGACAGACACTCAGACAGACACGAGACAGACACGAGACAGACATTAGACAGACATGAGACAGACACTCAGACAGACACGAGACAGTCACTCAGACAGTCATGAGACAGACACTCAGACAGACACGAGACAGACACGAGACAGACACTCAGACAGACACGAGACAGACATGAGACAGACACTCAGAGAGACATGAGACAGACACGAGACAGACACTCAGACAGACACGAGACAGACATGAGACAGACACTCAGACAGACATGAGACAGACACGAGACAGACATGAGACAGACACGAGACAGACATGAGACAGACACTAACCAGACTTCCTGTTGTGTAGGGCAGCCATGGCGACGTCTGTCAGGATGTGTTTCATGGCGTACAGCCCAATGGAGGTTAGAGCCAGACACAGCAGGACGAATTCCAGAAGGTTCCAGAAGTCCATAAAATAACTCAGTCTTTTAGCCCGTACCTTCTTGACACATTGGACGAAGAAAACCAAGGTCAAAATGGCAAAGAGGACCTCCATGATGAGCACTATCAGACCAAATCCTCCAATGTAGCTCATCAGTCGAAACACCTGCAATTAGAGCACCGCAAACTGCTTCAACGTCCAAAGACTAAATTGACAAACTAAATGCAGATCAATTGACTTGAAGTAATCAAGTCTATAAATGATGTTAAAATATAAAATTTGATCAACAAGAGGACAGTTGAAAAGTTTAGGATGTACAACGGGAAGGTTTTAAAAGTCTCTGTAAGACCTGCCTTTATGTCGCCTTTTGTAACGGCTGTACCCACAGGCAGGAACTCGACCAGGGCTGTGACTGAGGTGAAGAGGTTCGAGTTGGCGTTGTACACCGTGAACTCGAGGAAGATGGCTTTGGTGTTCAGGTCCAACCAATCCTGGGCCCGCGCCAAGTCTATGATGACCTTAGTGCGGCTGTACTGGCGCTTGGCCAAGATGACGTAACCCCCGCCCTTGTAGGTGGCAATATTTCCAACATAGGGCGCAGTTTTCAGCTTGATTGAGTTCTGGTACACCTACAGTTTTACAAAATATTTTTAGACTTCTGATGCAAATAAGGCATACAAGATGTTAGATCTAAAGCATTCTGATGCAATCTGACATTAAATTAGACGTAATTGATGCCTAATTAATTTTTAATGAATTAATGAAGTGCTATTAACTTACAAACGGGGATATGCTATTAACTTACAAACGGGATGTGCTAATAAATTACAAACGTGATGTGCTAGTTACTTCCAAACGGGGATGTGCTATTAACTTACAAACGGGGATGTGCTATTAACTTACAAACGGGATGTGCTATAAACTTACAAACGGGGATGTGCTATTAACTTACAAACGGGATGTGCTATTAACTTACAAACGGGGATGTGCTATTAACTTACAAACGGGGATGTGCTATTAACTTACAAACGGGGATGTGCTATTAACTTACAAACGGGGATGTGATATTAACTTACAAACGGGGATGTGCTATTAACTTACAAACGGGATGTGCTATTAACTTACAAACGGGGATGTGCTATTAACTTACAAACGGGGATGTGCTATTAACTTACAAACGGGGATGTGCTATTAACTTACAAACGGGGATGTGATATTAACTTACAAACGGGGATGTGCTATTAACTTACAAACGGGGATGTGCTATTAACTTACAAACGGGGATGTGCTATAAACTTACAAACGGGGATGTGCTATTAACTTACAAACGGGGATGTGCTATCCTTTAGCTGCTTTGCCTCTGATTCTGGCGGCTGGACCCAGAAGGGGAGGTAAGGAGCTGTGTCGTCATCAATCCAGTTGTATTCGCCGCGACAGTGGTGGATTATTGCCCTTAGATGCGGATCTATCGTGCATGTATCTGGAGATTAAGATAGAGTTTTGAAACACTTTCCTCATGTAACAATACCTAGAACCAAAAGTGATCACTGACTGCTTGTAATAGACTCTAACAAAGTTAAAACGTGAATCGATTGAGCCTTTTTTCAGAGGAAAACATTGGGTTGTGGAAACCAATTTGGTTCACTTATCTCATGAAGTAAAAATCTAATGACGTGTACCCAATTAAGGACAGGTAACTCAATTTTAGAGATGACAAGCTACATGATGGATTTTAACGCAAACAGATTTTGCTCATGAAATAACTTCTTTTCGAAGATATGGCTAAAAAGTGGGAAATCTTCTTCTTCTTCGTTCTTAATTTTAGTGTTGGAGGGATCCCCTCCAGCACAATTAAGTATACGTGTCAACTGGTTATGCGCCATTGAGGCCATTGACTCCGATTTCAGCCCGCTTTTCTTTTTACTTTCTAGTATATACGAAATATAGAGAAAGTCTGGTAATCGTGCAAAAAAAAAAAAATCGAGATTTTTGCAAATCTCGACGTTTTACACCTCACTGATACGGAAAAACATAATTTTGCAATATTGTCCGTATGTCAGAAAAAATAAAAAATAAATAAAAAAAAATGCAAAAAAAAAAAAAAAAAGTAATTTTAGATTAGTGTCATCTTACTAAAGCCGTAAGCGTCAAATTAAAAGCCTAGGCTCTCCCTCATGGAAAATATATTTCCTTTCATACGGGGTCCATTGATAGGTCTATGTTCCATAACATAATATGAGAACTATGATCAATTATCATCATCGAGAACCCAGGCTTTATTTTTTCGCCGTACCAGATAATAGGTTTAGCAAAGTTAAACCAAACTCTTTTCAATTTTTACTTTCTCGTATACAAAGAAAAGAGAAAGTATTGTAATTGTGCGGGAAAAAAATCGGGATTTTTGCAAATATCGACCTTTTACACCTCCCTGAGTCGGAAAAACAGTTTTGCAATCTTGTCCGTATGTCTGTGAGTGTGTATGTGTATGTGTGTGTCTGTGTGTGTGAGTCTGTAAACACGATAACTTGAGTAACGTTACAGCTACGTTTATGAAATTTCATATATAAGTATTAGATCAAATTTGTAGATCTGTATCAACTTTTCAACGATTTCCGGTAATCGAAAGTTGAACTTACTCCACTTTCAATTTTTCAAAAGCGTATAACATGAGTACTGTTTCAGATAGATGAACGAAATTTCATATATAAGTACAAGATACACTTTTCGGCCTTCTTTCAAATTTTGAGTAATTTCCATTAAACGGAAGTAAGAATTTACGCTATTTACGATTTGTCAATAAACGCATGTGAATTTATAAAGTACTAATAATGTTCCGCACTATTATACACAGATTGTTCGGCGTTCACTTGGTGCGCAATTCTTTTTTCTACGAGATTCTATTCTATTTTAAAAAGTTTAAGTAATTAAAAATTGATTAAAAATCACGTCTATATCCCGAGTAGCCATCCCCCGTTGTGTTGTATACGAATATTCGAGAAAGTTTAAGGGAGCTTACTCCCGCTCTATTTGATCAGTTGTTTGTTGTTTTGCTTCAAGTGTTGTATAAGACCTTTTAAAAAATGAAGATTAAAATATAGCATTGGGGTTTATTTAAAGTAGAAATTTGTATCCATGTATTCAAATGCGAGAACCAGAGCCTTAAGATTACCATTTTTAATTCTGAGTTGTCTTATCCTGGCCACGCCCACCCGTCTGTTCTCCATGTCGGCCACACAAGCTGCGTCCTGCCAGAAGCGGACGTCGGTACCGTCAGCGTAGTGAAGGGCGTAGAGTGCCGGCAGGAAGGTGCCGTCCAGCCAGTCCCAGAAGTCGGGGACTGTCGTGATCTGGAACACACGGCTTCATTAGGTCAAACACACACGGCTTCATTAGGTCAAACACACACGGCTTCATTAGGTCAAACACACACGGCTTCATTAGGTCAAACACACACGGCTTCATTAGGTCAAGAACACACGGCTTCATTAGGTCAAGAACACACGGCTTCATTCGGTCAAGAACCTTCAACCTGATGAACATACCCCCACCCCCACCCTACCCTCTCACTTTCCTGTTACACGTGTAGAAACGTTTGGTTAGATCAATAGCACACACAGCATTGAGCAGATACACCATTCCACCACTCCACCATTCCACCACTCCACCATTCCACCACTACACCACTCCACCACTACACCATTCCACCACTACACCATTCCACCACTACACCATTCCACCACTCCACTATTCCACCACAACACCATTCCACCACTACACCATTCAACCACTACACCATTCCACCACTACACCATTCCACCACCACTCCACCATTCCACCACCACTACACCATTCCACCACACCATTCCACCACTTCACCATTCCACCACCACTACACCATTCCACCACCACTACACCATTCCACCACTACACCACTACACCATTCCACCACTACACCATTCCAACACTACACCATTCCACCACTACACCATTCCACCACTACACCACTCCACCATTCCACCACTACACCATTCCACCACCACTACACCATTCCACCACCACTACACCATTCCACCACTACACCACTCCACCACTACACCATTCCACCACTACACCACTACACCATTCCACCACTACACCATTCCACCACTACACCATTCCACCACTACACCATTCCAACACTACACCATTCCACCACTACACCATTCCACCACTACACCACTCCACCATTCCACCACTACACCATTCCACCACCACTACACCATTCCACCACTACACCACTCCACCACTCCACCATTCCACCATTCCACCACTACACCACTCCAACACTACACCATTCCACCACTACACCATTCCACCACTACAACATTCCACCACTACACCATTCCACCACTACACCACTACACCATTCCACCACTCCACCACTACACCATTCCACCACTACACCATTCCACCACTACACCATTCCAACACTACACCACTCCACCATTCCACCACTACACCATTCCACCACCACTCCACCATTCCACCACTCCACCATTCCACCACTACACCATTCCACCACTACACCTTTCCACCACTACACCATTCCACCACTACACCATTCCACCACTACACCATTCCACCACTACACCATTCCACCACTACACCATTCCACCACTACACCATTCCACCACTACACCATTTCACCACTCAACCATTCCACCACTACACCGTCCCACCACTGCCACATTTACTAGCTGAAAAATACGATTACAGCTGGATTCCCGAACAAAGGGAACTAACTTCATCAAAGCCAGCCAGCATGTTGTTTCGGATCGTGTTTCCCATGGTGTACGACTGTGGGTCACGCTCTTGATAGGACAAGAAGAAGAGGATGCCGAGGAAAATTGTGTAGATGAGAATCTCTTTCAGCACCGCCTCCATCTTGAGTTCCATCATCCGGTTCTCGCGAGATTTGGCGAGCTCTTCTGGGTCTGGCGGCTGGAACTCCGTGTTGTCGCTTCGACGCTGCAAAATTATTTCTAGCGAACAAATAGTTCACCGTTAGTTAAATACTCAACGTGTCACCTATTTAAACGTTCAACCTGTCACACACACGATGAAATGACTCACGTGACAGGCTGGTCTCGTCCCTTGTGTTGAGGTTCTTATCTCTCTGGGCTAGGACGCTGGTGATGTCTTCGTCCAGCTCCTCCTCGTCAAACTCTGGTTTCTTGAGGACACACGCGATAAACGCCACCAACAGGAGCACCTACAGGACGGCAACATTAAACACATGTGCCACTAACCATAGCACCCAAATAATGGCACTGAACACATTAAACACATGAGCCACCAATAGAAGCACCTACAGGAAGGCAGTGAGCACAATAAACACAACTGTACCTTTATTGGTTGAACTATGATTACAGACTGGACGAAGGAAAGCAGGAAAGCTGTCAGCCATTGGTTGGCCTTCTCTCTGCCCCATTGCATGCTGTAAAGGATTGTAAAAAACCCCGACGCCACGATGCTAAAGAAGCAAACTGATGGAGAAACGAATGGGTTGAACGTAATAATGATCAAGTGCTAGAAGGACAGTCTATATTGACCTACTGCTACAAACAACGAGCCCACTAACCCACCAACCCGCCAGCCCACTATGCCACCACCCCACCACCCCACTAAGCCACCATCCCACTAAGCCACCATCCCACTAAGCCACCATCCCACTAAGCCACCAACCCGCCAACCCACTAAGCCACCACCCCACTAACCCACCAGCCCACTAAGCCACCATCCCACTAAGCCACCAACCCACTAAGCCACCACCCCACTAACCCACCAACCCGCCAGCCCACTAAGCCACCATCCCACTAAGCCACCAACCCACTAAGCCACCAACCCACCACCCCACTAAGCCACCATCCCACTAAGCCACCATCCCACTAAGCCACCAACCCGCCAACCCACTAAGCCACCACCCCACTAAGCCACCAACCCGCCAACCCACTAAGCCACCACCCCACTAAGCCACCAACCCACTAAGCCACCAACCCGCCAACCCACTAAGCCACCACCCCACCACCCCACTAAGCCACCAACCCGCCAACCCACTAAGCCACCAACCCACTAAGCCACCAACCCGCCAACCCACTAAGCCACCAGCCCACTAAGCCACCAACCCACTAAGCCACCAACCCACCAACCCACTAAGCCATCAACCCACTAAGCCACCAACCCACTAAGCCACCAGCCCACCAACCCGCCAACCCACTATGCCACCAACCCGCCAGCCCACTAAGCCACCAACCCACTAAGCCACCAACCCACTAAGCCACCAGCCCACCAACCCACTAAGCCACCAACCCACTAAGCCACCAACCCATTAAGCCACCAACCCACTAAGTCACCAACCCACTAAGCCACCAACCCACTAAGCCACCAACCCACTAAGCCACCAACCCACTAAGCCACCAACCCACCAACCCACTAAGCCACCAACCCACTAAGCCACCAACCCACCAACCCACTAAGCCACCAACCCACTAAGCCACCAACCCACTAAGCCACCAACCCACCAACCCACTAAGCCACCAACCCACCAACCCACTAAGCCACCAACCCACTAAGCCACCAACCCACTAAGCCACCAACCCACCAACCCACTAAGCCACCAGCCCACCAAGCCACCAACCCACTAAGCCACCAACCCACTAAGCCACCAACCCACTAAGCCAACAACCCACCAACCCACCAACCCACTAAGCCACCAACCCACTAAGCCACCAACCCACTAAGCCACCAACCCGCCAACCCACTAAGCCACCAACCCACTAAGCCACCAACCCACTAAGCCACCAACCCACTAAGCCACCAACCCACTAAGCCACCAACCCACCAACCCACTAAGCCACCAACCCACTAAGCCACCAACCCACTAAGCCACCAACCCACCAACCCACTAAGCCACCAGCCCACCAAGCCACCAACCCACTAAGCCACCAACCCACTAAGCCACCAACCCACTAAGCCAACAACCCACCAACCCACCAACCCACTAAGCCACCAACCCACTAAGCCACCAACCCACTAAGCCACCAACCCGCCAACCCACTAAGCCACCAACCCACTAAGCCACCAACCCACTAAGCCACCAACCCACTAAGCCACCAACCCACTAAGCCACCAACCCACTAAGCCACCAACCCGCCAACCCACTAAGCCACCACCCACTAAGCCTAACGAACAATGAGCACCTACGTGTCCAGGCTATGTAGATGCACCAGTGTGGCAGAGACCAGCTCTTCTTCTTCTTGGCTTTGAAAATGTTGTCCACGCCCTCGTCCATGGGCTCGGCGTCTGTGTATTTGTTTTTCTTGTGTGCCGTCAGGATCCCTGTGATGCTCTCTTTCAACTTGCTTAGCCTGACAAATTTTAGGGTCACATTTTGTCATATCTTTCAACTGACTTAGCCTGATATATATATATATATATATATATATATATATATATATATATATATATATACATATATATATATATATATATATATATATATATATATATATATGGAGTGCGTGCGTGTGTGTGTGTGTGTGTGTGTACGGAGTATTGAGGAAGTATTGTAATCATGCTAAAAATCGAAATCGTTGTACATCTCCCTGAGTCGGAAAAACATAGTTTTGCATTTTTGTCCGTTTGTCTCTGCGCATGTGTGTGTATGTGTATATGTCTGTGAACACGATAGTTTGAGTACCGTTACAGCTAGGTTGATCAAATTTCATATATAAGTGTCATATAAAATGTGTAGTTCTGTGTCAACTTTTTCAGCGATTTCCAGTAAACGGAAGTGGAACTTACAGTTCTTTAGGTTTTTCAAAAACCTATAACTTGAGTATTGTTTCGGATAGATAAACGAAATTTCACAAATAAGTAAAAGAATCTAATTCTCTGCCTTCTGTTAAATTTTGAGTAATTTATTTTGACCGGAAGTGGTACTTTACGCTATTTCCAGTTGTTCAAAAAAGCATACAAATTTATACTAATATTCCGCACTATTATGCACACATTGTTTGCTATCCACTTGGTGCGCATTTTTTTTTCAACGAGATTCTATTCTAATTTAAAAAGTTAAAGTAATTTTAAAAACTTTAAATTACGCGGAAAAAATTCATAAAAAACGTTTAATAACAAGGTTTTCTGTAATAGTGCACTAAGAAGTAGAAAATAAATGATTTTCTTTAAATATATAATAATAATTTATTTTCTACTTTTTAGTGCACTATTACATAAAAGCTTGTTATTAAAAAAAAATTTAAATAAAATATTCCTTCCTTTAAGTGTTTTTAAATTTACAATAGAGTTGCATGACTAAAAACTATTGCGCACCTAATGAGCGTAATGAGTGCCAAAGGACTAAATGATAATAATTTTTAGACACAATTAAAATTTTTGTGAAGGGTGATACATTTTCTTTAATTTTTTTTTATTGCACATGCCGTCAATTAAAAACACTATACGTTTGAAAAATGAAATTTGTTTTATAATACTTTCAATATTAATTTTTTATGTCATTAATTTAGACGATGAGCACTTTAGATATATAACACTATAGCGATGAAGTTTTTCTTATATTCCTTTGTAATCACAGAATTCAACTTTATTTTATATATTAGATTTGATTTCTTTCAGATATAAGAAATAGCCTAAATTACCCAAAATTTGACAGAAAACAGAGAATTAGATCTTTTACTTACTTACATGTGAAACTGTTTGTCTATCAGAGAAACAGTACTCAAAGATACAAAGCAACATTCGATATAATTCTTATATATGAAATTTGATCAACCTAGCTGTAACGGTACTCAAGTTATCGTGTTCACAGACATACACACATACGTACACACAGACATACCGACAAAATTGCAGCATTTTCCTACTCATGGAGGTGTAAAACGTCGAGCTTTGAGAGAATCTCGAATTCGATTCTTTTGCACGATTACAATACTTCCTCTGTACTTCGTATACGAGAAAGTAAAAAAGCATAAAAACGTGTTAACAACAAGCTTTTTGTAATAATGCATAAATGATAAAATAAATTATTTTCTTTAAATAAATATTTATGCACGACTATTTAAATAACTATCAAGAAAAGCTGTGTATAGAAGAATTTCTGAGCAGATCCATACACACACACACACAAACACACACGCACATAAAGGTCACCTGCTTTGTTTTGGCCTTGACCCCCACAGCATGGAGGTCGATGTGATATTTCTCCACCTGAACTTTTGACTGTCCTTGACTGTGGCCTGATTTAACTGAGCTATGGCATTTTTCTTTGGCCGGCACTTCCTGAAGAAGGTCATCATCACAAAGCTGGGAGGGAACACGATGATGGTGCTGGCAAAACTGATGAAAAACTGGCGGGGAACAACATGAAAATATTCACACGATTTATCAAATGGGTGAACTCAAACAACATGAAAACATTTCACACGATTTATCAAATGGGTGAACTAACAAATGTATCAAATCTTAGTGGAGTAAAAAATCCGCTAGAGAAGGTTGAGCTCGCTAGGCTATTGAGGAAACTGGACACAAATATTTCTAAGTAAGACTCATGAAGTAAGACTTAGAAGTAAGACTCATGAAGTAAGACTTAGAAGTAAGACTCATGAAGTAAGACTCATGAAGTAAGACTTAGAAGTAAGACTCATGAAGTAAGACTCATGAAGTAAGACTCATGAAGTAAGACTCATGAAGTAAGACTTAGAAATAAGACTCAGGAACTCCACAGAATTAAAAAAGTGTTGGAGACTTGATATCACCTAGGGTAGAGTTGTTGAAAAACAAAATACAAATTATGAAAAAGAGTTACTAATTAATTTTTTTTAAATACCAAAGGACAGAAACAAAAATCCAGATGTAAACGGCCTCTGCTCTACTGCCTCTGCTCAACTGGCAGTTAAAAAAGCGAAGAAGTGGAGCTAGAGCTAAATTCAATCATTGCGTCGTTCCTATCAGCAGAGGCGTAGATGGGGGGGGGGGGGGGGGGGTGGGCGGCCGCCCCGGGTTCCGACTCCTAGAGGTTAGGGTTGGGGCGCCAAAAGGGGTAGAAAAAAATTAAAAGCTCATTTTAAGCTGCAATTTATAATTTTTAAAGAGTCAAACTTGAACAATTTTAAGTGAACAAATTTTAAAATCTCAGTTTACATATTGTATAGTTTTAGTTCCGGTTATAGGTATATTTGTTATGATGCTATATACCATTATAGGTATATATGTTATGATGGCATATACCATTATAGGTATATTTGTTATGATGCTATATACCTTTATAGGTATATTTGTTATGATGCTATATACCATTATAGGTATATTTGTTATGATGCTATATACCATTATAGGTATATTTGTTATGATGCTATATACCATTATAGGTATATTTGTTATGATGCTATATACCATTATAGGTATATTTGTTATGATGCTATATACCATTATAGGTATATTTGTTATGATGCTATATACCATTATAGGTATATTTGTTATGATGTTATATACCATATTGGAAGTAAATTGGCTAATGAGAAATTTGTTTACAAAAGAGTAACAAATATTTTTTAATATGTTTGGAATTTTTTTTCGAAATATTTTGCTTTATACATACGCCTACAATTATATGCGGCATTAATGCTAACGAAACATAATTACTTTTGTAAAATAGTTTGACGGCTGTATGCCTAAAAGGTTGTTTTTTTTTTTTGGGGCGAATGTTTTGTTTCTCTCCCTTAGTTTCGGTTATACAGCTGCCTATTCACAGTTGTACTGTCCACACTGACAAAATCCGATCGTGAATCTTATGAGTCGGGTGTGTGTCTTGACCTCCGCCGAAGCTCTGAGACTTACTTACCAAGCGTCTTGGGTTCGATCGAACACAAATTAAGCAGAGGCGTAGCTAGGGGGCAGCAGGGCCGCCCCGGGCGCCGACCCTAAGGGGGTGCCAAAAAAGGTTAAAAATATAATTTTAAAGCTGATGATTTTATGCTGCAGTTTTGAATTATAAACAGTCTAAGTTAAGAAATGTAATTGCTACAAGCCTTGACATATTGATTTAACTGTTTTATACCTTGATTGTGTAACGGTAAAACAAATACCTTAAGAAATAGTGAACAGCAAAAACAGCTTTCCAGCTTTTCCTAGATGGGGGGGGGCACTTTTTCGCGACCGAAATCGGAAGAATTTACACTAGATTGGTGAGTCGATAAACATTACCACTTATAAAAGAAACCAATTGTATTGAAACGTATTGATTGTTCAAACCATAAAAAAATGTGGTGACTTTTATCAAAATGGTGAAAGGGGGTGGGTGCTTTTTCGCTTAAAAAACGCAATGATTTTTACTGCATTGTTAAGTAGAATACCTTTATCACTTAGAAAAGAACAACTGCAAGAAAACTGCAAGACCAATATTTTAGTTATATGTAAGCTATTATTACGAATGTTTTTCTATTATATTGAAAAGCGTGATTTCAAAAACTTTCATTATGCTGTAATACTTAAGCATTTATGATGACAATATATTTAATTTTGCTTCTAGACAACATATTTTTGAAAAAAAAACGAATAGTGTTAAGCTACTTTATAACATTCTAAAGTAATTATTGATTTCTTTTGATATTTGTAATTCAATTTGTAGACATATACATAGTTAAATATATTTTATACATATGTCTGAATTAATATCCCAGAAATCATTATGTCAAATTGTTTTTTTTACAAGGATGAAAAAACAGATTGTGTTGCGTTCATTGTTTTCGGTTGTATTGTGAGTATATTATTTTTGTTTAGAATGATAAATTGTTTTGTTTTGTCGGCCTACATTGTCTTTATTTCTTCAGAGTAATACTTTCAATTTATTTTACATCATTGCGATATATATATATATATATATATATATATATATATATATATATATATATATATATATATATATATATATATATATATACATATATGGGGGGGGCAAACTGAAAGTTCGCCCCTCGCTCGGGTAGGGGTTGCTACGCCTCTGCCTATCAGTGGTGTATGCAGAATAGTTTGTGGTGTGTGTGTATGTGTATGTATAAGAGGTCGTCCATAAATGACGTCACACTCGTAGGGGGGGGGAGGGGGGTCCGTAATTTGTAACGATTTGTGATCAGGGGGAGGGGGGGGGGAGATTTAGATGGTGCAACGTCACACTTTTGCATTATAAAAAAGCAATGTTAGAAAACGAATTTTAGACATTATTTCGCGTTTTAAAAAGCTGTTTTAATAAACTGTAATAGGAATTGATTAAAAGACTCTATTTTGACAGAGTTCAGACAAGATTTTGGAAAAATATCGGTTTAATAAAAAATTCAACTGCAATTTTGAGGGGGGGGGGGGCTGTAGGCTGAGGTGTGACGTCATTTTAGGGGGGGGGTCTGGCTTTTTGTGACGATGTGTGACGGAGGGGAGGGGGAGGTAAAAATCGTCAAAAAAAGTGTGACGTCATTTATGGATGACCCCTAAATGTATGTATGTATGTATGTGTGTTTA